TCAAGGTATAGCACCGTGTGCTTATAGCACCATGTTCAAGACTAGAACAACCTAAGATGTCTTTAAAGAGACAGGGTTTACTTTTAAAATAAAAGGTAATTTATCTCTTACAGAGAAGTAATGATTATATTTACCTCCTGAAATGTTGCAGACATTTGCTAAATGAGGAATAGAAAGACATAGTGGTGGATGTTGCAGAAAGATTGGGTAGGGGTCAACAAGTTGAAGAGTAAAGTTAGACAGCAGAGAAACTGCCAAAGAACATCCTTGGCATGGTGTTACTTGTGGACAGCAGTATTGTACTTGTGTGTGTCTGTTTGGTAGTTTTGCATGGCTATAAGAAGATGACACAGACTTGGGTGATCCATGATTGTTATCAGCGCTTTCCTGCCAGCCTGGTCCCACAGCCTCAAATAATACACAGAGACAATTAATTATGAAACTGCTGGCGAGTTACTAGCATTTCTTATTGGTTAGCTCTGTCTAAATTATTAACCCATAATTACTAATATATGTATTTTTACATGGTGTTATCTTACCGAGAATGCCAGACTCACACTTCCTCTTTCTGAGATCACATTGTGACTCCATCCTACATTTCCCAGAATCTTCCAGCTCTCCTAGTCCAACCCATCCTGCTTTCCTATTGGCCAACAGTGGTTTATTCATTAACCAATAAGAGAAACATATTTACAGAATGACATCTCTCATCACATAATGACCATAATATATGCTTTATATAATTCTAAAGGTTGGGCAGTCTAAGATTAAGGAGTTGGTCGGTAAAAGACTTCATTATGTGTTATCCTGTGCCAGGAAGCAAAATGAAAAGAGGGAGAGGGAGACAAACTTGGCTTTTTTATTGGTGTCTTAGATCTAGAATGTTTAGCTTATGACTTCAACTCAAGGAAATTTTAGTATATTCTGCCAGTCCATCCCAGGAGTAACTATGGCTGCAGAGTCACTGGGTACCTTTAGGAGATGCCCAGCATCTTCCTGGCCTTGTGATCCACTCAGGAAAAAGGGTATTACTTAGGCTTTACTTAAGCTTACACAAACTCTAAGGTGGGACACTTGGTAAGGAGGGATATTATCCTTTAGGCAACCTGCATCTGCTGGCAAAGCTTTCTGAAGAATAACTGTAGGATATAATAAGCACCAGATGACCAAGGTTTTCAAGAATGAGGAAGATAATATCTAGTTCCCAGAGATTTAGCTTCAGGCTGGGTGACTGGTGAACTAAGGGAATGCATTATCATTTTGAAGAAATCTCAAGCCAAATTGAAAAATAATTTTAATGGCCATCCACATCAATCACATATTTGCCTACAGGCAATATGATGGAGGCATTTTCTCAATTGAGGTCCCTTTTCATAGATAACTCTAGGTTGTGTCAAGTTGACCAGAAAGAATAATCAGGAATCCCATGGTGTTCTTGGCTACACCAGCAATAGAGATGGCTCATGATCTAGTTGCCTCTATTAGTTTGTGTCTGCTAATACTGCTGTATTGAAGATTAAAATTTTAATGTGTGTACTTTGAGGGATATATTCAGATTGTAGTACAACACCAGCCAACCCTATATGGCAGCCTGAAATCCTGTTGCTACCTCACTCCCCATACTCTAGTTCCATATGTCTGTCTATACCTATGGCTTCAGCATAATTCACCAATGTCCATAGGAACAAGCCTATGAGCAAGGGAAGAGTGGTGGCTGTTTTTAAAGCACTGAACATAAAACACAAGTGAGACTGGGCTATAATTGATTAAATCCTGGTATCTTACGATTTAACACATTTTGTGTCCTAGTGATTTAAGGCGACAGATATTTCCTTCCACTTCATTAGCAGGCACAGAGGAAGGACTCACAATGTGGATTTCTTGGTGGGAACTTTAGTCCTTGGCAGATACACTGAAGAGCTGTACTTAATATCCTTTAAAAAAAACAAGCCTATCTGCTAAGATGTAGGCATTTGTTCACTGGTTTGGTCTTACTCTTTGGATTACAGATTAGGAAAAAGAGCAATTACAGATCTAGAAAGAAATGCATTCTGCAGCTAAATCTTTTCCTTATTTTTGGCAGCACACCCTGTACCTATATTCTTGTCATCAACTTAATAAAATATTGGTCAGTTTGCAAGCAAGAACTCAGAACAGAAACTTTTTTCCATCCATGTGATGAGTGGAATAGTTTCCATTTGTCAAAAAAAAAAAAAAAAAGTTCATGTGAGACAAATCACCATAGCATAAGAACTATAAATTGGTGTGATTTAGTTCAAAGGTGCTCAACACAGGCGTGTGTAGACATTTCTGCTATAGTGTGTTAACAGCCTTTGAGAAACCTCACATTCTGTAAAATACTATGATAGGACTCCTAGGGCAAGTGAGCAGGATATTCAGATGTCTTTATAACTGTAGCCATAGACCTATTAGGACTAGAAAGACAATCTGGATTCTTACATGAGAGGCTCCTGTAACTGAAGTTTGCTCCCTCAGGCATGTAGAATTCTCAGAAGTCTTAATCTCATGGATGTAGAGAAATCAGTGGAAAGAGGAACACCAAGGAAGGAGGAAATGTTAAAGTTTCACTTAGACAGGAGAGAAAGGGTTTTTGAGAATGGTCACACACTAGAAAGCAATGATCAAATTTATTGAAATGTGATTAAAATGTCTCACCACAAAAATGGCAGGTCATATTATATAATTTTGTCAAAACATCACGTTGTATCTTAGGAGCATTACATATGTATAAACAAATTTTAAACTATGAATTGCAAGAAAACCAAATATGAGCTTTTGAATGTAGAAATAAAATTCTTAGAAATGGTAGGTAGAAAAATATGCGGGGAGTACCTTCACAGCACAAGCAGGGCAGTGTTAGGGCGGCTATTATGGGGGGGGGTATAGAGTGGCAGAGGCTGGTCTGTCCTTGTGGGAACCATACAGGTACCACAGTGACGAAGCCAGAATGGATCTTTCTGCCACTGTGAGCTCATAACTAACAATATTTTTTGGCTATGAATGTTTGTTTCTCTTGTTCTTCTATTCATATGGTTTTCCTGTTCTTGCCTTGGCAAAATTATGGCAATTATTTTTCAGTCATTGCCTTGTCTGCCAGTGGTGGATGATCTGAGTTGCAGTATGGAAGCATGTGTGACAGGTGAAATAATATGAAAACACTTTTCTCTGATTAGAACTATTGTAACTCACTTGTTTATGGAACTTGTAAAGGTATATGCACAAAAATTAATGACAGTTTGTAATGACTATTGCTCAAATTATGATGTATGCTTCTGTGTAGTATAATTTTGGCTTATAGTGTGAGTCTATATTTGTAGTTTTTATATTATTTTCAGGCTACTAAATAGAAGTAAATAATTTGAACTACGTCTTATTGAATAAAACACAAACTTTCGATAATGAAGTTGTTTTCAGTTGTAGCAATAAATGTGATTACACACACGATTGTCTGTACTTGATTGAGTACTTAGGCTGGCATGGTAAGAGAAATTGCTGGTTCAAAGATTAGTTACCCTTTAAAAAACTATCCAGTGATGATAGTGAAATTTCAACAGTTTTTAAGCAGAATACAAGAGTAAGGTTGGTGTTCTGGCCCCTCTTTACCATGTCTTATTAGATCATCCTGGAAAATGTTAAGATGTTACCACACTTTTTACTCACAACAGTGAATGTCATTTTATTAATGTCTCGCACTGAGCATGGACATTCAAAATAGACAAATCTGCACATGTCCTGTCTACTCTGTGTATGTGAGTTAAATCAAGTGCCAACAGCTACCGTTACTCTTTCAATAACTCAACTCTAATCCTCCTATTTGAGCTTCCTGCCATTCTCATCCCCTCTCTCCATGCCTCCTGTCTGCCTCACTTTTGCCATGTGATGGTGTGTGGATTCCACTTTTAAATCTAAGCTTACCCCTAGGCACTGTATGACATCAAAACCTCCCCTAGGACTTTGGAGACAGTTTGGGTGAGGAAAAGACATATCATCCATATCATCCTCTGAGCCATGTATTACCTTCACATTGGGAGTCCCTCATGTATAAATCAGTGCAGGGAGATTAAGCACAACTTCAATTTTAAGAATTATCTAGTTCTGAGTACCTATTCTTCCATCTTGAGCAATAAATGGGGATGCTAAGAGCTCATGGTGGTTGTAGAATCTGCAATAACAGCAGCACCAGTAGGTCATGCTCAAATAGTCAGACTGGATTGGTTTTAAAGATAATACCCTGAACAAGGGGGAGCTCATGGACCCCATACTGATAGCCGGGGACCCAGCATAGGACTGACCCAGACCCCCTGAATGTGGGTGTCAGTTAGAAGGACCTGGGAAGTCTATGGGGCCTTTGGTAGTGGATCAGTGTTTATCCCTAGTATAGGAATGGACTTTGGGAGCCCATTCCATAAGGATGGATACCCTCTCAGCCTAGACACATGGAGGAGGGCCTAGGTCCTGCTCCAAATGATATGGCAGACTTTGAAGACTGCTCCATGGAAGGCTTCACCCTCACTGGGGAGCAAAAAGGACATGGGATAGGTGTTGTGGGGGGCAGGGGAGGGAGAAGGAACTGGGATTGACATGTAAAATGAGATTGTAATATAAATTTAAAAAAGGTAGTGTGTAGCTCAGCATCCTTTTGAGAGAAAGTATGGAGATGATGCTTGGCTGGGCCACAAGTCAAATAAAATGGAAATGAACTCTCTCCCCCTCTCTCCCTAGAAAGGATTTAGTTTCTTTCTCCTATTTTCTAAGTAAATGAGAGTTCTGAAGATTTGCTTCTGTGAGGTTTTGGCTCTTTATGGGATAAACAAATGAGTTCAGCATAGTGGAAATACATGTACTAATTATCTATCCAATGACTGCTAACCCCCTGTCATGGGTGACTCAATTGAAGACAAGAAAGGACTCCTCTTAGAATTCTGATTCTTTTAAATGAACACTGATGTAAAAACCTGACCTTCTGTGTCTCTTTCCAGCCAGCATACGTTCCAAGGAAGCTAATCCCAATAACAATCATCAAACAAGGTAATCCGTCTCTGTGTTCAGGAACTATTGTAGGTGTCTGTTCAACTAACATAGTTGGATATACAATGTGCATGTTCTCAGTTTTTCTGACAATGGTGTTTGGAAAACATTTAAAGAAACCAGCGTAAGTTAGTAAACTTGTGATTAATACATAATTTTGGCCATGATACCAATGTGGAAAAACCTCGGGCAAATCTTACATTTGGGCAACAAAGCATTTTAACCGTGTGCCACATTAAAAAATAATCCGTTAAGCATGCAGAGCTTTACTTTGGAGCTTTACTTAGGATTAAGTTAGCGTATATGAGGAAAACAATTAGTAGGCCATTTAGGATGTTGAAAATGAAAACTGTGATTTAGCAGTTAGGGGAAAAAGAATTAGAGTGCTGAATTTCATTTCAGTATCCAGTTGTTTCTGTTTTGACTTCCAGTTTTCAAATTATTAAAATGACTCCATTTCCAGAAAAAACCCTTGGTAGAAGAGCTAAAGTCTTAAAATAGTTCTTCATTTTAAGAAAACACAGTGTGCTAAGTCTGTGCTAAAGATGAGGCCAGTTCCTGCTGGAGTCACTGAAAGATGAGATTCTTTGATTTGAAGATCTATTTTAATCTTTTTTGTTTTGTTTTGTTTTTAAGACAGAGTTTATCTGTGTGCTCTACCTGTCCTGGAACTCACTCTGTAGGTGAGGCTGACCTGGAACTCATAGAGCTCCACCTGCCTTTGCCTTATGAGTGCTAGGATTTAAGGCATGTGCCACCAGTTCCTGGCTTATGTTTTGTAACTTTATATTGTTTTGTTATAACAGTATTGTATGCTAGTTCTGAAATAGCTTTGTGGAAAGGGCAAGATGCACATAGAGTAGACATGGGAAATTTCCACTACTTACAATGGGATACTTCATGGTAGGGTCCTGAAAAGGACATGCTTTATTGGCTCCAAAACATGGATGGGAAGACATATCAAATTCTTCTGTTGATTGTAGCCAGTCCACTGAGTTGCTTCTGTTAATTGATAAACTTAGGTTAGACTGTACAAGGGAAGGTAGCTTTACACCATGTAGTTTCCTATGTTCATCCCCATCACACTACTGTCTTTTTCTATCTCGCCAGTGATTCAGAATGTTACCCACAGGGCTTCAACTAAAGCCCCAGACAAGACTCCTTTTGGAGGAACAATACTAGGTAAGTCGGTCACAAAATGAGTAGGCAACCTCAGCTGTCTTTTGATAAGAGGGTCATTGTGGGGATGTGTGCTAAATTAGTGTCAGTCCATTCATTTCCCTGTTTAATTTTTTGGCTTGTGTCTCGTCTAAACTACCAAACAAGACACACTACCTTTATCTTGGCTATAGCCCATGCAGAAACTTTAAGCTGTGAATGTAAACTCAGAGGATTTCTGGTGATAAACTCCAGAAGTGGAAAATACCCATTTAAAAAGGGGCATGTCATGTTTTCCTCACATTTTCAATGTGGAGTTGAAGTTAATGAAGGAAATGAAGGGCCAACCTTTGTGTTCTGCTCTATAATTCTCACTTCTTTGTTTTTGCCTTATACGCTTCTTCCTCCTCTTACATTTATATCTATTTCCTTGCAGTTCATCTTATTATTCCGGGTCTTAATGATTCCATGGGAAAACTCCCCTCGTCCATAATGCTTGAGATTTCGGATGCTCTCAAGACACAATTAGGTAAGAGGGCTTTTTCCATGACAGTAGCACTGAATGATACAGCACTGGGATTATGAAAGGAATATTGCAGATGAGACATTTGAGAACAAAATAATGAGTGTGGAGATGGAGGTTGGAGGGTCAGAGACATTACTGTCAATAATTCTGTATGAAAAACTATTTTATGCATATACACATATGAAAGAAAACTAGGTGTCAGTATCTGAAATATAGTCATCTGAATAGATATAATTTTCAGGTTGAGAACTTAAATTATACTCATTGAACTTTATTATAAGGGGCCATTGGGTGCTTTTTTATTGTTGTTTTTGAGACAGGGTTTCTCTGTAGCTTTGGAGCCTGTCCTGGAACTCACTCTCCAGACCAAGCTGGCCTCAAACTCACAAGGAACAGCCTGCCTCTGCCTCTTAAGTGCTGGGATTGAAGGCAAGCACCACATTGCCTGGATCCATTAGGTATTTTTCTTTTCTTTTTTTTCTTTTTGATAAACAATCATAATGAATTTTATTTTAAAACAATTCTTTCCTGTATAGATTATTCTACCATTTTTCCTTTTTTAATTTAAATTTGAAACAAGGTTGTTTTACATGTCAATCCCAGTTCCCTCACCCTCTCATCCTACCCTATCACCCCCACCAAACCCCATCCCATCCCCCTTTCTGCTTCCCAGGGAGGGTGAGGCCTTCCAGGAGAATCTTCAAAGTCTGTCATATCATTTGGAGCAGGGCCTAGGCCCTCCCCCATGTGTCTAGGCTGAGGGATTTTCCCTCTATGTGGAATGGCCTCCCAAAGTTTATTCTTATACTAGGGATAAATATTGATCCACTACTAGAGGCTCCATAGACTACCCAGTTCTGTCAACTAACACCACATTCCGAAGGGTCTGGGTCAGTCCAATGCTGGTTTCCCAGCTATCAGACTGGAGTCCATGAGCTCCTCTTGTTCAGGTTAGCTGATTCTGTGGGTTTCTCCAGCCTAGTTTTGACCCATTTGCTCATCACTCCTCCCTCTCTGTAACTGGATTCCAGGAGTTCAGCTAGCATTTAGCTGTGGGCGTCTGCTTCTGCTTTCATCAGCTACTAGATGAAGGCCCTAGGATGGCATATAAGGTAGTTGTCAATCTCATTATTGAGGAAGGGAATTAAAGGTAGCCTTTCCATATTGCTTAGACTGTTAGTTGGCATCATCCTTGTCGATCTCTGGGCATTTCCCTAGTGCCAGATTTCTCCTTAAATCTATAATGGCTTCCTCTATTATGGTATCTCTTTTCTTGTTCTCCTCTATTCTTTCCCTGACTGAATCTTCCTGCTCCCTCATGCCCGCCTCTCCCTCCTCTTCTCCTCTTCTCTTTCTCCTAATTCCCTCTCCCCTCCCTCCATACACCCAATTTGCTCAGGAGACCTTGTCCCTTTCCCTTTCTCTGGGGGACCATGTTTGTCTCTCTTAGGGTCCTCCTTGTTTCCTAGCTTTTCTGGCAGTGTGAATTGTAGGCTGGCAATCCTTTGCTCTATGTCTAAAATCCATATATGAATGAGTACATACATGAAAGCTGATATGAAGGGGCATCAAAATGTGAGTTCATACTTGAGCCTGGTACTGCTACTTTCTTCTAAAATGAATTGGGTAAAGTTGTGTAATTAAGAAAAAACCCAGCAAAATCCCCTTCAAAGTGTTCCAGGGAACATTTCTGGTGGATATAACTGACATCAAATTGGGCTCAAAGTTGTGTCTCTGGCAGCAGATCTGAAACTTAGATGATGGCCATTCTGACTAAAATGGGATAGAATTTTAGGATAGTTTTAGTGTGTATCCCTGATGACTAATGATGTTGAATATTTTTTCCATTTCCATGTATATGCATGCAGTATGCATTTGTTTATGTATACATGTTCACAGGTGTAGGTGTGTGTGTGTGTGTGTGTGTGTGTGTGTGTGTGTGTGTGTAAAGGACTCTGGTTCTCTGGTTGATGTGGAAATCACCCTGGATTACTCTGACAGTGTGTTCACTAAGACAGGATTTTTAAATCAAGTATAAGCATGTGCCAACTTGTTCTGGGGATCCTGTGTTTCTGTCTTCTCATGCTAGAATAATAGATGGGCCACTCTGCATGCCCACATGGAATTTAGTGGGTTTCAGAGATGTGAAGTCTCTAGTCTTATGTGGGAAGTGTTTTAGCCACTGAGCCATCTCCTTAGTTGTTTTTGAACACCTTTTAAATTGGTTAGGAAACAGTTTACCAATCACATCTGTATTCCTCCTTTTGAAACTCTGTTCAGCCCATTTTTACCTGGATTGTTTTCTTAATGTTTAGTTGATTTTTGTTTTTATAGTTTCTTATGTGTGCTAGACACTAGTTCTCTATCAGATGAAAAACTCAAAAATATTTTTGTCATATCCTGTGAGCTGCCTCTTCATAGGTTTATGGTTTTGTTTGCTGTACAAAGGTGTCTGGGTTTTCTGAGACCCCATTTGTTGATTTTATTTATTGTGGAGTCCTATTGCAACATCCTTATCTATGCCTAGCTGTTGAATTATACTCCTCCTTTCTCTTATAGTAGTTTCAGAATATTGAGTCTTATTTTGGCTTTGGTTGATGATTAAACATATTTATGAGTTATACTTCAATACAGATATACAAAGTATAATGATGAATTCAAGATAATTGGCATATTTATCATGTCAGACATGTTCAATGTCTTTGCACTGGGAGTATTAGAGTTCCTCTTCACCAGCTATTTTGAAATGTCACATTAATTGCTGTCAGTCAGAAATATACTATTGTGCAATAGAGTGTTATCAAATTATTGGAGTTCTTTATATATTTTAGACATTGAGTCTATATATGAAGCATGGCTTCCAGATGTTTTCTCTTTGATTAATTATTTTTCTGTGCAGAAACCTTTTTATTTTTTTAAACACAAAAATTGTGTGGGCATAAGAACTTTTTATGTTACCAAGGGAGAAATAAACTTCCCAAAGGTAATTAATTATCATTACAATTCTGAAAAGTTGTATTTTTTTAGGGAGTAAATCCTAAGAATAATAACCCCATTGCAGCAGGGCAAGCCCATCATGGGCCATCAAAAGATGCAATAGCTTTTGTTCTAAGAGCACATGGTGTGAATATATGGACAAGAAAGCTAGTATTGCACACACTCATCTCCAAAGGACTTACAATGGACTTGCCAAAGCTAATACATACCCTGCCAAAAGTTAAGAGAAACATCAGTGTTGAAAAATAGTATAAAAGAAAAATGGAGGAAAAGGAAGTTACTAAGGTTTAGGCCACAGTTGGATGGTGTCTGACCCTGTCAAGATAGCAGGTGTGGTGTGTGTGATATAGACAAAAGCTCATGGGTTGCAAAGTGATGCCAGAACTCTCACTAAAATATATTCCCCATCTTCTAACTACTCTGCTATCTGGTGTGTCATAGTTAGAAACACTATATGCCTTTATAAGAAATTAGTGTTGAATGAGGAACACACGTGTATCTTAAGAAGATGGTTTGCCATGCTTTCCCATTTGTAATTCAATTTTAGGTTAATGTGATTGCCAACTAAAGGCAGCCATTGCATCTAAGAACCTGAAGCAATCCGGTTTGTTGTCTCTCACTTGAGGATCTTAGGGGAAAGGGAGCTGTAAGGGACGGACACACACACACACACACACACACACACACACACACACACACACACACAGGGGTGGAGACAAACAGAAAGAGACATAGACAGATAGATGGAGACAAAAGTTTCCTAGCCAGGCAGAGGTTACCAAAAAATAAGTCCATGGGATATTATTTTTTAATCTAATTTTTTATTAATTTATTTTTTACTTTTCCAATCCCTTCTACGGTCCTCCTCTTCTCCCATACCCCCTTCCCCTCCCAATTCCCATCTGCTGCTCAGAGAGGGTAAGGCCTACCCCAGAAAGTCTACTAAGTCTGTTCAATCATCTTGCTGACGACGTAGAACAACTCCCCATACCTTGCCTAGGCTTGAGCAAGGTATTTCTCCATACGTAACGGGCTCCACATAGTCTTTGCATTAGAGTTAGCTATTAAGCGAAAAGGGAAAGATTAACAAAATTTCCCTGATGGAGTTGTGAGTACAAGGTGATGTAGACCCTCAAATTGACATTTGAAGAGTTCATCTCCCTGTGGTGTACACTGAAAATAACAGGCACAGAGTTCATGGCAAGCTTGGGAACTAATGATTCCTTGCTTTGCTAACAATCAGAATAGTTGTAAGTTAAAGCTGTGGCTATGGAGATGTCCAGAAAGAAAACCTTGGTAAATGTTTGAAAGATTTTCATAAAATACTAGGTGTGTATGGTTGGCCATCACAGAAAAGTTCTTGCTCTTTATGCCCTTGTAGCTAGATCAGAACAATGTTGTTGACTGTTTCTGTTGTGTAAGTAGGCTGTGTAGCCATAGACTCTGCCTTGATAGTGATAGCCAGCGCACTGAACCTTGTCCACAGGGATGTACATCACCAAAGCTGGTGTCTGTTTCATAATTGCCTTTTAAATCTGTAAGAAGTAACTAAATTTTGTGTTCACACTAAATGAAATGAAGGAAATGGTCTCCATAGGAGTGATGTCAGCCACAGCTGGTTACAAAATTTATATTCTCACAATATGAATATTCTCAAAACTGACTGGATCAGCTTTCAGCTGGGGATGAGAGTGTCCCCAGGAATTTCAGGAGATGGCTGGAGATATTTTCAGCTTAAAATTGAGAAAATGTCTCTCCCAAGGGTTGGGCAATTCTGATTTAGAAGTGTTCTTTATGAAAAACACCAAAGTTTTAGAAGTAAGGTTTCCTAAAAGTTGCATAGGAGAAAAAAAAATCAAATTTTGCGCCAAATTCCCAGAGGCCAAAAGAGAAGATATGTGTTAATGTGTGTCTCTAATAAAACCCACTGGTTGTCAGTTTGTTTTGCCACAAACTTATCCAAATAGCTTACTTTCTCCTATGTCTCTTATTTGTGAATTTCAGAATTTTCAGTGTCATAACCTGTTAGATTTTTTTTTTTACCCTCAGTAACAATGGAAATTCCTATTGACTTTAAAAAAAAAAATTAGCTGTACTTGAATAAAACTCAAGGAACGTTTGCAGGTCTGGCTATGCCTTACAGAAACTTTAAATTAAATGATGAGATTTATTCAAGTGTGGTTTTTGTTATTTTCTTGTGATTTTATCATTCCTGAACCAAGTAAGATCTTAGAGAAGTTCTAGCATTAATTGGGAAGAATTTTGAAATCTGTCCTCTATTCATACTAACCCTTGGGAGGAATGCACAGTTCAGATAAGTTGCCTGGGTGACAGGAAGAGAGATGTGTGTAGGTAGTTTTGTTGTTGTTGAGGGACTGGAGAGTTATCTCAATGGTTAAGAGCACTTGCTTCTACTTACAGAAGACTGTGGCTTGATTCCCAGAACCCTGTTCACAAACATCTATAACTCCAGTCCCTTTTCAGACTGTGGTAGGCACCAGACACACATGGTACACATACATACAGGCAGGCTGTTACACATAAAATACATCATTAAAAATTGTGGTTGATTATGCTTGAAATAAGTAACTTTGGACACTGTAGTACAAATAAATGAAGTATTCTTTTTCTTTTTTTTCAGCCAAGAATGAAACATTGGCATTACCAGCCGAATCTAAAACGCCTGAGGTTGAAAAAGTTGCAGCCCAGCCAGTAACAGGTAAGAGCCTGAGATTCCCAGTATGCTGTTGAGAAAGAAAGTAGCATTGTAGAATTGTTTCAGATAGTGAATGAGCTACAAATCTATTTTTCAAAGCAAAGAACAAGAAAGAAATTAATCTTGATCATAAGCATAAAACCATAGGAGGTTCTAGGTCTTCAAACTTGGGAAAAGAACAGATGAAAATCGAGGGACTGGATGACGGACATGATATGTAGCAGGTGTGTTTTTGACTATGAATGAATGTGTCATTAACACTGAGCCAGTTTACACTAAGGATAATGCCATGGTTTATGGACTTTCCTTTTGTATGGACACTGTGAACCATTTTTCATTGCCAAGCTACCTTTACAAGTGATTGGCATAGCAAAATGTCTTATATCTCCCCATAAGTCTATAACTTGTGATGAAAATGTTTTGAAATAGTCTAGAAACAAATGTCCCTGCAGATTAATACCCCTAATATAGAGAATATGTAGCAGTTTGGTTCAAAATATCCCTAAAGAAACATTCAATGAGTAATGTCTCCATAGTTTATTGTTACTACCAAACATTCAACATTTGTTCTCCAAATAAATCTACCCAGCCTGACTCTCTGGTGAGACATTAGTCCTAGAAATACTGAGTCTTTGCCAGTCTAGTGCCACCTTATCCAGGATTTGATGACACAGACAACTGGCAAGCATCCTCTGCATCTCACCCTTAGGTAAAGAACCCATCAAAAGTGAACTTCTTAATTCATAAAATTTCTATAACTTGAGGTATTTGTGGTATTCTGTTTGTACTAAATTTGGGGACTCATGTTTGGTCAAGAGAAGATAGGATTGGTGTAGGAACAAAACTTAAAGAAGCAGACTGGACTAGAATATATTGACAGAGTGAGTATTATCTTGCTTTAAGAAATGCCCTTTATAAGACAGGTAGAAACCATTTGAGCTACTAGCAGCAACCAGTAGAGTGATATTGCAAGGTGCATTTTTTTTAATCTTGTTTTTGTTTTGTTTTGTAACTTCAATGTGCTCAGTTAATACAGAGAAAAGTTTCAGCATGACCAGTGGGTAAATGAGTCCATTTCTGTGTCAAACATTCTGCCCAGCTTTCCGAGTTACATTTTCTTCTCTTGGCACAATGTCTGATGTGCATCTACAGATTTCCCAGCATTCTGCCAAGCTCTCCTTAGAATTTTCCACTTCAGAAATACTTGGGCAATCCCTGCCATGTATTATTCAGAATTGTTAGTATGTGCCCTTGCTGCAAAACTCTAGGGTTTTGTAGAGTTTTACAATCTCAGTAATCATGGTCAGTACTTCACCAAATCTTCTACCCAAAGTCTTCATTGCCTTTAATGGAGCAACAGAGACAACCCAGCCTTGGCTGAACATATTTGAATACCGACAACAATTTCAGCCTGCATCCAAGCTCTGCTGGTTAGTTGTTGCGCTTAGAGGAAATCTAGTGATGTGATACTTATTTGACCCTGCCCCCCCTTTTTTTTTTGCTTGCCCATTAATTTGCTTAGATCACTATAAGCCTGCTCATGATAGGCACCACACTACACTGTGGAGATAATGAAAAAAGAAGACAAATATCCAGATTGCTGTGAAGTATAATTTCACAGAGAGGAAGTGGGTATACTTCTGTGATCCCAAGTGGAAAGGTTGGATCGGGGAGGGGAGACAAGCAGGTATCTAGAGCAAGTAGGTAGCCTCAGCCTAGCAACTTGAAAAGCTATGGACTGCCAATAGAAGGCATGCCACACCTGGGTTGCTTCCTTATTTCATTATCTCTCAGCTAATAGAGTTGTCTTTATGTTTTAATTCTCAGTGACTCCAGAAACCATTTCAAGAGGCATTAAACCCACAATGTCTGGCATGTTAGACACTGCAGAGACGGCACTGGGTAATACTGAAAATGTTTTCCCCTTAAACTAACAGAACAACAATAATAACAAACTCCCAGCATTCACAGGTGAAAAACCCCAGTTTATGCTGCCACACCCCTTCCTCCTCCTCCTTAGTTCTTTTCTTTTTCTTTTTTTTTTTTGGGGGGGGATTAACCTTCCTGTTTCTGGGACAAGTTCTTCTGAAGAGTTAGTGCCATGCCTTGATCCTGGTGACCAACAAGACAGGCAGGGTGGATGACACTCTAACTGCATGTCCTCTTTGACCTGGCATGTGGGTTGGGTTCATGTATTTCAGCCTCTAGAGCTGCTGGAAATCTTGACTCTTCCTGGGATTTCTGTCCAGATCAGCTATGTGAAGTCCTGTGCCAACTAAATTTGGGAAGAATCACCAAGAGACAAGCTATTTAATGAGAATTTTGGTTGCTCGTGTTAACTGCTGTTTCTAACTGCCATTTCACCCAAAAGAATCTATTGTGCTTTCCTTGTTTGTTCTCTTCCCTTGAAGAAAAGGAACGGCATGTGTTTTGTTGTGCATGTGTGATGATGACCTAAAAGACACCTTCCATTTTAACAGCTATGCAACTTTTCCTGGGAGAGCCAGCCCCCTCCCAGGCTGGCTGCTGGAAAAGGCATGGATTGCTCATTGCACGCAAGTCTGTTATGAAGCATTCTGTGCCTAGTGATTGTTATGCTAGAACCATCATGTTGCTAACCATGTTCTTCTTTATTGTAGTCCTCAGTGAGAAGACCCCAGAAGCAGCACACTCTGTTCTAATACCTGAGTCTGAATTGCCTTTGAGCACTCTAGGTAAAAGTCCTCAAAGACGGAAGCATTGATGAATGCTGCTTTGGGAATATTATGCATTGTTAATAGAAATCCTTGGAGGCAACTTTATTCAAATTCATCTTCTTACAAGATAAGAACTAACAAATAATACAGAACAGTGAACTCAACACCTTAGCTCTTAAATGTGAATTGTAACAACCTTCATAATCTTGGACCCTAAAGAGACCTTCCCTGCGACAAAGCTTCCAGTAGTTTCACTTGGTGGTGGCTATGGGTTTTTGTTGTAGTTGTTCTATTTTATTCTTTTCATTCAGAATCATAAGTGATGGAACACATTAGTATATTTTTGTTTGTTTTTCTGTGTTTTATTCATTTATAGCATGATAGATGACTGAACACAGTATCTTCTGTTTTTTTCTTCTGTGTTTTACTCACTTATAGCTTTATCTTGATAGGTCATATTAGATATTTCTATAAATTCCTTAGGATTGTTAGAATTTCTTTATGAATGAAGTATTAAAATGAAGGAGCATATATGCATGGAGTTGTATAGTTGCCTTATGATTTTTAAAGTTCTTATGTAGACTTTTTCTAATTCAAGTGCTTGGTGCTTTGTTTGAATTAAATTAAATATACCTAAAAACCACATAAAGGAATGTATTTGGGAAAACTCAAGAAACTTGTAAATATATATATGGAAAAGCCTAAATGCTTCATTTGGATTATAAAAAGCCAAAATAAGAATTTTGGTGGCCCATGCTGTAATAAGTACAGGGGGTATTGTGAACTCCAAGACAACCCAGGCTACATGATATCTCAAAAAACGATTATCTTTCATTGAAACAGAGCTTAAAAAATACCACTGAATATTTGCTTGACATGCAATGATTTTCGTCTTGTATTTGTTTAGGCAACTTTGAAAATTTTACAACCTTCTTTGTCCTATTACATGCACTTGCCCTAACTATACAGTGTGTTTTGCTCCAGCTCCAAAAAGATTCCCAGAGATTCCCAAGACAAAAGCATCAGCCTTCCCTTCAGAGAAACCAGGGGATAGCTTGGGTAAATAAAAATACTTTGCATTTGGTGTAAAGAATATACATGGTGGGCTGAGGATGTACCTAGTGACAGAACTCATGTCTGTCATGTATAAGGGCATGGGATTGATCGTAAACATCACATAAAGTGGGTGCTGACTGTGCACTTCTGTAGAACACATGTACAGAGTCTCTTCCCTGTGATGCTGGATGCACTAATGCACTTGGCTAACTCGGGAAATCCGTAGTTGATTCTTTGAAAAGGAAAACACAATATTACTTAATTGGATTTCCTACAGCTTCATTAAAATTCATTTCTGTTAATTCTACATAATCCAGCTAGTTATTTGCTGAATGGATGGGTACACATTCTAATTCTGTGATGACTCTTGATTGGGTCCACATGAGCTTTGCTGTACAGGCTTTTTTTTTTTTCTAACCACTTCACCATCTCTGCCGTAAAACATTCAGTGGCTTCTCTTTCTCTGTACTATAGTTTCAAGTGAAGAACAGTGGGTGTCACCTGAAGCTAAAGCATCTGAAGATTCCAAATTTGTACAGCCTCAAACTGGTAACTGCATTCCCTTAAAAAAAAAAAAAACAGTATTAACATCTGCCTTTACTCCTGTAGGTTCTATTACTAATCATCAGTGTTCTTCATGGCATGTAGTGACATGTTTCTCTTGTTTCTGCTAATATGCAAGAATGCATCTTTCTAAGCATCAGTTTAAATATTCCATGGAATCATCCCAATTTATGTCAAATTTCAAATTAAAAATAAGTTATTTGTCATCTCCAGGGTTTATACATTCAGGAACTGACCTATTTGTATTCTTCAGTAGTTGATATGTTCATGTTTGCATTCACTTGAACCTTTCCTATTTTTAAATTTGGGGTATATTTGTGCCTGTGCTAAGCTGCATCCTGTTTAGTTTTGATATATAGCATTACTTCCCAATTACCTGGGTAGCTTTCCTTGTTTAATTATTACAATCATGGAGAACATAGATTGTGAGGAATTGAGGAACTCTTATTAGATGCTAGAAAAGGACCAGTCTTTTCCTGTATTAAACGCTCATCTCGGGGGTTCAGAGAAGTGAAGCTTTGCTTGTCTTGGTTGAATGCATTCAGAAAGTGAGTTCATCTGTGAATGAGTATTTCTATAACTTTTAATTAGATGGAAAGATGTGCAGAATGGAGACGAAGTTATGATTGTAAGGCAGCACTAAACAGTCAGCTAAACTGTGGGAAGGGTCAAGTTGGCTGTGTCTTGCCTGTGTTCTAGGTGAACACAGAATAATTTTGATTTTGTCTTGATCTATTTTCATGGCAGAACAGCCTCGCTGAATATCAATGTCCTTTGGAAAGCCATGTGTCAATTCCTGGATGGCTGGGGCTGCTTGATAAGTCATTAATTATGATTCTTCTTTTGTAAGATTTATTTTGCTTTGGAACTTACTGGAAATCTTGCCACCTTTACACACTGTATTTAAACTGCAGAATGAGTGTTGTCATAAAGACTTCTATACCAGTTTTTGAGATATAAAGGACAATTGAGAATTCTAGCTTGCATGGTTATGGAAACTCGGGTTATTTCAATAGTTTTTGGCAATGAAGTAACAGGATATTTGAGGTTTGGAGCACTGCAAGAAACATGAGCCACATAGTCCTTTAATATACTCTTCCCAACTCTCAGTCTGTTTGCCCTAATCTTTCACTAGTGCTGTATGTTGTGATTTTATTATCTGGAATTGCATTTTATATAGCCTTCTGTGAAGCATGCTAACTAGAGTTGATTGAGCTTGATTTCCTTGGCAAATTTAATTTTCCATAAAGTATATAAAGGAAATTATAAAATGTGCTCTATAATCACATACCAGGATGTAAAATGACTTATAAATTCTGTGTTTAAAGGACACTGGCCAGATCTTTGAAATACTTAAGTGCTTGTGACAGTTAGTCAGTTACTCATTGTCTTTCTAGTGATGCAAGAGTTAGTCTTGTGTTTGATTGGATGTTGGCCAGTGTATAATGGCATCTCCCATCAGGCCAGTCCCTTATTATCCTAATGTTATCACAGTTGGGGTTCTAGAGAAGCTCCCAGGTACCTTCTACCACCTGATGGACCGGGCATTTGTGTTCATGAGATCACATGCTGTTGGATCCTTTCTCCCTTAGAATTACATAATTTCCACATCAAATTTCTCTACAAAACTCTAAGGCCCATGAACCTACAGCCATGTGCCCATTTCTGAAGACCTTTGGCATGGTTAGTTCCTTTTAAAGGAGAGGGATGCATAAGGGACTTACATCTGGGATGGGTAGACAAGCAAATAGTTAGACTCACTAATTTCTTTAAACAATCGCTCCAGCGAACGATTCCAATTGAAAAGTGAAGCAATGGCCACATAGCGTGCTTTGGAATTTGAGGAACAGAGAATCACGTGTTCTCTGTTCAGTGAGTGTGGTAACCTGAATTACTCTGTAAGTGTGCCACAAGGACTTGCATAGACTCCGTGCATAAAATGAGGTCCAGGTCAAGCCTCTGTGTTTTTTCATGGGCAAAAGAGCTGGAAATGCAGCATAAACCCCACAAACAGGCATGTGTGTAATGTCCAACATTCTAACATGCTACAAAGTTTGTAGATATGAACTTTCTATTTCTCGCTTGATAGTGCCATCAGGGTTAAGCCTCCCTAATTTATTTTAACATTCCATAAAAAAGGTGATTATTTAGAATATCTTGGGCACAGACAGGCAGAAGTGTTCTCTAATGCTGAACTCAAATGCATGGAAACATTCTGGGTTTGTGACCATTTTCTTCCTTGTACTCTACTTGGAATTTTAAGAGGTCAGGCCTTACCATTTTCAATGTTGAATTCTTTCAGTATTTTGTAGATTATAGCAGCTTGTGTCACATAGTTAGGTTCTGTGAACTACATAGTTCAGCTTGCACAAAGAGGTATCTATGAGTTGGAATGTTTATACTAGGGTTGATGCGCTGAGAGATCATTGTTTAAAAGAGATAAACTCTGTACTCTATCTGCCTGTTCTGTGAGGTGTTGATTAGGCCAGTTCTGGCTTATCCAACCTCATTAAACCCTAGAGAGGGTGAAAAGTAGAAACAAGTAGTCTTGATGCTTCAAAGGCAAGAAAATGATTTTTTTTTTCATTTTCACTGTGGTCTCTTTGAGTTCTTTGGGCTCAAAAATTTCATTTTATTTCATAAATTCAAGATCAGCCAGAGCAGTGTTTTAACTTTCCCATAAATGAAGAAAGTCTTATTTGTATTTAAATAGTACAGGGGATCTGTGGTGCTTTTCTAGCTGTGTGCTATATCCCTTCATTGCTTTTGTGAATTACTGTTACATAATAAACCAGTAATAAACTGGGTAGTAGATTTCCAGGCACACACATTTTTATATTACTAAATGAGAAAAAGGCATGTTTCTTTTCCTGCTCCTGTATCTAAGTTAGAAAGTCACCATTTTTTTTAAGACCTTAAAGTACCCATCTTCCAAATTCATTGACGTGGGCATTTTTAGATGAATTCTACTGTGGGTCTACCATGAACCAGGATCTAGAGTACAGAAACCTTGCAGGACCAAATAGCTGTGACAGAATCTATTTCTTAAAATCTTTCATCCAAGAAATTATGTTTGGAAGGGAAAAATCTTTTATATGGCTACTGATGTCAGGAAATCTGATCTAAATAAAATGTTGGTTATTTGAAGTGTTTTATGTACTATCACATAACTTAACTGAGGCATTTTTAGGTTGTTATTTGCAGATAATTAGGTTTTCAAAGTAAAAGCGTAAATAAAACATAATTAACAAATGGTCTTACCAGTGTATATATTCTAGAAAAAATCTGTAAATAAAATTTTTGTTTAATTATAACTCATTATTTCTTTTATAGCTTAGAATTCTTCTATTCATTTTACTTGTCAAATTAGGTTTTTTCCTTTGACTTTGGTTTCATGTAGGCTCTATGAATTAAAAGATCAAAGCTATTGCCCAGTTTCAAATAGCATTAGCATTTTATCCACTTAAGATGGTGATTAGCAGCAAAGCAAGGTGGCATACAGAATGCCTGAACAACAGTAGCACTCACAGCCAACTCTTGGGGCTATTTATCAATTTCATATCTATAAAAGTTTGCTAGAAGCAGGCTAAACAGTTTAGTGAAATCTTCTCAGGCTGACTTACAGCGTTTTGTAAAGAACAGTTAGATACCAAAGTTTTTTATAAGGAAATGAAGTTTTTCAGAGAACTACATGCTACCTTCTTCTTTGACATCTGTCACCTGAGAGTCAAAAGATTGACATTTACAGCAAGTTGAGTTGGTCACTTATCAGAGCTGTCCAAACAGCATAAAACTTGTAGTGAGTGACTTTTTTTTTTTTTTAGTTTCTTTTTCCTTATAACTCAACTTTCAAAAAGTATGGAAGTAGAAACATGGAAACCAACTATGCTGTTGGATGTGTTATTTGATTACCAAGTATGTTCAAGAAAATTATTTGAAAATGAGAGATTTGTAACAAATGGGAATTTAGAGTCATGATCATAATTGTTGGACGATGGTAAATATTCTATTCCCTGTGAATGCCTGCAGTAATAACTTAGAGAAGGTGTCAGCCTGGCTTTGAATGAGAAATAGGGTTAATTAATAAATACCACTTGGAACAAAAAGACAGACTTGAAGAAAAAAAGATGTCATGTCACTAGAAGATTTGAGAGTTAACATAAATGCAGCCATGGCAGTTTTCAGAGGCATGTATATAAAGTCAAGATGTTAATTCACAATTTCATAAGAGATTAATACATAATAGTCAATAACCTCTCCTACCTTACTTAGAGGTGGAAAGATGATAATTGCTAGACCCATGATGAGCCTTAAAGCGGGCAGTAGTTTTGTTCTTTAAAAGATGAGTTATTCCCACCTGGCCCTTTAAAATGACCACTAGGATAACTTTATATTAAAATGTTATGTCCTTATATAAGAAGATTCTCACAACATGTACCTATTTTAGCACAGGATATCCTATTTTTGAGGACTTTGTAGATTTACCTTCACAAATGACACATATCTCCTATCTCTTGTGGGATAACATGGGCTGTTTGAGACTCTGTGTTACCGTCTAATACCATCTTACAGCTTCAACTAGCATGGGTTCTCTGTCATTAAATGCCCAAAATGAGCAGTGTCTACTGCTAGTTTCTGCTTTCTCTACCTCTTATTCCTTTGGTGACAGTTGTTGGTGCACAAAGAGAAGATGCTTAGTACCATTTTTATTTGCAAGTTCATTTTTTTATGTGAACATGAAATTTATCCCTAGATTAAAAGTTACATCTCAATTCATCCCACTTTCTTCCTTTTATACTAAATATAGAAATCTACCTTCAAATCTACCTACCTAGTAGAAGGGGTCATGGCTATATGGAGGAACACAGAAAATTGCTTCTAGGTAAAACCAAGAGGGGTGGTGCCAAGACTGTTCTAGTATTAGTCCTGCTGATGTTACCCATGGTATTAGGCTAAAAATTCACTAAGTCCACAATTCTCCCATGTGAGCACTGGCAATTGTTTTTATTGCTGTAAACCTCAACTTCATCATCTAGAAAATCTTCAAAGTGGTGGCCATGCCCCTCTCACCTGTATCTCAGGGACAGTAACAAGATTAAAGAAGTTAATTCATTAGACCCTGTGAACTCTTAAGTACCATTTGCTCCTTAGGTTCTGTGCCAGAAACTTCTACTAAGCAATAAACTCTACTATTAGCTTCAATGTGCCTTCTCTTTCCTCCTTTAGAAGCTTCGCCATACCCTAGAAGATCTGCATTTATGCTTGTTGAAGCTCTATCATTTAGAGGTGGCATCATTTCATTATAAATAAGTAGCACAATTTTCACAGCACTCTGGAGACCAGGGCCATAGCATGATATTGTCTCAGTTAGGGTTTCTATTGCTGCAACAAAACACCATGACCAAAAAGCAAGTTGGGGAGGAAACTGTTTATTTGACTTGGACATCCAGATCATAGACCATCATTGGAAGAAGTCAGAACAGAAACTGAAGCAGGGAAGGAACCTGGAGACAGGAGCTGACAGAAGCTGTGGAGGGGAGCTGCTTACTGATTTGCCTCTCATGGCTTGCTCAGTCTGCTTTCCTATGGAACCCAGGAGCTCCAGCTCAGGGATGGGCTGTCCTCTGTCAATCACTAATTGAGAAAATTCCTTTCAGGTGGATCTCATGGAGGCACCTCCTCAAATGAGGCTCCTTGCTCTCTGATGCCTCTAGCTTGTGCCAAGTTGATACAAACCTAGCCAGTATAGTATGTAAAGTCCTGCAGCTAAGACATTAGGGGTGACCATCAACTCAGTAGAGAGGAGGACAACATCTCCAACTGCAGCTGAGAGAGCAGTGGTGACTGTCAACTCAGTAGAGAGCAGCTCCAAACTCTTATACCTACGTAAAACTCTGCTTCAACCACCACTGAAATACATCAGGAAATCATGTGTAGCACAGCAAAATTAACCTATCTTTTCTTTTACCTTTTTATTTTTAAGCAAGTCACGATGTTCTCTCAAGCCCAACAACTTCAGATGAGACTGAAGTAGAGCCCCACACAGGTATAACCAACCTTTCAGTGATGCCTTTGGATGCCAGGCTTTCTTATACCTACTGGTTGCCTTTCAGGTTTTGCAAAATGAAGAAATGTGCTCTCTAGAGTTCCATAGTAGGTAGTAGCTATCTCCAAATGTGTCAGGGAGATAGTTCCTGTCCATATGGGAAATATTTTATTTTTATCAGTAAATAACCTCTGTCATAGAAGGGAAGGGTTCAGATAGACAAGGTCACCACTGGGGGAAAGTAATATGATGGCATCTTACGCTTTGGTCCAGAATCATTCTAAAACATAGTTTGTATTCCTGTACAGACCTCCAGACCTCTATGGTTAGCTATGGCAAGCTCCATTCTCTGACCCTCAGACAGGCTGTATTTGTACAAGCAAGATATCTCCACAGAGCATGTTCTGTAGGGCAGTGATTCTCAAATGCAGATGTTTTGGGAATCTCTCCTCTGCACAGGAGAATTTGGCATTCCATGGAGAAAGAACTGGTCTTACTTGCTGGGGGAGGTGCATCTACGTCTAGAACAGAGATACTGGAGATACATTACTGTGCACACAGTAACCTCCTACAACTAAGAATTCTTGGGCCCTACGTGTTGTACTGCTGATATCCCTGTGGTAAGACAGGGATATCATTTGTTTGTCACAGCTCAGTTGTATCTAAGCTTTATATTCACTTAACCAACACATCTGCAATGGGTTTAGTTCAGTCCAGTAGCTTCTTTTAGCAAACATGTATGTATCAAGCATCTACTAAACCAGGCACTGTAGAATTCAAACATAAAATTCTCTCAAACATAGGTGTCTGTGTGTGTGTGTGTGTGTGTGTAATCTTATATCGGCATGGTTTGTATGATAAGTAAAGATATATAATTTTCAACAATAGAAAATAATAAAGCTGAAACCTTAGTAAGTCCTGTTAGCAGTCATGAAACAAGGGAAGAAACTAGAAAAAAAGCAATTGAAAATAGGTTGAATGTGTAGAGCAATTTTATGGGTTCTGATATTTCAGTGATGTGTGCTTTGCAGAGTGAAGTCAGATTCAATTCTTATTGAATCACTGGCTTAAAGTATTGGCTAGGAATCCCTCAAGTATCCCTGATATTTTCCTTTTATGGGGCATTACTTTGTATTTCATTCCTACAAACTTCTCTTGCCTTATAAATGTTGATGTTTATTCCAGCAGCAACAAGTGATACTACTCTGGACTCTGTCCCACCTAAAACTTCTAGAACTCCTGAACAGCCAAGGGCAACACTGGGTAATGTCTTTTTTTTCTTTTCTTTCTTTCTTTTTTTTTTTTTTTTTTTTTTTTTTTTACAGAAATGTTGTGCTTTGTTTTCTATTAAAACACCATAACCTGTGTGAATGCCATTCTTCCAGAATGACCATTTCATCCCATTTCATCTAATCATTTATACCTCTTTTATATTTCTGAACATGTATGATATATTTTTATACAGGCATCTTTTATGTTCCATTTTATTTACCTGTCACTTACTCATACTAGAAGAACTAAAAAAATTGATTTCCTATCTTAATGTGAAAATACTCAGAAATTGCATGGACATCTGTCATCTGCATCATCTTGTGCCATGTGCTATGGCTTGCATCACCTCGTTTTCATGGACCGAGTCTGCTGGTACTGAGCAATTATCATTTTAACTTTCTCCCTGCTTTACATCATAGTGTCATCCATTAGCTGCAGGACAACGTGCATCTTTTTTCATCTTTGTAGCATGTACATTATATTATCTTGAAAGCATGTTGAAATTCCTAAAATACCTCATTTTAACTGAAATTACTTGGTGGGATGGGGTGTTTGTTTCTCCAGCTCCAAGCAAAGCATCATTTGATCCTCAAAGTGTGAAAATCTTCACCAGTCCTGACGGACAGCCTACAACAGCTGGTAACTGATGTCATTTGTGTAGTGCATGCTTTGAAAGACAGGTAAAGTGACAGGAAAGAATCAGTCACATTGGCCTCTGAACGTGCTTTTATTAATGAACATTTCCCTTCCTTCTCTACCATGGGATTCTACCTCTACAATAGTGATCCATAGTTAGCTTTATGATAAACCTCAGGGATTGTGTACAATCTTGATATTTTGAAGAGTAGCTTCTTTAATTGCCTTCAAGCTTTCAACTTTGTAAACTGGAAATGTATAGCAGAAGCATAGGTGATAATTATTTTAAGGATATTCCTTTGTGGTGAGCACAGTGATAGTATTTAATCCATAGGCATACAAAAAGAGTATCATGTAGTACTTGAAATCCTGGATATGCTGAAGAAAGATATGTGAAAGAGCTCGTGTCTTATAAAGTATTTAAATAATAAAGTTCATTAGTGTCTGATGGAGGTACAAATGAACTCCAAGATGGTCCAAGTTTCCCATCCCATAAATCCAAAGTAACTAATTGGCTTCTTCCCTGTTGTTAATGTTGTCCTTTGGATTCTTATTTTTTCTTAATCTAGAAGGCCCCCAGGGGACTCACATGCCAGCACATTTATGAAGGTTAGGGTTAGGGCTCAGGTTTGTGTTAGGGTTAGTTTTTGTTCTCAAGTATGACTTTAAGTTCCCCTCTTGAGAAATGTAATTGTTTTGGGCCTAGTGAACACTTAAACTTATTGAGTATGCACTCAGTAGGAAGCATGGCATGGGCATCTAGGAATACAAGAAAATTATGTGGTCGTTCTTGCATGCAGTAGGGCCATGTATTTATGTTTATGTGCCCAATGTGGCTGACCTTTGAGAAGTATCATTTACCAAAGCTATGTTAACTCCTCTTTCAGCTCTCCAGCAAACTACATCTATCCCCACCACACCTAAACGTCGCCAACCTGGTAAATAAACATCTCTAACTTTTCAGGTTACTTAAATCCAAGTAGATCATGCTCATCTCTCTGTAGTATAAGAAAGTTATATTTTTCTGTGGGACAGTTACTCTATAAAATATAAACTAGCTAATAGTGATACAAAAGAGATTTGGGGATAACCCGGGGAACAGATCCTGCCCCAACAGCTCACAATATGAGATAGTAACTACTGTATTCTGGTTATGTATTCACATTGACATGTCTGGTGGACCAGTGCCTACCACACTTTCAGTTTTGCCATTGGGCGTGCTGATGTAAAGGGGATGTTATTCTAGTCTTCAGGTTTCTTATAACCCGGAGAGTAATAACAATGGCAATAAAGCAGAAGATCCTCAAACCTCAGTCTGTAGTTCTTACGAAGAAGCTCCAAGAAAGAATGAGTTGAAGCCATGAAAAGTATTTGCAATATTCAGGTGGAGAAGGGGAAGGGAAGAACAGCTATGGCAGCATAGGAGATTCATTTAATTTATCAACTTGGAGGCGATGGTTTTAATGGCCTAATAGTATGCTCAGGTGTTGTACAGACTTAATCCATGTACATGTGTACTGTAAATATTGTTTCCAACCTGTGATGCTTAGAAATTCTTTCCTTCCAATTCTGCTCAGTGCATACTTTGGGAGCAGAGGAATGACTAAATATGACAGGATTTTGAAAGGTCACTCTGTTCCTTCCTTCTTGGAAGATATTTTACTATCTCTGCATTAAATTCATTTTCCTTCCCATCACCAGAAAGAACTACAAGTCCAAGGACAAATGCTGTGAAATGCCTTGAAGTCCTGAGCCTACTCAATACCATATGTGTTAGTTTGTATCTCTATGGGGAAAAGCTTTCTGGCTCTTCTGTAAATTGTTAGTCGCTGTTTGTTCTGATTGCTCCTTTGGAAAATACTGAGCATCTCACAGGCTGTATGAGTTCTGTGGCTGTGTTGCTATGAGTAGCTGGCTCTTGGGTTACTAGCTCTGAGTGCAGGTTAAGATGCCGCCTAGGGCCAGCACTTGGTAGATGCAGCTCTGTTTGTTGCTTGATGTCATACCTGGGTCTCATAATATTTTTGGAAAAAAAAAATCTTCAAGCTGAACTTAGGAGTTCTTTGAAACGTGGCTTTTAACTTGGTGTTACTGGATTTTCTTTGCGTTGTAGATCACGGCATTATGCCTATCAATAGTTGATTACTAACACCAAAACATACCCCCATTACCTAATAGAAACTGAGAATAAAAGCTAATTAGACTGAGTTGAAAGTGTAGATTAGAATCAGTCTTTGAGCGTCACCAGAATGCACCAAAGCTCTCTACCATAAGTGATTCTCTGTGCCTGGAGTATGAAATATTCTTTTAATGGAATATTTCCAAAATCTTCCAAGATGATAGATTTATTCCACTTAATTAGTTTTAGTATTAGATTTTCCTTTTGTGGTTTTATATACCAAAATTAGGAATTTGTTGATTATTTCATTTATTTTTAACTCTGCGAAGCACAATTAGTTCCTTCAAAACTTAAAATATCTCTCATTTTAGAAGTGACACCAAATGTGATAATTTCTCTGACCCTCATTTGTAGCATTCTAAAAATAATGCTAGAAAATTGATTTATGCAGCTCTTTGGTTCAAGATGTTCTGATTTCTATGTTAGTGTCTAATGTGGTTTTTCCATGGAAAGTGCAAAAACAAAACAAAACACAAAAAGCAAAACACACACACACACACCCAGATGACCTCAGCACAACCAAGCCCTTTGGTACTATCATAGCACTACTCTGAACTATGTGGCAGCTATTAAGTTGGTGGCCATCATAAAGAAAACACAGAAATATAACCATGGGAGTGAGTGAGGGTCCCTTGTCTGTATTGCAACATACTTTCCAGTACCGAGGTTGAGTGGAATTGTGATGCATTGAAAAGAAGCCTTTCAGCTGAAGGCTAGAATGGGTTCTATCTTCTAAGAACCCTGCTTGTGTGGAATGTCTCAATTCTTGAGTTGTAAAACCAGAAAGAGCTGTTTTCTTCAATATGCCAGGCATTCTTAGTTGGGGGTGACTTGCAAACAATGACTTCTGTTTACTTCTCAGAGGATTTTATGGTGTATTTCTAAAGAATAGGAGGGTTTTTTTGGTAGAAGGAGTCTTCTTTCTGGCTAAAATTAAAGGAGTTCCCTATGTAAGGAGTGTGAAACATACTGAATGATCCGATATTCACCTCTTACAGTGTTTCTGGAACTTACACAGCAGTCTTGGATATTGATTTATAAAATTATCTGTGGAGAGCTTTGTCAGTTCTTACTGCCATTGCCTAATTTTAAAGCTTTAGCTCTGGGGAGAATGCATTCCACACTCTGCTGTGTAAAGGCTTCTCAACTTGGATTCCCATCACTAGCGTGTTTTCATGGTGGAGTTCTAAAAGCAAGAGCGCTCCTGCTTTAAGTAATCATGATTTATTTTTAAGATGGCACGAGGCAACAAAAGCAACTGCTAAAAAAATGAATTTGTGTAGCACTCTCTGAAAAAATGTGGCAGGGTCCAGATGTAGGCATCTGACCACTGGAAGTAGATTAGTGGTTACCAACATGGGGGTTGAGCAATCATTTTACAGGGGTCACCCAAGACCATCATAACTATCAGATGTTTATATTATGATTCACAACCATAGCAAAATTACAGGTATGAAGTAGCAATGAAAATAATTAATGGTTGGGAGTCACCACAACATGAGGAACTATATTAAAGGGTTGCAGCATTGGGAAGCTTGAGAACCACTGATAGCGGCTTGGGCAAGTTTGTAGAGTGACCCTGGTTGAGGTTGCCAAGTGAGAAGCAGAGTCTACAAACCTCGGGTGTCCTAGCAGTTTAAATAAAGAGTTCTGCCAGCTGGAATGGGAAGGAGTTTGTGTGTGTTTTAAAAATCATTCTTAGTGAGGTTTGGAGTGAGAAAGTGGCTTTTCTGTTTCTGCTGCATTTTCAGTGGAGGCTGCTACCAGGTAAATGGAGAAAGGTGCTGTGTTATGGGCACTTTCCCACCAGCCTGGCCCCAGAATCACATCCATCCCAAAATAATATACAGAGACTCTGTTACAAAGCTGTTGGCCAATGACTAGAGCTTCTAACTGGCTAGCTCTGCCTTCGCTTTTTAACTCATTTCTAGCAACCTAAGTGTTTCCACGTGGTCTTACCAGAGAGAGACCTCTTATTCCTCTCATGGCCTACATCTTGACTCCTCTCCCAAAATCTTCCTTGTCTCTTAGTACTTCCTATTTGCCAACAGCACTTTATTCATTAACCAATAAGAGAAGCATATTTACAGAATGGCATCTCCCATCAGTGCTGGGTGTTGGGGATAGCACATTAAGTATTTCTTTTCAGTAATTATGTCTTTTGGTTTCATTATAAAATTGGAAAATATCAAAAACTGCATCGATTGATGTTTATACATGATAAGTCACATTTTTAGAAATGAATCAAAGGTACTAAATTAGAGAATGCATTGTTCCTCTTCAGAAAGTCTGAATAGACACTTCTTAATTGGACATTTGCTTGTTTGTTTGCCAAAGCTTTATTTGGAAGCAGTATGGCTCTGTTCCTTTGATTTCCATACTTTCTTGTAACCCTGGGGTCCTCACCCTTTCCCACACTGACAGTGAACATCACCACCTGAAGTAGTTAACATCCAAAACTTGACCCAAGACACAGAGCTTATGAACTGCAAATCCATAGAGCATTTCTGTGGCTACAGAACTTTTGTATTATTTGAGCTCTGGGGAAGGTCTCCATTTCCAGCTGAAGTTCACAAGAGCATGTAAACCACCAGAAGACAGCCCTATCTTTCCCAGACCTCCTTCCTATATTGCCTGTTTTTTCCATTTCACTTTCCATGCGAGATGCTTTTCCTCAGTGAATTAGTCAGTGAAGCTTCACATGTGTTTTTGGCCCGTCTTATTGATATGCACAGCCCAGTCCATTTCTGGAAAACCCGAGCTGCTGCCTCCCTTTTGTCCCTCCCACACAAGAACTGTTCCCCTCCTGAGTTAATGCACAGTGTGATCTCGCACTGCTCTGAATTGCCTTATTTTCTTTCTTTTTGAATTATGAAAGCAAGTCATTTAGTTCCTAGAAAGTCACTGTATAAAAGCTTCTGTTGTCATTTGCCTTTCGACCCCCCCCCCCCCCCCGCAGTCATGCTTTGCTTTTTCTAAACCTGCTGTTCTTCCTATTCATAAGCATCAGAGTTAGAGATGAAGTACTATCCGAGCGCTGTAAACAAGAGAAGGATTTACATAGTAATGAAAGCCAATGAGTACCAAATCAATTAATTTCTTTCTATAAGAAGTAAAAGTTCTCATTTTTTTTCCCTATGGTTGAAGTATACAGTTAATGTTAATTTTCTTCTCGAAAGAAAATTCCTTTTATTGAGTAGAATAGCACAAAAACTACTGGAAATAGCCTGTTTTTTTCCCTTTCAAACATAAAATAGATATAACCAAATAGCCAACATAAAATATAATAGTTTGTTCACTTCTCGTTGGACCTTCAGAGGGTTTGTTTAGCATCATCAGGTGTTAATTAATTGGTTAAGCAGATAGTGAAACCTGAGACTATACTTAGATACTTATTGATTTGTTAACAGAAAGTTTGTTTACTATCAATGTGTACTCGTAACCATGGGGCGTAACACACGAACCCTTGAGGCCCTTTTTACACTTCAGTTCTTATCTTTTGAGAAAGAACATGAGGTCCAGCCAAGCTAGGGACCATCCATAACTAACTGAGCCCAAGCATGGGAGAAGGCATGTTACCTTCTTCTCATTCGTGGTTGCTTTGTGAGAAACAAAATGGCAGGTGGCGACTAATTCAGAACACCTTTAAGATGCCCTGGGGACAGCCATCAGATGTTTGTAGTGAGAGCCACATGAGGTGAAGGACACAAATGAGAATTCTGAACTATTTTGCTGTGGTTTATGCAATGGATGTGAGATGAGAAAGCCTCAGCATCCTAAGCTGGAGGGACCCAGACCTTCATCAAGGGAGTGGCCTTGTCTTGTGGTAAGAGTGTTTACTTTCTGCTGTTGGACACTGCTTGCTTTCTTTGCAGCCCCAGAACCTGAGACTCTGCCATCGGCACAGTCAACAAAGGGTAAAGCTTCTTCCTTGATTCACAGTGAAGACATGGCCTGTATCACTTTCTGTGTTCAACTTTGTCCTAGATATGCTTTACTTTTAAAATAATCAATTGTCCTTCAGGGTTTTTTGTTTTGTTTTGTTTTATTGCAGTTGCTTTTTGCAAGAATATCTACCCTGTGCCTTGGCTTGGCAGAACAGAGGTCTGGGACACCCATGAAAGCCACACTGCCTTGGATGTGGCACATGCTTTATTGTCCTATCTTATATTCAAGGATATTTTTCCATAGTTTTTTCTAACTTGTTATTTCCAGTGGAGACTTCTGGCTTCCTGGGGCATAATTGTGCTTCCCTCTGGGAGGTTTTTAACATTTGCAGACTTTCTTGAAAAGCGTGATGATCATTCCAGATCTGAAAACTCTGATGTGTCACCAGATAATCCATTAGGAGGTAGAAAGAAAGGAAAAAGAGAACAAAGCCAACCCCTATAGTTTCTTTTTCTTCAAAAGAGAACAAATAAATAAAACCAAACAAAACAAAGAACCCGGTTCTGGTGCCTTCCGAGCCAGTTACCCATAGTTTCCTTCACAAGAGCTCCCGGTTAGTGTGTTGTGCCTCCAGCTTCCAAAGACCCATGCCTCTGCCCTTTTTTTCCATTTCTTCTTCCAAACTTAGCTGGCTACAATTTTATTCATTTTCTCTAAAACCACAGGAATTGATTTCAGTAGAAAAGGTTACTTCTCGTGTGGATAAAATATCACCATTTATAATTTGCTCAAGCTAGAAGTTAAAAATTGAGCGTATCCCACATTTAAGTTGATTCTATGTTTCTCCTTTGACTTGATTCTGTCTTTATAATTTTGCAAGTGGTTTGGGAGCCTGGAGCCCTGGGAAAGTGTCAGTAATAACATTAGCAGGGCACACAGTTACTTAATGAGTGACTCCTTTCTTCTTTTCTTAGTGGCCGGTGTCGTCATTGGCAGACTCACATTATAGAATAATATATCGATATCTACTTGTCTATGTTCTTGGTTATCCTTAAAATTTTTAAACCATATCTCTAGCCTATAAATATATCTCATTTTAAAAACTGTTTCCCTTGATATAACTTCTAAACTCATTTTCCCCTATTGCTTATATATGGACATTTTAAACACCAAGCAGAAATATCTCCTGCTTTGGAATACTAAGCCAAATTTTATGTTTTTTATTCTTAGTGTGTCTGAAAAGCAGCCTTCCTTGTGTTCTTCCTGGTGGTATCATGTTGAAATTTTTGTGTGACCATCTCCTCTAAACTATACAGTAATTTTGAGATTTTCCAACGTCAATCTCAGAGTGAAGAAATAAGGAAATCTCTTGGGAAATTTACAAATCTAGCCAAAAACTGTGAAGAGAAAGGGAAGGGTGAAGGGAATAGAGAAAGAGAGTGACACACACACACACACACACACACACACACACACACACACAGAGAGAGAGAGAGAGAGAGAGAGAGAGAGAGAGAGAGAGAGAGAGAGAAGAGAGAGAACAAAACATCAGGCCCCCCCTAAATTCTACAGTTTGTGTAACTGGGTGATAATAGGAAGTGGCAAAACAGAATGTGTTCAGACTGAATCAAAAGGTTCAATATGTGACAATGTAACAGTTACTCAGTTTGTATCTCCTACTACTCTTTTTGTTACTAACTAGAAATTTTCCTTTCTTTAGCTCCACCAAAGACCAAAAGGCCAGGCCACCGCCACCGTCCTAAAACCACACGTAGTCCAGAAGTACTTAAGTCCAAACCGGGTAAATGTGATACTTAGGGATGCAGGCTGAGACTTCTAGTTTGTTAGCTGCCACCCTCCAAATAGCTGGGCTTTAGGGAACAGCATGTTTGGTTTGTAGAGAGAGTTGAGCAGCTGTATACTCACTCTCTACATTCATGTTGCATATGATGCATCCATATATTTATTTGTGATTAGTAAGTGTACAGTGTGAAAAGCTGTCCCACTTAGATTAATAAAGTGAGAATCCTGAGTCTGACAGCTGATACACATCCAGGACAGCTGAAGTATGGGAAAGTAAGACTGAGAAGGGGATGGATGGGAAAGGCAAAGGGGCGTTACGTTCAGAAAGAAGCACAATCTGTGCTTACCTTCTCCCTGAAGGCACAATGTTATGTCCCTTGGCCGCCACTCCATGGCATAATTGGTGTTTTTGGTGTTTTGCTTCCTTAGCTCTGGAACCTGCCACTGTACCACCACTGGAGCCCTTGGTACCCACAATTGGTAATTCTGCATTCCGTTTTGCTTTCTTGTTATTTCTTTTCATGGTCTTCAATCCAGTAATGACTGACTGTTAACCATGACATTCTTCATTACCTGTGTGGGTGGGAAGAGCCTACAGACTGGAGAATTCTTCCAGGACGATTTGCTGCAATAATGTAGGGAAGATATGGGGTCTTGAGCTGATCCCATATCCTTTAATTCTGTGTCCTGGTGTTCAGAGAGCCATCTGTTCTTCCTCACAGATGTCTGTCATCATCCTGGACTAAACAAATGCATACATTTTTCTAGTTTTGTGGCTAAAATGTCATTGCTTTTTTCATCAAGCATGCAATACTCTGAAAAGCTACACATTCCTATTGGAGAATGATTTTAGTGTGTTTGGATAACATGGACTGAGTATGATCTGGGGTCCAGTATAAAACTGGTAGTTGTCTTTGCAACTTGAGAATATTCAAAGTTCCAAATTTTTAAAAATTATTTTTAGTGGCAATGTCATGCCTATAATTGTTTCATTGTAAATTCTCAGATATCAGTTTGTCTGTATTGATGTTAAGAAATTCCCCACATCAGTAACCTTGTGTTATTTCTTACGTTAATAGCAGATATTTTTGGGTAATTTTCCAGGTTTCTTCTTAAGCAACTTTCTTTCTCTCTCTCTTCTGTCTCTCTCAGTCTCTCTCTCTCTTTCTCTCTCTCTTTCTCTCTCTCTGATTTGTGCTAGAAAGTTGCCAGCAAAGCAGTAAAACTGCTATACTTAATCCTTCTTAAATGACGTATTTAAGAAGGAAATCATATGATAGCACCTATGCTCAAAGATACACTTTAAGCATTTCCTTAAAATTGTTCTTCCAGGGGCCTGGAGAGATGGCTCAGAGGTTAGGAGCACTGGTTGCTCTTCTAGAATTGGTCCTGAATTCAATTCCCAGCAACCACGGAGTGGCTCACAACCATTTATAATGAGACCTGGTGCCCTGTATGCATAATAAATATAAATCTTAAAGAAAAAGATTGTTCTTCAATGGAAAACTAATGGTGCAAGTGAATGACTAAAATGGGCATTTCCACTATTCCTGGAACCATTTTATAGTTGCGTTGAGTCTTCACAGAGTGTTTCTCAGCTTATACATCCTTAATTTTGATGGTCACAACCATGACCATTATGCTAATTTTAATGCCTTTTTCTTTTAGCTCCTAAACCATCCCAGAGACCCAAAGCAACACGCAGGCCAGAGGTACCCCAAATCCAGCCTGGTAATCAACACTTTTAATGCCTTAGTATGTATATGGGAAAAGAACACACATGTAACATTGATTTTCACACCAACAGCTTTTAGCTGTGACACTATGGTACCTTTTCTTCTTCAGATGTAAAACCACCAAAGCAAATGCTTCCTAAGCCCAAAGTCACACCTGACATGTCACCAGCTAAATCTGGTAATCACAATTCCCATGGCCTAGCTTAACACTTTTTTCCCCCAGTGGAAATGATGTTGAAAGGGTTTATATATTAGACCAATCACAGAGCTGAGTATCATAATTTTGTTCTTTATCTTCTGAAAGTATTCACACTAGGTGTAAGAAATGGGAACATTTTATACCAGATAGTCTTATAAATCACACACTTTAAAAAAAAAAGCATTTTTGTGCCTTTCTGAGTTTATAATGAATAAAAGTTAGATTTTTCTGTACCTGGGACAATTTAAAGTGACTTTGCTAGCTGTTTATAGGTAGTACACACGGGAAGGGACATGGATTCCTCCATCATGGGCACAACCAATAGGGACTGGCTTTCTCTGAACTAACCTGTTGGCATTCTAAATAGTAATTGTTAACTAGGTGGTTTTCTACCATATTAAAAAGAAAAGGTATATAACAGCTTTGAAAATCCTGTTTACAACTGAAAATTTTTCCTGATTCCAATTAGTATAAAACTAAGAGATCTTCTCATTATGAATTAGTCCATCATGTAATCAACCTTCATCAACCTAGTATTAACTGTGGTCGATGCCCCTGAATTAAAGATTACGAGTACTTAAGGTTGTTTTTTCATCTGTGTCCTATGAGCCTGCTGTGCTGGGAACTGAAGCCCCTTCCCTATAGCCATAGGTAACAAATGCTTTCTTAACTGACGTTTCCTGGAGATTTCGCCTCTCATCTCTCTCATCATCTGTACTTTCAGTTTAATCATCATTCAAACTTTCCCCATTTGTTTCTAGAAAGTATTTGCTGGTTTTGATGGAAGCCATTTTAATATCATGCCAGGCATTCATGCATTTGCTCAGCCAATAGCACCTGAGTGTTACATTTCCTTTGACCTTCAGAGTCAGATCACTTGCAGCACCTGACACTGCCAGAAGCCAGAGGGCTCTGTTCATCTGTCTTACAAAGCAGGGACTTTCTGAAGCCTCTACATGTGTGTGTGCGTGCATGCATGTGTGTGTGCATATGTGTGTGTGTGTGCATACAAAGAGAGCTGGCTAGAGCTTGTGATGATGATCCATCATTTCTGATAAGGGCACTTTTTCCTTGAGTCCATACTATTCATATGCAAGTGGACCTCTCTGTTGAGAATTCATCTTGTGGAAAAAAAAAAAAAGTTCTAACAATATCTTCTTCATCTTGTCCCAGCTTCTTTCCAGCTCTGTCATTGGCTTGGACACTGCTTTCTGATGCATTTTAATCCAGCTTCACACTTTGGTTCACTGAACCATCTGGGAAAGTCTGTCTCTATACTGAGGCTTAGAGGATTAAAGCCTCTAACAAGACATTTGAATCCTACATGGAATCTCCTAGATCTAATGAAAAATTTAAGGAGATACTAACTTAATGTGAGTTGTAATTTTTCATTTCTGATCTATGAGGAATTATTTCATTTATAGAAATCATATATACTGAGATTAAAAGCTGCATTATTTCCTTTTTAATCCTGAATTATCTTTATTTTTAGTGAGGGGATGGTTTCTAGGAATTGAAACTAGATCTTACTCATACTACACAAGTGATCCATTGCTGAGCAATTTTCCCAATCCTCCACATGTAGTCATATACTGGATAATTACATGCAAATTATCCATTTGAGATAAGTAAATATGAAACATGATAAGCACCACATATGCTATAAAGAGAAGGCAGGCATTTGCATCTATCTTCAGGAAACAAGATAGTTGGCAATACTTTTCCTAGTCTCACAACCATCACTTGTCCCCCAAAATAATGATGGTTAATGTCTTTGAGATACAACAGAAGCCTCTGTAGCCATTTTCAAAATAGTTAAAATAGTTTAGTATAACACATCATAAGCTTGTAGAGCCAGAGTGTTATCATTGTAGAATCAGACAAACTTAGGAAAATACTTTTCAGTAACTTCATAGTCATTCTAGGTGAAAAGTGTGTGTGTGTGTATGTGTGTGTGTGTGTGGGGGGGCAGACATATATAGAGTCTGGTCAGCTACTAGCAGTAATAGTATTCCTGACTTCACAAATGCTTTTAAACTAACAGTCTTATATCCCTCGCCCACCTCTGTCAGAATTAACATCTTGTTACTTAATAGGTAGGAAATTTTTGAAGTCTATTAACTTATCAGGCCACTAATGTCATCAGATAGCATCTTGGGCCTACAGAATAGCTTCCCCCATCTTGCTGTGCCTGCCTCTCTGATGTATCCATCAATGTATTTTAAATTTGCCTTGATTTATGACTTTCTTTGATTTTTAAAACTATAAATTTCAAGTAACTGTTTCCACGTTGGGATGTGGAATTTGAAATAACCTGAATCTGTGTTTCTGGATCATGATCACTCAAAATATCTGTAGAATAAACTATCTCTTAGTCCTTTAAGGAAACAACAACTAGCTTAAAATGTTTCACTTTTAAGATAAACCACTTTGTACATTTCTTAATTTCTGTCATGTATTGCTTTTGGTCAGTTGCTACCACAGACATTGAACCTGTAATTATGAGAACCAAGGCTCCAGTGACAACATTAGGTAATGACCTTTTTATGTCTTTACACACGTTCTCTACTTACTGCCAGATCCATCTCTACCTGGGTCAAGGGGATTTTTCTTTCACTCAAACTTCTTATCATTAACTGTATTTCTCATTTTAAATATATCTAGAGTACTTAAAGGATATTATAAGTCACTGTTCAGCTCTTTAACTACCCCTACCCCTATTATCTTTGCAAATGCTTCCCAGAGCCCATGAGTCTATTCAGTACTCAGTATTAGTCTACATTAAAAATAAATTCCTGGTCTCATCGGAGTGCCTACCCCTTAAGCTATCATTCTTGAGCTATTTTTTGAAGATGTAAAAAAAACTTTGGTTGTATGCAAGTGATTTTAGGAAGTGTAAAACACATACCACAGTACTAATTTTAATGGCTTGTATCCCTAAACTGAGTCTTTGAAAGGACAATTATCCAGAAGCAGGTTAGCCAAGGTCTCCCTGATGTGATCTCAACATGCCATGTTTCCAGCTCCCATTAGGTCTGCAACTTCTTTGATGCTAGCAACTAACAATAAAAAAATCAGAATAACAAAAACAACATCATGTAGTCTGTTCCATCCGTCAGCAGACCACAGATGTTTTATGTATATATTACCAAGAAAGAGACACTTGATTCTCCAAATTCAAGGGTCTGAGAAGGTTTCAGAAGCTTCACATTCATGTGTTCATCTTTCTTTAATCCTGAATTCATACAACCACAATAACCACTTTGCTTTCTCCAGCCCCCAAAACAACACGACCAAGACCTCGCCGCCCACGCCCTCCTAAAGATAAGTCCACCCCAAGCCCAAAGACACCTCAGACTAAACCAGGTAAATGCGGTTCTTGGCTCCTTTGCCTCTGCCTTGGATGTGACAAAAGTGATAGTGCCCCTGTCATTAAGGGTTGAAGGCTTAAGCCATAGGAAGCAGCTGATACCAGCATGGCAGTCTGGCCAAACCCTATGAATTCTTTGTATTGCTTTCATGAGGAATTCTTTGTTACCTGAGAATTTTATGTGTTTTCTTTTTTCACGGACATTTAATTACACTTTGCTCTTTGATTATAAATTGGAAAAATATCTACATAGTATATTTGATTCAAGAGTCAAGTACTTTATTAAATGCCACATCGCATTCTATCTGTGGGCTAAGCATTGGCGGTAGCAGGTGACTTAGTTGAACAAAGAAGCAACTCTTATTCAGACATCATAAATAGAAAAAAAAAAATAAAAAAGAACAGGAGCAGCATTAGGTGGTTACTGTTTCACTAACTGTTGAACACATAATTCATTCTTAAGCAAAAATTGTTTAATATGGACCTGAAATTTTTAGCCTTTATAGATTTGCCAGAGAGACTAAGCCTGACTCCTAAAACTGAGAGAGGAAGATGCCATGTATGGAATTAACAATAGAAAGATAAGAACTAGAAGTGTAGCCTGACTGAGAATGGCAATATTTGTTTAGCTGAACCATGATGTTATTTTTGGAAAGTCCACAAAGATCACAGAAGCCCAACTTCAGTGATTGCTTTGAGCCTATTGGCATGTCCCGCTAGGCTACCCTTCATAGCCCAGTCTTTTCTGTATAATGAAGAGATGGAGTAACAAGTTCCGTGGACTAATGTCCCTCCAGATCTCGCTCTTTGCTTGCCTTTGCTCAAACATAGGTCTTCATCTATTCCCAAAGCAGACTCAACAGAATCAAGCCTTGTCTATTTTGGTTATTCTTCACTGTGTCAGAATATATATATATATATATATGCAATTGTATTTATCATGACGCCAAGATTTGTTTTCATTCATATATATATATATATATATATATATATATATATATAGTCTTACAAATTAGGCTTTCACATTAATTTCATATGATTGTTAAACACAATATTATTATATGCATAACATTTTTTTCTAAGCATAATTTGCTATTTGCTAATGTACATGCAATCAAAACCTGTAGCTAACTGTAGAAAAACAAGCAAAAACCAGCTTTACTTCTATACAAATGCTAAGAATAGGGCTGTGTTGTACAAACATCTGTGAACCCCTATGTAGAAACTTTACAGTTTTTTGGTGTTTTTCCTGTTGTGGATTTTGACTATAGAACCAATGCTAGACTGGTAAAGCCCATATTCAGGTGAATTTGACGTATTTTCAGATATGTTTCATATTTTCTTGTTTTAAATTGCTTTTGGTTTCTCACAGCAGACTTGAGACCTATCACTTCTGAGCCATCTTTAGGTAATGATTCTTTATATCCTTCTGTGGGCACTTTTGTCTGTTCGTTGTTGAGCATCACCATGTGTTGAGCGTCACTGTGGTTGCTGAGGAGATTATGGTAATGTTTCCAGTTTTATCCAGTCATAGGACTGATCTCAGAAGTATTGCAAGTTTTCTTACCGTTTAACAGAAAGGTACCTTGGCTTAATTCGGGCTAGTTGTCTGATCTTTGGCCTGCCTTGAACCTGTGTCCCGTCAGTCTGAGTCTTTAATCAGACAACTGGCCCTCCTAAGGGAGACCTCCAATGTAAGAGCAGGGATGGCACAGTGACAGTTATCTGAGAAGTTTGTGTTCCAAATTTCAAGTTCTGTGTTACGCTTTTCAACTCTGCTGATATTTCAGTAACTTTTACAATACTTACTCTAATAAATCGCCAAGTACAGAACTTCCCCAGGCACAATCATATTAATTTTAAAGCATCACTGTGGAGTTGGTTCAAAATTCACACCACTAGAGTTGAATGTGGATTTATAACCAATTTGGGGTTAGAGATGTGTTCAAGGAAATAGTGGTGGCTCTTAACTTACATTTCTTAAATGTAATTATATCTAATATTTTTACTCTGGAGGATTCTCAATTATTAAATAAATCTGTTAATGTACTAGAGGAAAGCTTTCAAACCCTAGTGACAGGATTTCTTAGCTCAAACTGTTAATGTTTTTTTTGTTTGTTTGTTTGGTTTGGTTTGGTTTTTTGTTTTTTGTTTGTTTATTTCTTTAAAGCTTGACAGGATACATCATCCTAGGCAAAGGCAAACCTTTGGATTCAACATCATACTAATTCTAAGTTCTCTTTCATCAGCTTCAACAACCACAAAAAAAGTCCGCCGCCCACGTCCCAAACCTAAAACCACACCCCATCCAGAAGTACCTCAGACTGTATTGGGTAAATATGTGGCTTGTGATTTAGTCTCTATTAGAAGGTGTCCTGCATATCTTTTCATGGTGAAAACGCCTTGTTTGCAAGGAGAACATCATGTCCCTAAGAACTTTATGCTTCTTTCTTAAAAATATTGTCTCTCCATGGCATTATGTATATTTTTCTTACTCATCTTCAAGATGAGATTGCTTGGTATAGTATTGAGCCATAACAATCTGATCATTAAGCTTGTTTCACTCTCCTAAAGCATCTCAAACCTTGGCTCAGAAGTAGGGGGCATAGTCTTATGTACCACTTAGTTGACAATACACCATCAAAGAACACCTGTCCCACATGAACAGAAAGTAATGTAAGGCAGCATGTTCATGAAAGTATAAAAATAATTTGAGCACCCAAATGCTACATATTATGAGCTCTGTGAAAATTTAGATGAAAAAAAAATCCAAGCTAATTATTAAGTGCAGGATTTGAAATATGAAAGAACACATGGAGAATGAGTAAAATGACTTCCAGACAGAGGATAACATATTGATACTCTCCTGCCAGTTCTCTTATAGAATGAATTACAGAGACTGGCTCTCAGAATGAATTAAAGAGATGGGGGATGGGAGGTGACTGAAATCTTCAAATTGATCCTATAAGATTTAATGGTTCTCCCTTCTGCCCAAGATCATGCTCTTTCTATTCATAGAACTAAAGATACCCCAACCCAGTGATGACAAAAACTAAGAGGTGGTTCTTCATCTTGTTGAGAAACAGTATGTTCTCCAAGGACTTCGCCTCTTAATGAATGTGGTTTCAGCTTCCGTATAGCCATGAACAGCCATCATAGACAAACCATACTGTTATTCCAACACTTCCTACATTTTCTTCCTTTTCACCCTCTATATCCCTGTTTCTGTCAGCTGCAAGCAGGTCATGGATCTAGCACATACTCAAGTCACAATATAAATACAAACTCTATATCTGCAGTGACAAAGTGTTAGTCACAGGGACAGAATCACTGGAAATCAGAGTCTGTAAACTGCATTATGTTCATATTCAACTATCAAACTGCTCATTGCACCTAGCACTGATTAGTGTTTAGAGTGTTTTCTGATTTTTGCCTTTCCTAAAAATTTCTGTGTTGTCTTCCCATCTTTTTCTGATAATGAGTCAGATTTTCTATATAGGTTCTTATGTTAGTTAAAATTGGATAATTACCAGCAGTGGTATTCCAGAGTTGATATCAAGGAGATGCTCAACAGAGTCCGAGAGCTGTGACTAACCTCTGAGTCAAATGAGTGTGTAGTGATTCTTTGAAGAAGTATTCAAATAAAAAAAAAATGTTCATTTTCTCCAGTTACGAATATTAAAGAATAAATAAATAAGGTTGCTGCCCATGAAACCTCGATTTTCCTGGTAGGATGAATTTTCTAACATTCCATGCATTCATAAGGTCTCTTTGATTTCTTTTCGTCAGTTCCTGCTACAACCCTTGAACCAGTTATTAGAACTGAGGCTCCAGGGATGACCTTAGGTAATGACATACTATGTCCTTTCGCATCTGTATTTCTTACCTATTTTGTCACCTTGACCACCACCACTACTGGGACTTCACAAAGCTTCTGCATCTTCAGGTCCTTCAACTGTTTAACATGTTTGAGTGTTAAAAGGGTATCTTGTTTTTATGAGATCCAATGTACTGAAAAAGAATACACACATACACAGATATAGGCTTATAGTCACCCCTTAGATTTTTTTCTATCTCTGCTTCCATGTATCATGTTAATCATGGGGACATTTTTTTTGTTATGGGCTGCCTATCTCTGTACATGTAGCAGAATCTATGTACCATCTAGGCTTAGTTAATTTGTACAGTTCTTATGATAGTTTTTTTTACGCACTGAATTTCTGCATTTTAACCATTTCAAGCTTTGTTTGGTTTTGCCATTTTAGAGAATGATAAAACCTTGATTTTATGAGGATGAAAAAAGAAAAATATACTCAAGGGTGGTCATTTGAAGTTATCAGGACTTTCATTAACATGAAACTACCCATACAACCCCTGTGCACACTGTAACTCTGTAGCATTTTGAAATATTTTTTCATCCAGCAACTCTTTTTTTTATTTATAATTTTTTTATTTAATTTTATATAACAAAGTCCAATTAAATGAAAACAAACATTTATACACAATATTTGGGAATTTGGGTGTCGTTCTTTCCAAACTACTTCCTGCTGGTAAGGGGCGCTGTCTTGGGGGATTCGAAGAAGATTCAGATATCCTAGCTGTAGCCTGTAGGGCTGTTTTGTCCAGCTGTTTTGAATGTAGGATCAGCTTGTACTCTTCATCCACAACTCTTAAACAAAGTTGTAGGAAATATTCTTGATATATAGATTCATATTCATCATGAGTTTTGTTTCTTGGAGAAATACAAGTGTCATAAAAAAGCACAATACCAAAACAGGGACAACTATTGTAAGCTTGAAAGGGAAATTCCTTGAAGCTCAAGAAATCATAAGAAATGTATTCCTAGTCAACATTTCCAGAATCCAAAATATATTAACCTGAGATTTTCTTCCTTCAGCTCCCAAACTGCCTCAACAACCAAGCCATCCACATCCCAAACCTAAAACTACAAGGCGTCCGGCAACACCTCAGACAGAACCGGGTAAATGTGTAGGGCCCATGTTAAAAATTCTGGCAGCCCACCCAAGCAGGCCTTTACAGAAAGTGTAATGGCAACTGAGGGCCAATGGATGGCTCAGTCAAGGAATAAGGGATATAATTTAACGACCGATATCCTCATGTTCTGTAGTTGTTTTTCTGACAGTGCCAGTCATTATCAAGTGTTCATGGCAACTATGTACATTCATGAAACAACAACAGAACGAGTATATGTGTGTATCAGTGGGGTTGATTTACCAGTTACTGCCAAGTCCTGAGTCACAGTAGGTATTCAGATCAGACAACAATAAGCACTTTCTCAATGGTGCCAGAGAATAGATAATTCACTTCAGGCTTGGTAGAGCATGTGGTCTCTGGCATGTTTTTATTGTTTGTTCCCCCCAACTGCTTACAGATATAAAAAAGTAATTCTTACAGGGGTGGATAATGGGGAAGTTCCAAAGCACAGAGAATGCTTGGCAGCCAGTGAAAGGAAGCACATTTTCTCTTGTGAAAAAGATAACATTTCCAGGAATTGGATGGTTTTAATGAGGCTCCTACAACTAATGGCCCATAGGACAAGTTGAAAAGTTCTAAATGTTGAACTTGGGAGCTTAGAGTATACCAGAGAAATGATTTATTACCACAGTTGGAGCATTAACCAAGGCTTCCTTGCTGTGTCACAGAGTGACTGCCCCTTGTAATGCTCTCTTATGTACTCAAGTTGGACATCTTCTCAGTAAGGTGGATTTGTTCTAGCTGTTAGTCAGCCTTGTTAACTAGAACAGAATGACTAGCACAGACTACTTACAAAGGGTAGGTTTGCCTAGTTCATTAAATGATTCCTTCCCAAACACTTCCCCCGAAGTAGGACTCTATGACTGTCCCCAATGAGTATTAATCTCCTTGCCTTTGAGTGAGTGCCTCTGTGACCAGGAATTCACGTCAAATCACTGTCAATGACAAAAAGAAGGCATGCTTGTTTAAAAAGGGTGAAAAAGTCAAAGGAACAATCTCCTACACCTTTAGGAGATCTGAGTGCTGTGGGAAGGTCTCTGGTATCCAGGGCCATAAGATCCAAGGTAACTCAAAGCTTTTCTTTCTTCAGCTAGCAAATTGTCACAAAGAACCCACCGCCCACGACCCAGACCTAAAACCACAGTGAGCCCTCAAGCACCTCAGATGAAACCTGGTAAATTGGGAGTCGGTGGCTTCTGGGTGAGCCCCCGTGGTCTGTCCCATCACAGACTCAAAGCAATGCTGGTGGTAGTCAGTAGCAGCTCTTACACACCCTCAGTGTGAGGATAGGAGGAGGCACCAATAACTTCCCTGTGGATGTTTTAAGGAAAATTCGGGTAGGTGAGATGTAGGAGGAGCTAGAATACCTTATTCATTCTATGTAAGACCCTTTAATTCAACTTTGTATTCAGTAAGAATTTTACGCTATGCATTTCTATTCAGATCTTAATAGGGAAACTACACCGGAAAACCCAACATGTTTAGTTCAAGTCAAAAAATGCTGAGCCTCTTACATATCCCCAGCCTCACATTTGCAATTGTAAATAATAGACCCATTGTAGAAGATTTTTTTTTAACTTCTTATACAAGAAAACTGAGGCCAAGCAGCAAAATAACAGCCTAGAATCCAGGAAAAGAAATTTTAAGGTTGTCTGGGTTTGGAACTTGGGTACACTACAGGATTTTGATCAATGGAGAAAAGAGGAAATAGAGGGACCAGACATATGTGTAGGTCAGCCAGAAATATAGTAGAGTCCAGATGAACTATATTTATAAGGGTACATCAGGACAGTAGAGGAGGAGGTTGAGAATTGGTTCAGAGCTTAGGATACAGAGATACAGTATCACACACAGACACTTTGATTTCCACCTTTTATGCTTATGGGGAAGACAGATGCTACACTGGGTGCTAGACTAGAAGCTTCCTTTTATGCTACTCTTTTATGGCTTCTGCGGATGTAGTTGGTTTTTCTTTCCCTATCGGGGCCTGCCACCCAGCTCCCAAATAAATACTTGAAAACTTATTCTTTCTTATATGAATCCCAAGCCTTAGCTTGGCTTATTTTAGACAGCTTTTTAAGCTTAAGTTTATCTCATTTCTCTTTAACTACATTTTGCCTCTGGCCTTTCTACCTTTCTTTATTCTCTCTCTCTATCTTTTCCTCCTCCTTACACCATGGCTGTCTGGCCCCTGGCATCCCCTTCTCCTCCTTTTTTAAGTTCTCTTGCCTTCCTACATTTCTCCTGTTTAGTCTCCCTGCGCACCAGGCCCACGTATTTCTCTCCCCTGCCTCGGTACTGAGGACTCAGCACCTTTTTAGACAAATCAGGTGTTTTAGGAAGGCAAAGTAACACAGCTTCACAGAGTTAAGTATGTGCAACATAAAAGAATGCAACACATCTTTGCATCATTAAACAAATATTCGACAGCATAAACAAATGTAACATATCTTAACCTAATATTCCACAACACAAAGGGGTCTCAAATTCCACAAAGTAGGCAGGATTAGCACAAGCCATGTGAGTGATTATTTTTATGTATGTTTCAAACCTCTTATTTCAGGGTTTACTCATGGGAATTCATGTAATGCTTTTAGCTTACTTTTTTAAGAATATATCAAGTAAATGCATTAAAATATTTTCCATCGTAGTGTTTTCTATATATACCAGAATTCATTTGTTAAAAACATTGCAGAATGCCATTCTGACTTCTTAACTCTGTAACTTCCCAGGTTAAACAGCTACACCCAACAACCATCTCAACAAAAGTTTAGCAATCACTTAAACAACATTCTTTCACATAAAAATTTAATTAAATTTTTCCCTTGGGACAATTGTTATTCTAGTCATATATATGTTATATGTAAATGTTCTAACATAAGTATGCATTTTAAGTCTCTTTGGCTTATTGTGTTGTCTTTGGCCAGTTCCTCCTGTAGTCCTGGAACCTGTCACTCTTAGACCTGAGGCCCCAGTAACAACACTAGGTAATGTTGCTAAGCTATTTTTGTAACAGGTCTTTTCCTTATTGTCACACTAAGAATTTAATCTTACTTTATAGGGTAGCTGAGTCATAACTGTGGCTATTCAGTTATATTCATCTAAAAATTATGAAGACTTTGTAATCATCTGCTTTTAAAATGTCATATTTGAAACTTATTTGGGCCATTTACCTTCCACATTGCCTACTTGAAGTGTGTCCTGTTTAGTGTTTTGTTTTAAGAAGGCTTTGCTACAGCTGTGTTTCAGACATTCTAGAAGTCTCAGCTACACAGAGAAGCTATTAACAACTTCGTGGAGCCCAAAGGGCCCATGGCACATTTATGTTTCACTTTTTTTTTCTGTTTTGTTTCTATTTAATAAGGATTATTTTGATAATTATATAGAGAATATATTGCAGATTTGAAAGACTAAATCACAAATCATTAGTGGAAGTGTCCATTATCCATTCAAATTTAGGGATGTCTCCTACTCATTTTAGTTCCAGCCATGCCACTAATTAGATAATAATTACTAGCCTTTATTTCTATAATTAAATGGTAACTTTTTCTTCATAGAATTTATGATTAAAAAAACTAGATGATGGATATATGAAAACCAACAAGCTATTATCTTTTCACCTTCCATAGCTCTCTGACTCATAAATAATGAAAATACATAGTAATCCAATCATTTCTTCCTTTAGCTACCAAAACATCACAACGAAAACCTCACCCACATCCCCAACAAAAGCCTCTAACAATACCTGAAGTACCCGAGTCCAAACCAGGTAAAACATATGCACCCAGTTTAAACAACCTCAGCAGTGTGAGCTAGCAAGGTTAGAAGATACCTGAATGACAGAAATTTCAGTGTATCCCATGAGAGCAAAGATTCACGTTGGTGGCCGGGGGGAGGCACAATAGCTCCACCATACAGCTGTTACGCAGACAAGGCTGAATGAGGGACATCTGTGGGCCACTGGATACCCACTGTGTCCCCTTTGCAATCTTCTCAATAACCATGCATGTTTTATAACTTCCTTTTATCTCTTAAAAGTAAAATTTCTTCAGGATAATTAGATCCAGTTCAAAGAAAAAGCATTTACTAAATACCTCCCTCATATCTCTTGAGTCACTTTTGAGTCAAATTTGTGTGGGAGATACATCTTGATTTTTCAAACTTATAAAACAGAGTGGAAACATTTTTTAATATAAATATGGTTGAAGATGGCATAAGAAGAATCTTCCAAATACAAGATTAATTGGGGCAGGAGCTTAAGTAAAAAGTGTTAGGTGCCAGGAAATAGAGATTTAAAAAAGTCGGGTCATGAAATCACATTGGAACAGAAGAATAAAATGGGAAGGAGATATAAGTGAAAATAGCGAGCAGTCTCTGGAATATTGCTGTGGAGCAGTTCCCCCTTCAAGGTGGTAGAAAATCCTTTCATGCCTCTGCCAGTCTTAGGACACGCATAGTCAAGGTCTTAGAACTGTGATAGGTCAGCACAGAATTGGTCTGGCAGACATCAGCAACCTTTTCTTTCTCCTAAAGGCATACTCCTTCTTTGTCTGTGATGAAGGAGCCCCACCAATTCATCATGCTGATGCCTCATTCTCTTTCCAAATATGAGCTCTAAGCAATGCCTCGACAGTCCATTTTGGATTATTAATCACCAATAACTAGTTATTAATAATGCCAATTATTTATATTATTGATCAATTAATGATTATCAACATTGAACAATTGTTTGAGGATTAATTGAATCACTGATTAATTATAGTATTGATAATTAAGATATTAGAATTGACGAATGAGAAAACAGTTGCCCAACTTAGGTATGACAGATTTTTAGGGAGACAACTGCTTACTTTTCCAGGTTGATGGTTTTAAAGGTGGCACATTCTTATAGAAACTGTGTTATGTTAGGAAGACTCATAATGAAGAGATTTTATTTTTCAATTATTTAAAACAATCATTTGGTTTATTTTAATGCCTTTGCTCAGTTCCTACAACAGAACTCGAACCTGTGACACTCAGAACTCAGACTTGGGTGACAACAACAGGTAATAACATGTGGACCTGGCTGCATCCTCTCCTTTGCCATTGCCAAACTCATGACATCAATGTCATAGTCACATGTTTTGCTTTCTGTGGTGATGCCATTACTCTCTATGCCATTCTATGAAAGTCTTCATTCTGGAAGGCTTGAAAGCTATGGCTCTTCAAAGAACTCAGCTTTCATGATACCCACCTAGACCTAACTCATGTCATCTGTCTGGCTTGTAATCATGCGAAATCATTTTGTCATCGAATGTGTTTTGGAGAATGTGACTCTCAAACACAGTTTTCATAATTTTAACACTTCCTATAGTATTGAGAAGTTAAATATCAGAAATTCTCCTCTTTAGCCATTCATTCACTTGTGCCATGTGACATTTGTTCTTTGATTGACATTTCAGTTAATTATACGCATGGTCTTACTTTAACAAACTATCAAAGAATTCCTGATCAGTCATCACTTTACCACCACCATGTTTTAGCAGTGATTCTCAGCATTTTTGTGTGAGTAGTTATCCCTATATAGTCCAGCCTCAAATTTTTAAATATCTCAGGTGGGTTGTGCTCTTCCTGTCTCAGCCTCCTAAACACTGAGACTAGGGTGTGTGTTACTGTTCCTGGTGCCTCAATCCATTTCTTCTACAAAAGTTCTATTTCTTTGCTCTTCAGTTCTTGAGCTATCCACTACATTTTACATGTGAGTCCTCTTCCAATAGGCCTTTGATTATAAAGGGAAACAATAAACTATAATATTGGTGAAAGTTTTGAATTAAAAAGTTGAAAATTTGAATTGCCTAAAATATGAGAAAAATCTGATAAATTTAACTAAATTTCTCCCCCATAGCGTTTGAACTAGACTTTGTAATAATGGAAGATTTTCTTTCCTCAGCTCCTAAAACATCAAAACAGACCCGCCGTCCACGCCCCAAACCTAAAACCACACAAGCTCCTGAGGCTCCTCTAACTAAACCTGGTAAATTGAGTTTCTGGTCACAGGGCTACTTATAGTAATTCTGGGGAAGCTAAGAGGAATGCCATTGGCAGAAGTGTCAGCTCATGTGGCTGAAGGCACCTTGTGATCTGCTTCTGCCACACCTTCTATGTGTATGGGGGGGGGTACATTAGGGACAGCTGAATTGCTTATGCTGTCTGCGTATCACCTCTACCACACATCTTATTTGTTACTACTGATTTAATTACATTCTTTTCTTAAAGACAAAATGTCACAGGGTCATATGTAGTAGTGCTGTGATGGGATAATTCCCTAAGAGCAGTTAAAGGAAGTTCTTGAAGGAATGATTCAGAAGTTTAGATCTAACCCAAAAAGCATCAGTGACCTTTCCTATCCATCTAGAACACTCTTTCCATGAAGAGAGCAGAGAGCTGTTTCACTTGGAACCACACTTAGGAGATTGTCCTCATCCTGGTTTGTTGAGTACCTTTGTCATATCAGAGACCTCAGTCCAACCCTACACATGACTTCTAAGGATGCATGTGATTCACTTGCTGTATCTTTGACTGTATTGGCTGTATCTCATACAGAAAAAATGTTTGCCCTATCTGTGCACATTGAGAAATGTTATTTTCTTAAAGCGTCTGCACAAAAGCCCACAATCACAGATGTCATATCTGTGCAGTTTTGGTAAATGTCTAAAATTTCCAGGATGCTCCTCTACAGTAGTTGGGGTGAGGTGCTCCACATACCCAAAGGGATATCTCCTTGATATTATTAAGACATTTAGCACAAAGTTTAGGCAGCCACTGAGTACTTCTTAAAGAAATGTTTAGCAGGGTAAAAGGTGACCAAATAGTCAAGTAGCAAGAATTAAATTCCAGTCTCTTAAACTTGCTCTCCACTCATTCCAGGAAGGGTGTATTGTTGTCTTACTGACTACTCACGTTTATTTCATTGTCTTTAATTAGTTGCTGCTACAGATCTTGAACCCAGTGCTCTTAGAACTGAAGGCCCTGTGACTGTGGGTAATGACAATGTGTGTCCTTCCAATAGCAGTGCTTTTCCTTTCATCCCATCCATCATCTCATCAGTTCCTCTACATTTTAGGACCATTTCATCATCATACTCTGTTGTCACTCCATTTCAGTCTTTATCTTGAAATTATTCTCAGTTCTATGCCATGTTATTAATTGAATTTATGAGCACCACGCATGAACTAACTTAAGGACATCAAACTGCCATGTAACTCCCTTCTCACCACCATGACACGTGATCCATGTGCATTTTTCTACAGTGCTGACTGACTGTTTCCATGTGAATCTCCACCTGTCATATTTATGTTGTGTATCCTTGACAATTGTGAAAATATGCTTCTTTGTTCAGAATGCCTTTGGGTATACTGGAACCTTTGTGATGCATTGGATCAATAGTTTTAAGGAATGCTGATTTTAGTAAGTTGTCAAACTTAAAAGATTGTATGCTTGTGGAATGTTCAAACACTAAGTTTCCATGACAGAGACTCTTTTCTAGCTGGTTCAGTCTTTTTAAATCAAGAATTATTTTGAGATTTTGATGAGCATATTTCATTAGCTTGTCATTATATTTTTCAACAAATGAACTTTTAATCATTATTTAAGCAGTAGACAAAAAATTCTATATGTAGCCATCTCAGTTTCTATAGAAGCTCAAGACGACTAAAGCTTTCTTTGGTGTAGTAGGTAAGGCATCTATCATGTAAACATATAAAAAACCTGACCAACAGAATTCCACGATCGTGAGGGGGCAGAGAGTCAAATATCTAAGAGAACACCTCATGCACAGTGACATACAGTTAGCTCTGTACCATGTCATCTACCAAGTCTATGTCATGAACTAGTGGACACCTGGCCATAGGTTAGCCAAATATGGAAAAAACAATCATCTCTTTTCTGTTAGTTTTGAGGCTAAAGATATTCTCAAAATTGGCCTACAATTGAATTTTTAACTTGTCTTTGGTTTATTTTACTCCTCTCTGTCTAGTTCTTGCTACAACCCTTGAACCTGTCACTCTTAGAACCAAAGCTCCTGAAACAACAACACTAGGTAATGGCACCGTGTTCTGGAATGATTTTTCTTGCTTGTTTCCACCTGAAGTCCACCGCCATCCTAATTTCATTGTCATTTGCTTTATTAGATAATCTTACCATCTGCCATCCTTCAACTTCATATGCTACTGCTTCTTGAGAACAAAAAAAGGTTCTTAAAGTTACCTCTTTTAAAACCTGTCCATGGACTTAGAACATTGCTATATTTTTTTATCTTATTTGAATTTGTAGCGCATTTTTGTCTATACAGTGCTTCCATCTAAAGCTGAGTTTCAAACTAAGATAGTGGTGTCTGTGTCTTACCTAGACCGCAAAAACCATAGCAATATCATGGTGCAGTGGAGTCTTGGGAATGCTGAAATTTTTCAGTGTCAACCTAAGGTTCTACTGCCTGGATTTTAACTGTTGTTTTGTTTGAGGTTGGAGATCTATGGTTCTCTCTTCATTCACTGACTTAATTTTATATTTTAGGTTTCTTTCTTAAGAATCTTTGGTGATTTAAAAAAATAGAAAAAAATTAATCCCAAGACATACATGCCCCAAATTTCAAGGAAAGGTAGTTTAACCCTAATCTTTGCTTTCAAAACCAACAATATGAAATTAATATAAAGTTTCTTCCTTTAGCTCCCAAAATACAGAGGACACGCCATCCACGTCCCAGACCTAAAACCACAGCAAGTACTGATATGTCTGAGTCCAAGTCGGGTAAATGTGGAATGCCTGCTTTGAGGGCTGCTAGCAGTCTATCCTGGATGGGTCCCAAAGTCATACCAGCAATGGGAAGCTGATGTTCTCTTGCTCTTCAGAAAACTAAGGCATTGGGTCCAGTTAATGGCTGCTCCCTAAAGAGCTTCCCATATGAGTATGGCTTGGGGAAATATGTAACCCCTCAAGTAACTTGGTGTGGATCAAATTCTTCTCTCCAAAGAAGAGTTGATGGCAAGAATAATATTATTCACTCATGGTTATGTATTAGTATTGAAACATAAGAACTGTTGCTGTAGCCTTGGTTACATAATCAGATGAAATTTTCAACTTCCAAGAAATACAACACTCTGCTTCCATATATACTCTGATGCATACTACCTAAGAAAATTTCCAAAGCCATCTTCCATATTAGTTTGTAACCAGAAAACTATGTACCTAGGAATCTCTTATGTAGACAGAATTAAGAAAGATGTAGCCAAGGTCAAAGTTGTTGACTATTTTCCACAACTTTTTGGCTACTGTGACCTACTTTTCATAAAGCAACTGTTTGCTTCCTGTTAGTTATAGAATTTAAAAACATATTTGTTACTTGAAACTTGTGTTTTGAAAGAAGATTTAAGGCATTTTGTGTGTGTTAAATTTTCTCATGTTCATCTTGCGTTTAACTTGATATTCAGAGTACTAGGTCTCCAGAAACAACATTGGATAATGATTTTTGTGACATCCAGTGAACTTTTTTTTTCTTGCTGGTTAAAACCCATATACTGTTGTGCCAACATTGTTCATGCTTTGTAAGATTGTGGTTAGGATACAATTTCATACTTCATAGTCATAGAAACTCCAGTGTCACCTACCTGTCATTTATCACCCATCCTTAGAAGAACTGGAAGATGTCAATATGCTATGGCATTCTCTTTAAAAGTCCAGAGGTCCATATTATTGCTATTCTCTTTGGTGGTTAGATATATAAAACCACAATAGTTAAGATACATAACCTCCTTCTGAGCAACTTACTTTCCATAAAATTGGTGTGCTGTGCTTATTATTACTCTCTTTGTAAGTCATGAGGTATCCCTACTGTCAATAAAACAAGTTGTGCACTGAAAAGCCCCAGTTTCCTATATCACTGATGAGCTCCTCCATGGTTTACTGGTGGCTCTTGCTCTTTGCTAAGTAGAGACTTTGCTGGGTGTCCATGAGTATTAATATTCGTTACTTTAATTAACAGATGAGCATTGTGTTTTGGGTTTCTAAGGGAACTCCAAATGATGCTCAGTAACAGAAGAATAATTTCTTTCCAAAGAGGGTTCCCCAAGTCAGGAGTCAGCAACCTCAGTCTAAGAAGGGTTAGATAGCAAAAGTTTCAGACATTGTTGGCTTTTCTGTCTTCATCACAACTGTTTACTTCTGCTGTGATAGGTGAGAGCCAACAATATTAGTATGTGAATATGCCCTATATCACTGTGGCTCATATTGTGTCCATGTTCAATAAGACTTTGAGTTTCATGCCATTTTCACATAAATATTGGTCAATTTTCCCATCACTTAAATTGAAAATATATTCACAGGCTAACTTAAATCCTCTTTTTCCAGCTCCCACTGAACTGCAAACTCTTGTTTTGATACCAGTGACTCCACCGAGCCTAGAAATGACACAAAGTCAATCTGGTAAATTGCTTGATTTATCTGTATGGCTGCAGTAAGAGTTTCAGAAACACACTCTAATGTCCTTTGTGTTGTATGTTCAAATATAAATCTTCTTTTCCATGATTGCACATTGATGTTTAATTAATACTTTATCTTCCATTATTACATTGTATACAAAATGTGTGCCTTTGCTTCATTGAGTTTGCTCTTAAATTTTAGAGAACAAGCACATAACTGATTAAGCAGTCCATAAAACCTTTGATGACTGATTATAATTTTATCCATAGTTATAAATGTGTGGCTCCATTAAGCAGTAATCTCAGCCACCTAAAAGAATTCTCATTCATTTGTAACCATTGAAGAAACAAAACACCATTCTAGTAAAGATTCTTTTTAAATTCCTTAAAAATAGAGAATCTTTAAAACACAATGTCTTTCAAGTTACAAACAAAATTTGAACATCACTATTAGGAATACCGCTGCTCTTCTTTAAAGCTTAGTTTTGAAAAATTCCATTCTGTTTTTTTTTTTTAAGCATAGGATTATAATTTCTTTATTTTATCTTTAAGTTAGATGAGATAACAGTTTGGTACTTCTACTGAAGATTTAAGGTGTGTTTATTGACAATAGTCAAAGCAGTTATGTTGTGAATTCAACTCAGTTATTAGGGTTTAGTGCTTCTGCTAATATAATGGATTTTACCAGAACCAAGCAACAGAATCACTTACTAGGTATCCAATACTCTTCTGAATAGTCTGATTTACCTAATGTCTACAGCAGCTCATCCTTGACCAGTTGTGCCACCATTGTTTGATTTACTAGTTTCTGATGACCTGGAACTGGTTATGTTTAGTACTGAGTCACCACAGAAAATAATAGGTAAAAATGTTCCCAATGGAGAAGTCAAAAAAAAAAAAAAATGTGCTTTTCCATCTCATCTCATTGCAAAATGCGACATTGGATATTGTCATGCTTTGTGACATTCCACAGCCACCTGCTCCTCATGTCTTCTCTATGTCTATCCAATGGGTCTTCAGAGCCATCATGAATATAGCAAATTATGCTAGCAAGTATCTGCTATATTACAATTCAAGTTTCATAGTTTCCACTCGGTTAATGGAATTCATAATTTTAAAATTCTAATTGTTCTTTGTATGTGTACACATGAATCTGTGCATATGGAACAATTTATCATTTTTTTATTTATTTTATATAACCAAGTCCATTTAAATGAAAACAAACATTTATAGACAATATTTGGGAATTTGGGTGTCGTTCTTTCCAAACTACTTCCTGCTGGTAAGGGGCGCTGTCAAGGGGATTCGAAGAAGATGCAGAAATCCTGGCTGTAGTCTGTAAGGCTGCTTTGTCCAGCTGTTTTGAATGTAGGATCACCTGGTACTTATCATTTTCATATCATGTTAAGGTTTCATTTTCATATTTCCAAAGGACTCATCTAGCTTTTCTCCTTACTAAAATATTTATGCAAAAATATGTAAGGAAGTAAAATTACCTACTCTACTCAGGGTAATAATTGCTGTAATGGACCCTGATAATTGTGTGTGTGTGTGTGTATGTGTGTGCGCGTGCGTGCGCATCTGTCTATCTGTCTTTGTTTCCCTCATAGCAAGCTTCACTTCATTTTTTCTCAACTAAATTGCAGAAATTCTCATAATCTAGATAACTAACCTGTATTTTCAATTCAGGAGTCCATGGCAACTGCTTTGTGCTGCCCAACACTAACCAGCCATTTCGTATTTCTTCCCCAGCACCAGCTGAAACAGATTATGTAGATACCACAACCAAAGAACCTCTCAGGCCAGAGGAGCCAAGGACAGAAGGTGGTAAAGGTTTTCAAGCTATTACTCACCTATTCTACTATATAAACTATGATCCTTGATTGAACAGATTTGAAGAACTACACTTCCAATCCACCCACCCCTTACTAGAGATCAATTTAGGGACTCACATGTATTCTGCATGTGCTTTAGCAATGAACTACATACACTAGCAGCTCTAATACTCCTGGATTCTTAGAATTAACTTGATAATTGATGATCTCTAAAAAAAAAAAAAAGTCCTGTTTATTTGTTAGTATCTGAAGATCAAGACACAATCACATTTGAAAGTCAGTTGTTGACAAGATATGAATATTGGAGGCTTAATTCTATGAAATATGACTTTCTTCCTTTTTGTGCTATTTAAAAGGCATTGTCTTGTCTGGAAAATTATGACATAAATCCTTGAGAATGAGGTTGTGGATACTCAAGAAACACTTGTGGAGCTGAACATCTTACCATTTTTAAAGTCATTCTCCTTTGTTTTGATACAGTTATGGAGTCTCTTACATATGTGTCTGAGCTTCCTGAGACCACACTAGGTAATGATATCCTCAGCAACACATGTCAGTGTTCTGTGTCTTCATCACACACTGTCTTCATTGCATCATCACCCAAGAGTCTCACGATCACTCTCATTGTGAATTCATGTGGCATTTGTTTTCGCTGTCATTGAATTTTCTTCCTAGCTGTTCCTATTCATAATCATTATCCAAAAAAAAAAGTGTCTTTTCATGTAGCATCATGATCTTGGTCTCTTCTTACGTCAGCCAAATTGTTGGATATAAAATATAGCATTTTCCCTAATATTGTACTCATTGCCAGCTTGGTACCATCTGATTGGGGATCATGATCTATTTTTATTTTCTGACTTAAAGATATACTTCCCATTAACAGTCTTTCCATCATATTTTGTTCTCTGTTCTCTGTCATCCAAGTGGAAGTCTATTCTTCTTAGCTGGTTTGTGCTATAATTTTAAAGGTATCTTTTCCCTTCATAGTTCTTATCATTCAAGCATTGTTAAGGAAAGTGGAGATTTTTGAAGTAATGATATTTTGCAATCTGAAATCTATCCTTTTTAAGTAAATGAGTTATGAAGAAGTATGGAAATGCTCATTTCCTGAAATTTTGCCATTTTCTTTCTTTCTTTCTGACATCTGTTTGTTACCATCCTAACTGTTGTCTGTAATCTGAGTGTGTCTAGCCCTATAGTAACCCTACTATACTTTCCTTCAATTACCATAGAAACATCATCTCTGCCTTCCCAAACTATAATCCTACCCAGACCAGATGAGCCTCAGACTGAACCTGGTAAATACACTATTTTGTATTTCATATATGAGGTGAGTGTTTGCAAAATGACAACATGACCCGCCCATCTGAAACCCTATCTATCATGTCCGCCTTTGATGGATGAGCCTGCCTTTCTGATGTAACATCTGTCTACCATCAGTAATCTCTCTCTCAAAACCTTTAGCACAATGTTTAAAATTACTTCTCTACTACTCTTCAAGTTTTTAGTTCAGGAAATAGAAATATTTAGGAGAAAGAGCATGCATATTTTATTCTATTTTAATATCTGTATATAGACACACACACATATATATTTATATATATTTGGATTACTTTGTCATCTTGACCAGCTTTATAACTGTAAAGTATTTTGAGATAGCTTACTCATGTTTGAAGTTATACAGTACTGACAAAAACTGGTTTTGCCGGATAATTCACATAAAGGAGTATTGACCAATCTTGGCATTATTCAGAAGCCTCACTACCATCGACGCCTTTGAATAGTTTGGTGTTTCATTGTACCCTTCCACCTGATATTATAAAAACTGCTATTAAACTATTAGTCAAGTTTCCTTGATGGTGAAGTTTGATCTGAACGAAGGCAAATCACCTTCATGGATAATAAAATTTCTGCAGTACCTACAGTTTCCCATGGAATAGGAGTTAACTATCAATAGGCCCAGGTTCTTGTTCTGGTTGTCATTGAACTATTTTTAAGGTAGGGATGGAGTTTGTGTCTGTAACTCCAGCATTCTGTGGGTCTGAAGCAGGACGGTTGCTAAGAGTTCAAGGCCAACCTCAGTTACATAGTAAAATACTATTTCACACTACTTTCCCTAAAAATACTGTATATGGTTCTATTTCCAAGGGAGGTGGGATATTAATTTTCATCACTATATTCTAAAACACTTATTAAATAAGGTTGCCTAATAAATGGCACAGTCTAACTTATTACCAGAATTTTACACTCACTATACAATGGGATCTATCTCATATCAGTTACAACTACTATAGCCAAAAGTTGTCTTAATAGCCATTTTATATACTACCTGTGATTTTTTCCCCTTTGTTTTTGTTTTATGAGAACAAATGCTTGCCATATAACCCAGGCTGGCACATAACTCAAGATTCTCTTGCCTCAAACTCCCTAGTACTAAAATCATAGGCATCTCCCCATGTCTGGCCAATGGTCAACAGGTAACATTTGGAAATTGCTTCTCAACATGCCTTTGTCTACACCATAGTCCTTTGTGCCCTAGAGAAGCAAATAACACATTAGTTAGAACCTCAGCAAGGAAGGGGCCTGAACCATGGTATCACTAACATGCTCAAAAACACTTCTTAAGCATCATGTCAGTTTTGGTAGAGAATGTGTCTGTTAACCCGGATTAGCAAACCATGCTCTAAACCAACAGGTTATTAAACCAAAATAACCTCTTATGTATCTTGGTCTTTATCTCTTTACAGGTCAGAGAAGTTCACTCAAACCACCATGTACCTTATATATTTCCATTTATTATCAGGAAGAAGCTCACCCTGCAGACTCATGCACAACTTCCAGTATCTAACAACTTGTTTTTAGTAAATGTCTCTTAAAAGTCCTCAAACTACATAAGATTAACACTAATTTGTTTCTTCTTGTTAAGCTTCCAATGCCAAATCATTCTTATTTTCAGCAACATTTTTCTTAAGGTGTCTAAAACTGCATTCAACTTTAGATACCATTTTGTGTATTCTGATCTTTCTTTATCCTGTACACATTTTAGTCCCATGGAAGGCAGTGTTCTCACAGGCTATAGTCCCAGGCCTGATCCTTCCTTTCTATTATTGGGATATACTTTAATTTTCTCACTGAAGAAAACAAATAATGTTTGTACCAGTTTTTCTAGAGCCTTCCTCAGAGCCTCTCCTGTGAAGGAACACTGTTCAGCAGAGAGTCCTCTTTGGAGTTCAAATTTTCTTCCCCAGGATAACAAATAAAATTATGCTTTGTTTAATAATATTAGTCTTTCCATCATATTTGCTATTTAAATCATTCTACTTGAATTTTTATCATGGTATTTTTTTTTTTGTTTAGAAAAGGTATGTTTGTATTTAAAGAATATACCTGCGTACTCATGATGATGTGGATTTGTAACCTTTGTTTTTAACCTACTTAAAAAGTATTTGAGGTAGGTATTTCTAAAATAACACCAGTTATCTTTTGTAAACTGAATATCTGAGATATGTTTAATCTGTCTCTTTTCTTCCATAGCCATAATCTCCCCCTTCTTTGCAGCTCTCGGGAAATTTTGGACAGCAATTCTTGGCTATATTTTTCTTTACTCACTCAGCAGATATCTTTGAGCTTCTAGGTAACACTGATGTTCTTGAAAGGGTCAAGAGCTCCAAATCTGTGAATCTGTGTCTTTCTTTTAGCTCCCAGGCAGACACCCCGTCCTCCTGCCAAGCTCAAAACAACACCACACCCAAGAATTCCACCACAACCACCAGGTAACTACCAAGTTTATGTGTTAACGTCTAAGACTTAAAGTTAGTGAGTTTCTCTGTTACAGCAAATTGAGTTTTTTAGCCATTGTTGAGGAAGGCTCCCTTTACTTGGTAACCTAAACTATTTGTCATTATTTCTGAACTTAGTCAGAAAGCACATCACTGGGAGAGCTTAATCCACAAAGCTTTCTGAACATCTTACTGTTTTGGATGGGAATGGCCAAGAGCAGGTTTTCTTAGAAGAGCTGCTTACTCCCTTTCGCCTACAAGTTTAGACTCTTTTCCTGAACTTATGCTGTCCCAGACTTTGTTCCCACCAACCTGCCAATCACCCAACCTAAATGCGCATTAATCTGAGTCTTGCATCCAAAACTTCTCTGAGGCCCATCTATCCACTAAATCAGGAAAGGAATGCTTCTGCCACTCATGGTCCACAAGTGAAAAAGAAAATATTTAAAATATTTATCAGCATCAGTATTAGCCTTGATCAGGTAGTAATTCTTTGTTGTTGTTTTTGTGTTTTCAAGACAGGGTTTCTCTGTACTACTTTGGAGCCTGTCCTGGAACTCGCTCTATAGACCAGGCTGGCCTCAAACTCACAGAGATTCGCCTGCCTCTGCCTCCTGAGTGCTGAGATTAAAGGTGTGTGCCACCAATGCCTGGCTCCAGGTGGTAATTCTTGACTCCTACCAGGAATAATTTAAATAATTTCAGGATCTCTGTTATTTTAGGTATGACCTCTAATATTTGATTGTGGTTATTATTCTTTTTTAAGAAAACTGATTCAAAGCATATTCTATATTCTATCACTAATAATTAAATTCTGCCTTACTTTGTCTATTATTAAATCTACTCATATTAATTATCAAACTTTATTGTGAAAATATTTTTGAGATGTAAATAAATGAAGGTACAGATGCAAAATTCCTCCAAAGAATTACAGATTTTTTTTATTTAAATTTGAAACAATCTTGTTTTACATGTCAATCTCAGTTCCTGTACACTCCCATCCTCCGTTTCCCCCACCGACCCCCATCCCATCCCCTTTCTGCTCCCCAGGGAGGGCGAGGCCTTCCATGGGGATCTTCAAAGTCTGTCATATCATTTGGAGCAGGGCCTAGGTCCTCCCCCATGTGTCTAGGCTGAGGGAGAATTCCTCTATGTGGAATGGGCTCCCAAAGTCCATTTGTATACTAGGGATAAATAATGATCCACTACTAGAGGCCCCATAGACTACCCAATCCTCTTAACACCCACATTTGGGGAGTCTGGGTCAGTCCTATGCTGGTTTGCCAGCAATAAGACTGGGGTCCATGAGTTCCCCCCCTTGTTCAGGTTAGCAGTTTCTATAGGTTTCTCCAGCCCGGTCTTGACCCCTTTGGTCATTACTCCTCCCTCTCTGCAACTGGATTCCAGGAGTTCTGCTCAGTATTTAGTTGTGGGTGTCTGCTTCTGCTTTCATCAGCTACTAGATGAAGCTCTATGATGGCATATAATGTAGTCATCAGTCTCATTATCAGAGAAGGGCATTTAAGGTAGCCTCTCTAATATTGCTTAGATTTTTTAATTGGGGTCATCCTTGTAGATCTCTGGACATTTCCTTAGTGCCACCAGATTTCTCTTTAAACCTATAATGGCTGCCTCTATTATGGTATCTTTTCTTGCTCTCCTCTATTCTTTCCCTGACTCAGTCTTCCTGCTCTGCCATGCCCACCTCGCTCCTCTTCTTCCTCCTAACTCCCTCTCCCCTTCCCCCATGCTCCCAATTTGCTTGAGAGATCTTGTCCCTTTCCCTTCTCCAGGAGACGATGCATGCCTCTCTTAGGATCTAAGAATTTGATAAAGTAAGAAATAGTAGGAGTTCAAACTTCCAGACTGTAAATTCCTGGTTGCAAAGTTAAGTGAGGGGACATAAACTATTAGGGAAACATATTAATTGTTGTATCTTTTTGAGGAATATTTTGAACTTAATAAATTTCAGTGCAATCAATTAGAATCCTGCTATGGTTTCCTATTATTAAGCCATACATTCTAAATTTGTTTAGTTTTAAGTTGGATCTTTAACCAACACAAGATGCTATATAGGCTCAGAATGAGTAGGACTAACCCAGTTGACTCCATGCTACTCTGGAAGCCTATTCTCAGAGAGGCTCTTGGTTTTGCTCCCAGGAAGGTGGCTTCTAGGCCATCAACTCCTTTGGTGGGCAGCAGCTGCAACCAAATGCGTCTGACTTTTTCAATGGTATTCAATACAAGGGGAAAGTAGCAGAAAATCAAAATGTGTTATACCGATGTTTTGTAGTGATAGAAGTTAAACCTCTCCCTTCCAGCATGAGAATATGATTCTTTAATAACAGATCCAAATACATCTTTATAAGCTTTCAAGGACATATGCACATAAGCACCATAAAATATTGCTGTCTTATGTTTTTTTTTTGTGTGTGTGTGTGTGTGTGTGTGTGTGTGTGTGTGTGTGTGTGTGCACGCGCGCGCGCACACACGTGTGGAAGTCAGAGGAAAATGTTAGGAAGTTGTTTCAAACATGGTCAGTTTTGAATGTCACATTCAGGTCATGAGGTTTGGTGGCAAGACCCTTTACTCACCGAGCCACCTTGACAGCCTCATGAAATGTGTAAAAATGAAATATTCCAATCTGATCATTCCCCATGGGAGGCCTCACCGTCCCTGAGGAGTGGACTGGATGAGGAAGATGGTAGGGGGAGTGGGAGGGCAAGAGGGAGAGGGACTGGAATTGGTATGTAAAATAGGTTGCTTTAAAAATATGAGAAAAATAAATATATAAATATTTCAGATCTTACTTTCTCCTCTGTTGCCTTTGAACATCAGAGGCCACCTCTTTGCACAATCAGTTGTCCATGCAGTCACCAACACCACTGTGTATTTCAGTGCACAAAACAATGTTGTGTGTCCACCTCATTTTTCAGTACAAGAATTTTAATAGGCTATATTTTTAGCTTTTTTAGAGTATATCTATGAATTAAATTATAAAATTCATATCTGTATTAGCTTCTTCAAGATAAAATAGAACTTAAAATTTGGAACAAATCATCACTATTTTATAAGCCAGTAAAGCAAATAAAGTTCTGTGTTCATAATTAATAATGACCCTAAATTAATTTCATACTTAGAGAGATCATGAAACCATCAAAATTAGGAGTTTTACTAGTTTTGTAGACGTAAAGTAAAAACAAGCTATCGTTAGCTTCTCTGGGGAATCTGAAGGAGCTTTAGGGTGGTATAGTTATCACAGCATTTTGACATTTCACATTTGATTCTTGCACTCACTCTATAGGGCAGGTGTTTCATTTCCAACTAATAATAAGGAGCAAAGCAAAATGACCCAATGAACTGGGGTCCCGAAAGCCTGGGGTCTGTGCATAGTGATCATGTCTGGCCCTTGGAGTCTGTTGCAACTCTCAGCTCTAGCACTTTATGTGATCCCAGTCATCAATCCAAGTCAAGCAAAATATCTAGAGAGAGAGAGAAGCCCTGTGTTAATATGATACCTGTCGCCTCTGGCATGAAGATTAAAAAAAGAAGAAGAACAAAAACCTCTTTATCCTGATGATTTGTCAAATGTAACTTCTCAGACTTTACTTTCTAGCAATAAGGAATTTTCCCTGGATTTCCACCTGGTCTATTTCTAAAGCTCACATTCTCTTTCTGTCTGGCTACTACTTTGTTTTTATTACAGTTGAAACATATTCCCCATCAGGACTGATAGTAGCATGACTAAGAAACAAGGAACACTAATGGCTCATGATCTGAGTTCTCTCTTTCAGTTCCTAGGGGATCCCAGCATACAACTTCGAAGCCAAAACTGCCACCAAGTCCTGGAGTGACAGACACTACCTCTGGTAAATACCTTATTTTATGTTCAAGCCAAATGTGCCCTGCTGTCCCACACAGAGGCTCTGAAACAGCTGGGGCATGTGAGATTAATTCAATTGTATAATTATACTGTGCATCCTGGTGGGTTTTATTTATATGGGTGTCTCAAGAATTCTAGCCGAATGTGTAGTAAAACTATTATTACAGTAAAACAGTAGAGAATTATACCAAGAACAGAATGTTTTTTCTCGAACCAAAGTTTTTTGTTTTACTGTTGGTGGGTTTTGTTAGGGTTGCTGTAACATTTGAGTAATTTTATAGGAAGAGGGGAAGGAACCCAGGGAAAGAGAAATATGAAGTAATGATGATAGAATTGTGAGCATATCTCAGTAATAGAGCATTTGGCTGACCTGCATACTTTTGATGGACATGGTGCAATCATAGTGCTTGGGAGCTGGAGCCAAAGGGATCAGGAATTCTAAGTCAGACTCAGCTACATAGTGTGCTGAGACCTGCCTGGACTACATGGAAGCCTGTGTCAACCCCCAATTAAATAACCTAGGCATAAATAACAGACACTAACATGCCTTAAAGGAGATGGGAGGAGAAGCCTAGGAAGTATCATCCAAAGGGGTAGGAGTCCTGGCCCCTCTCATGCTACCTGTAAAGCCATGAAGCTGGAACAAAGAAATGGGGAGGGTTGAGGTTAAAAGCCCACAGTGTCTCTCATTTTACATTTTTAAGTGGGGGGGGGACTGATCTGATTGCAGCCCATGGGCAGGGTAAAACCTCTTATAGACAATATTCTATTAGCTTTCTCAAACAGTAACATTTTGATTTTCTCATTGAGCTTTAGTGAAGCAGCCATGCACACGGATTTTTCCATTTGTCACCACTTGACATTACCTACTCGAAAGTGCCTTTTGATAGTTAGATTCTCTTTACAGAGATCCAGTTTATCTAAAAAGATGGTTAATGTAATTGATTAGACAGTTTGTATTAATGATAAATTGGTTAATATAATCAATGTGGTAATGATACACTAATGGTAAATACAAGGAAATCAAAACTGCCACCTCAAAGAAATTGTCATCATCATTTCCATTGATGAGATGCCCTCAACATGCAGGACAGGTTTTAGGGATTCTAATCTTATTTGATTGAATATATGGCTGAGAGCCACAAAAGGGGAAATTTTGACTTGGTTGGAGTTGCAGTGGATGGAGTAAAACGATTCTCAGGCCTTTCCTGGGAGTCCTTCAGCTACTTCAGTCTGCTCCACTGACTTCACCTGCATTAGCAAGTTTGCTCCACAGTTTATTAAATCAGAGCTACATGCTGGAAAGGAAAGTGCCAGCGTTAGCAGCTGGAATCCATATCAGCCTCTTCTGAATGCTTCCCTGAGCTGAAGCAGCAGCTAATGTGTTTACAGTATGGAGGCTCTATGAGGAGCACAACTTCCCTTACTTCCTTAATCCCAGCTCTCCCATGCCTAGCCCAGTCCTAGAATTAATAGACATTTATTGCAGACTTAGCATCATCATGGTCTGTGTAGAGCTAAATCACAGCACCTCTTCCTTCAGCCTCCAAGTAAATGCTGAGTTTGATTTAAAGTTGGAAATATATTTCCCAAAACACCAAGTGGAAAAACGGTGATATTGTGGTGGATTTTCTTCAACTTTATGAACTGCTGAGTCTTTCCTATAGTATATAAGTAAATAAAGGCATTAGACTTTCAAATCCCCCTGGATATTTTTTTTCCTTTAAACTCATGAATGTTCTGATCAAGTTGGCCTGGAACTCACATAGGTCTTCTTGCCTTTGCTGGGATTAAATGCTTGTGCCACCATGCCTAGTTTAAGTAGAGTTCTTAATTCTTCAGTGTACCAGGTTCCACAACTATAACTGAGTCAGTACTAGCCTAGAGTAAGAACAAATGTGACATGTGAGCTAAACCATCCCTCTCTCCCCAGGCAAAACAGGGATGCCCATTCTAGACATGTGCTTAGCTGCCTCAAGGTGTAAAGGTTTCTTCATAATCATCCTGCCTGAATCCTAATTTTAAACCTTCCAGTAAGATACAAGACAAATCATACTGCCTACCACAGAGGCACTGGTGCTTTGCAAATCCTCAGTGTGGGAGGAATACTTTGCTTCAAGAGAGTAGGCCTAGGTGGGGCCTCCTCATAGGGAACTGAATTCAGGAAGTATCCTGCCCTTGGGTAAGGTTTTGGGTTCCAGATTTGATATGAGCGACAGGACATCACTCTGGTATTTCCCCCAGTAAGACAGTCAATGGCCAACATGCTCCATTTTGTGAACACAGAACACAACATTCGAACTCTACTGTGTGTCACAGACTAATGTGAGCTGGTCTATTATTTAGCTGAATTTATTAGTATTCTCGCATGTCAGGCATGCATAACGTCCAGTAGAGAAGAAGCCATGCCACTAAGGAAGGCAGAAATTAGCAGTAGTGTGTGCTTGTCTAGCATTTATTCTGTACTGACCACAATCATGAGTTTCACATGCAGCTTTGTCTAATGCCCAGCCATTAGTTCCACTTGCCTTTTCTTTCCACAATACTTTTTGAGTGTCACTTGCAATGAAATTTTGTCCCCTTCATAGATACTCGAGATTTTTGTCTTTTGTTGGAGTGAGTCTTTGAACCATTTATTCACTTACCTAATATAATACATTTTCTATTACTATCTGAATTTTAGTGAATATCAAATGACAGCTACCTCTTCAGCTCAAAAACAACCTAAGGGAACCTACCTCCCTGTATCTAGATCATCTATCTCCTGTTTATTTAGTTTTTTTCTTTCTTTCTTTCTTCTCTTTTTTTCTTGAAGGCGGCTCCAGCTTGAACTATGACCAACTTTATATCCGGTCACTGTAACCAGGCCCTCCTCCAGGAAGCCCTACATCTGAAAGGACAGTCATTCCTTCTAAACTTGAGTCTTTAGTCTGTTCATCCTTCGTGTTTTAGGGATTTTTTTTTTAACATATGAGGATTATGTTCATTCCAATATTATGCAGTGTTTTATAATTTTTTTTCTTTCAGTTCCAAAGGATGAACAACTTTCCCATAAAACAGACCCCGAGATCTCTCACAGAGAAACTGGTAAAAACATTTGATTTTCCTAGTTGTGAAGTGTACTTACATTTTCAAAATCCTGATTTATTATGGACCATGGTATAGAAAAGTATGGTTATGAAATAAATGTTTTCTGGGAAGTTCAATCATATAATCTCATTAAAAGTTTTTTCCTGGTTAAACAGAGGAAAACTTACAGAATAGTTTTATTTGCTTTGGAAATGTTTTTACTAAAGAAGAGATCATGCTGAAATTTATACAACTTATTAGCTAAGATAACTTTTAAAATCCTTTATGGGTTTATGGGTTTTAAACAAAAAACAAATAGTTGACTGCTCATTCATGTTTTCCTCAAAATGATGGCTGGTGAATGAAATAGAGATTTAGTTAACTAATTTACCTGAGTAGAATTTAATAGAATGTTCTTATATTTATTATGGTCCTTAGAGTTTTTAGATACAACATTTAGATAAAACATTCAAGTTTTTAGATAACTGTATCTAGAAAAGAAATAATTTGACTCTGTTGTAGTAATTTTCATAAATGTTTCTCTGGTTTACTCTTGGCATAGTTCTGCCTCCTGTTACCTTTGGAGCTGAGCCACCAAAGACAACTGTAGGTAATGCTTTTCCCATATTAACCAACCAGCCTGCTTATTTTCTTTGTTACCATCAAGATCACAGGCCTTTCTGGAGTGATCACTGACTAAAGAGTCACCTCTTCTCACTTTGTTTCATGATGTCCTTCTCGCTGTGACCATTGTTTCCAACAAAGAAAAGCATGGTTTCAGCCCTGAAAGGTTTTGCTCTGGAGACAACCCAGGATGGAGCTCACCCTTATCTACCTCATTTATCTCACGATTCCCCTGATCCCTGTCTACATCGTAGTCCTGCCTAATGTAATGGTCCCCAGCTGTGATGCTGCAACTTCAGAGCTTGGAAAGAAGATGCAGGAAGTTAGTAATTTCATCAAAATGTGGATGCTACCATCGATTTGCTTGTCCAACTAACTAGAGTAGATTCAAAATGCTCATCCCACCAGTTTTGTAAACCTCTTTGCTTTGGGGTGGTGGATAGAGAGATCTACAGCTGGAAGACCAGGACAGTGTCCTAACCATGCTCCATCTTGGCCAGGTCTCTTATGCAGTGGGCTAAACACAGAATATCATTTTTCGTGCCTCCTGGTAGAAAACAGTTAAGAACAATTATGCTAACACTCCATTGTCTTTCTCCTGAGAGTCCTATACACACTAACTTTCATATTAACACTCATTGGATGTTTTCCCTTTTATATTTCAAATGAAGGTGTCTCTGGCCACACCCATCTGGTTCAATGCTGGCTTTGACTTAAAGGTTTACCAACTTAGTACTTTTCTTTTGCAGCACCTTTAGAGACATGGAGCATTCCTTTCATACCTGTGACATCACCACGGCCTAGTCAAGAGGAATTACATACCGCCCTGGGTAACTTGTGTTATTTTACTTCACAAGGGACTTGTCAAATAAGGATTGCTCTTAAAGTTACATGCTCACTTTATTCAACTTTTGCATTGCATGGTTTTCCATACATGCATCTTGGGCAGTCAAGTCTCAAGCAGAGTCCGCTTAAATGAATACTACCTTTTGAAAGTGGTCCGTTGATTTTCTTGTCATTATCCCTCAAATGGTATAACATAGGAACTATTGTTTATGGTACAAGTGATCTAGAAAGGATTTTACAACAGGATACCTACAGAACTTATAGCCTGGCTACAGAAGACGATGGCATCAGACAAGAAAGCAGTTGATGTGTGGACCTGATTTTGAGGATTTCAGCATAAATACATCCACAGATGTGGAAACAAATTTGCTGAGTCATGATGAAAATGATGGGAAAGTTCCCCAGCTCATGTTTTTTTTGGCTCCTCAGTCATCTCCTTCCTGCCCTCTGCAGAGTCCTTCCATTCAGTAGTCTTATTTTCCTCTCTTTACCTCCTTTCAAGTAAAGTCATCATCATGTGTGTGTGTGTGTGTGTGTGTGTGTGTGTGTGTGTGTTGAAGTACCTGACTATATTTTTTAAATGAAGTTCATCTGAAAGAAAAAAAAATTAAGTGGAATGAACAAATATACCCCAATGCTTACCAATATATATCATTCTAGCCTATGCCTGTGCAGTTATGAAATGATAAAGTTAAAAGTACTTTACAGAATTTACTACTGAATATACTAATCATCTAATTCTTACTTTCTTGTAAAAGAAATGCTTCTTGGCTTATTGAATAAAGAACCATCACCTGCCAACTATCACTAATCTCTTTTCCAAAAATTGAATCAAGAGAATAAAGCAGGGCAGGAAAACAGAGGGTAATATTACCGCCATCTGCTATTTCTTTGATCTTTAAGGTGGCAGAATAAACAATATAATATGTTTTATCATTATGATATAATAAGTTCAAGATAATATGAGGATAGTACTTATTTTGCCAAGACAAATATTTCTGAATGTCAAATAAACATAATTTTCATTTTGACACATAGGAAATAAAAGATATGTCTTCTTCTGTGATTGAAATAAATATCTTTTATGTGATCTCTATATTTTCCATATAGAACTTATGGAGTGGGAAAGAGACATAAGGCAGATACACAGACATTGAAGGTATTTTCAAACTTTGGCTACATCCAAGGATAGCAACTTCATCAACTAGCTATCTCAGGCCTTTAGTTCAGTGGTAGGGTACTTGCCTAGTTAGTGTACATGATAGCCTGGGTTCAATCCCTAGGTTCTAATCAGAAAAATGATCCTGCCCCAAAGCTGACTTGTCAGTTCTATGATAATCACTAAAATAATAGGACAACAAAGATATCAAGTCATCAACATACGTGCTCACTTTAAGTTACTGCAGAAAAGGCAATGAATAGCTTGAATTATTTGTTTTTTGTGTTTTTCTGTTTGTTTTTTTTTTTTTTGCTTTGTTCTTTGTTGTGTTCATAGTGATGGTTATTAAAAACAAGGCATCTTACTATGTTTTTCCCTAGAAGAAACAGACCAGTCTACCCAAGAGCTGTTCACAACTAAGATTCCACGAACGACAGAAGTGGCAAAGACAACTCAGGGTAATACTGTTTCTCCACCCTTGGAGAGAAATTTTTCCTTATTTTCCTTTAATCAAGAAAGAAATTTTGCTTTCAGATAGTATTTCCTCTCCACAGTGACCAACTTCACTGTTTTCACATTAAAGATGAAGGACAAACTGAATACGACTTGTATACACAGCTTCTTTGGTCAGTGCTTTGGATGTCTTATTGGCTGCAGGACGCTGATGACTAATCTTAAAAGCTCCTAGGTATTTTCCCCTTGCTGAATCTTCACAGGCCTGACTTTTCTTCTCTGATAAGTAAGGAAGATGTTCATCTTCCTACTTTCCTTTCCTCTCCTGTCTCCTTTCTTTTTCGCCTTCTCTCAATTCCCAAACTGGAATAAAATCCATTGGTATCATGAGCTGAGAAAAACTGTTACTGAGAAAAATTATTTTTAACATATTACAAGTGGTTAGGCATTTAGGAACATATATGAAGAAAGGAACTCGCCTGCACACTTAGTCTTCATGTTCTCAGAAATCTCTTCCCTCACAGCTTCTCACCTGATTGGGTTATAAACATTTGCTGGTTTTCTGATGCTGTTTGGATGATCCTTTTCACTCAGTGGTATTACATGGTAGCAAGCCAAAGAAAATAAAACAAAGCCAAACTTAAAGGAATTGGAAGACAGATAACTTTGTTCTGTCCATTATCAATTCTCATTTGAGAGAAAAAAACTGATGGATGACCTCTGACACCAACAAGGACCTAGTGTGGTGATATGTGCTTATAATCCCAGACTTTGGGAGTCAGGGCAGGAGGGTGGTGAGTTCAAAGCCAGCCTGGGAAAAATTAAAAAAGACAAAATATAAAGGAAGGAAGAGTAGAAGGGTAATAAGTAACAGCAAGAAAAATGATGGCAACAAAATAAACGTATATTAAGGCAGGTCATTTGTCATCAGAGAGAGTCTGAGCAAATGTGAGCAGGGTGAGTGTGGTATAGCAATTAGTCTCTAACTCTAAATCTTGTTTATTTGGAACTTTTTAATCTTAAGTTTTACAATTCAAAGTTTATAAAATATTTATTAACTTCTTAATCTGTGTACAAATATGCACAGAAATAAGTGCCAGGATGGCCCTTTCATACCCATTTTGCCAACTTCATCCATCGATGACACTCCATCAACTATGTGTAGCCATGACCCTCCCTGGATTTTGTATTTTATTTTTTATCTTTTTGAAAGTCACTTTCCTGTCTTGAGTGACAGCATCATCCTCGTGCTCAAGCAATACAGCTCTTCTTCAACAAATATATAAATATGTATAATAAGGAAGACAGATAAAAATGATGCTCTTTTAACTCTACTTTTGTTATTTCCAAGTGAGAAAAAAAATTCAACTTCTGAGGCTTCCTGGATTCCAGGTTAAGGATTTAAAAAAAAAGAAAAAAAATCTGATAGGTTTGAGCGTTCCTTACTTTACTTTTGTATGGGAATGCCAAAAAAGATATTTTTTTAAATTTCTTCTAAAACAATTTTCCTAGATAGGAATTTAATGGTTATCCTGTTTCATGAAGGATCTTACATCATGATCGGAATTGATTCAGTACAATTGTATAATGTACTCTAACTTCTTTTTTCTCATGTCCAGAGAATTCTTAGTTTGAGACTCTGCTCTGCTATCCTAGGATTTATGTTTTCCTGGTTTTGTCCCAAATCTTTTGTTAGGCTCAGCAGAGATGTGGTTGCACGAGATATCAAATAATAGCTAGGAAGGAGCCCATCTTCAGGAGAAGAGGAGCACCCACAAACTGGTGCCTTTCATTTAACCTGATTAGAAGCAGAGAAGGCAGCTTGAAGACAAGCTGTGAGTTGTAGGGCTCTCCTCATAAGCTGTCCTGAGCTCTGAGGTGCCTAAGGTCCACCTGGGACACTGGGTTTGTTTAATGCTAATCCTCACATAGCACATGACAACTGAGAGACTAGAGGCAGAGATGAAGTCATTCTTCTTGATGTTGTGCTCTAACTGTATGTGTACCATTGATGCATGAGACTATGGGATCTCAACCTCTCAGCAGTGGTACCATCAGGACCACAAAAGAACCCCACTACTAGATTCTCCCAACATTTACTGAGACAAGACTCTCAGGAAGTGCTGTAACTTACACTCATTTCTCTCTGCCGTCTGCTTTCGTTTCTGCAAGTGTTGGGCGTGATGAGAGGGCATTTGGGGCCATGGTATGGCATGTGTATGGTGGTCAGAGGACACCTTAACGGAGTAGGTTGTCTCCTTCTACCACATGGATTCTGGGGATCAAATGGAGCTTGTCAGCCTTGGCAGCAAGAATGTTTATCCACTGAATCATCTAGGTACCCAGTTCTTTATTTTCAGTACACTGTAGCAATGTACCTACCCAAAGGCAGTTTAGGGAGTTCTGATTGCTTGATCTGATTTGCTTCTTGATTGCTTCTTCATTTGGAACTGGGCAAAGAACAGTCCTTCTATTATAACTGCATATTTATTTCAGATGTCGTTTTTATATACTTTATTTGTAATAGTCTTAGAAGTGTTTTTAATCGATATGAAGTATCTTTACAGTCTTGTATTATTGGCCACCCCAAAAACAAAACAAAGCATGTGGCAGTGATGTTGGCACGGTTACACAGCCACAAAGCTCCTTTGTCTTTCTCTTTAGGTTTAAAGTTAGAGCAGGTTTTTCAAGGCCACATGTTGTTGGATGATGAGACGCCTGAGCATTTCACAGCCTGATGTTAAATTGTATTCCAGCTCTCTAAGTTCTTCCTAGAAAAACTAGAACAAAAGCCCCAGTGTTGAAGTAAGGATGGCTGTGCTTCTGAGTGTTTCTGCGTCCTGCTCTCCTTCCTGTGCAAAGTTGGGAAATCCCTGTATTTTCTCCAATGAGAAAAACAAGAACCATGATCCTGTTGGTTCTCTTCAGCAAAAGCAATCAAATGTTCAGGGGCATCCAGACAAAAAGCAGAAATGGGCTAAAATGACTGGCACTTATACCATTCTCAAAGAAAAATCAAAAAGTACCATCTGCACATCATCACAAGACATTTTTGGCTCTGTGGACATTAATGCTTTATAAGAGCAGCTTTTCTGTTCTATTCATCCCATAGGATGGCCCCAGTCAGGCCTCTGGAGGGTTTCAGTCTGTCTCTCTTCTTGGCCTACTGTATGGCAAAATCCCAGTCATCAAAGCCTTGACATTGGAAGCTCTAAATGAGAGCTACATCATAAGCTATTTCACAGGTGTTATTTTTTTTAAGCCTGCCAGGCAAGACATTACTAATTTATGGTTAATAAGTATTCACTCAAGATGTAAGCAAAACTATTAAATGATGTAACATTTGTATAGTTTACCAGGCAAAAAATAATTCTGGCTGTAAGTAAAGTAACACCAACAGACTTGGTGGCAAGAATGCTCATGCAGTATGCAGTGTGCAAAGAACAGCAGTTGGAAGACTCCAGGAGAAGCACATCAGCACGTCAATGCCTCAGAAAGCAAAATAGTGGTATATCATTTCCTAAATTTGCCTGCAATGGTCACTCACCTATCAACTAACTCAGAAAGTTTTCATTACTACTCCTTCCTGGGCAGGGCAAGCCCTGTATAACAACAGGCATTCCTTGCTCACTTTTCCTTGACAGGTTGGACATCAGGTGTCAGTTTCTTTCACTCCTGTATAGCAATGACAGACACTGAAGATTTGTTAATTTCAGAGTACATAAGGAAAGAAATCTTGTTAGACAGCACATGTTACTATTATTTCTCTTAGCAATCTATTTTTTTCCTTTTTTAGCCCTTAAGATTGCTTTCTTTGGAAAAGTATTGTACTACAGTACAGTAGTTTCTTGTTGAGAAGGATGGCTGGCTGGGTAGATGGCTGGCTGGGTGAGTTGATGAATAGTTGGGTGAGTAGATGGATGGCTGAATGAGTAGATGGATGGATGGATAGGTGGATGGCTAGACAGATGAAGGAGTGAATAGATGGAAGGGAGGATAGATGGCTGCCTGGATAGATGGGTGGCTGGGTATATGGTTGGCTTGAATATATGATTGGCTGGATAGTTGGAAGGGTAGATAGGTTGCTGGCTGGTTAGATAGATAACTGGATAGATGAATGGCTAGGTTATATATTTATCATGTTAAGCAACCATCTGATAAAATTAATACTTTTGGCAACTATGGATAAAATGATTGATTCTTAATATTACAAATGACCTACCTCATTCTGGGTATACTTTGCTTTTCAGCCATGACTGTTTTCACTTGTTTTATGTCCCTTTTGCATGAAGAAGGTAATGAATAACTTGGTAATTTCAGAATGTTCTTTCCACCGCGCTATGAAGCATACTGGTTATTGGTCTCTAGGGTAACAAAGGTCAATTGGCTAGTCTTTGGAGACTAATTATTGAGTATAAAGTGTGTCTTCTATTTTAGCCCCACACAGATTGCACACGACTCCTGTGAGGCCCAGAATACCTGACAGAGCACATGCCAGGCCTGGTAAGAGAGCTTTGCTTTCTCTGATGACCTACATAGTTAGCTAACTGGGGAAACTACAGAAAAGAGCAAAAATAGCCAAATTTCCCAAAGATGGAAGGGTTTGGAGAGGAGAGATCCAGGACAATGTCCCCTTAAGTTGAAATCAAGGGAGCACAGAAATTCTGATCCTTGTGGATAATTGAAGGGGTTAATTCATTGGAGTGACAAGACTTAAAGGTTTTTATGGATGTTTAGATTCAGAGACCTCTGTGGAACTTAACAAATATAAAAAAAAATAATGCATTTCATTCACAGATCTCACAAACTTTAAATGTTTTATGCCTTTTTTTTCTTGCCTCAAGAAATAAATGGCTTTTAGATTCAAAGAGAATGGTTTTACTCAATACCTTCTGTCATCAAAAGAAACATTTCTCATCTCAAAAAGAACATGGTTTATTCTGGAGCGAAAATTATGAGTGACCATGACCTGGGAATACACATTCTGGTCTTCTCAAACAATGCTCCAATGAAGAAATTATTTCATGAACTTTTTATAGTAACAGAACAAAGAAAGCTATAAATCAAGACTCTGAGAGGCAGAGTACAGGAAGATGGAGAAGCCTCAGATGCTATCTGATAGCAACATTCTTAGCTTTTTATTTGGTGGAAGTTATCTGTCTTAGCTAATACACCCCTAAGGGTTTACCTGTTAGTTACAGGATACCCATGAGGTGGACAAGGAATGACTATTTGGCAGGAGATATGGTAGCCCCAAATTAATTATAATTAAGCTCTAAACCTGCAATATTCCAACCTCTCTACATCAATGCAGTTCTAATCAGTCAGTGGTTGCTGACACAGGTTCCTTCAAGGAATTCTTATTTACACTTCAAAGGATAAAGCTATTTATAAACAATAGAGTATTGAGAGATACCTCATACTTTGGTATTTAAGGAATGACTAATTGTTCGATGTAAGTTATTCTCCTGCTAAGCATCTTAGAATCTTAGCACCAGCTGAAGTCTTTCTATTGTTTTCCTGTCCTTTTCCATTGTGATTCTAAGTATTTTGAAGGCACTAAATGAGGAATGTTACTTACAAAGGTCAATGTGAATGTATCTCCAGGTAGGTGAGAGAAAGGAGATGACATTTTTATATTCTTTGACTAGTATATATGTAATATACAATTATAATATATAAAATATATATGTGCATATATACTATATAAATATGTGTGTATATAACATATAAATATACACACACATATATGTGTATATGTGTATATACCCACACACACAGTGTTGAGTGAAGTCATCTAAGGATTCAGGAACAGTTTCTTTTTTGACACTAATTTAAAGAATAAAAAGGCAGGAAAAGATCTCATCACTCAACCAGAAACACAAAGACAAGCAAGTACACAGAGGCAGAGTCTGCATGTGGGAAAGGAACCCAGAGCTGGAATCTGAGGGGCATGTTGTGTGGGAATGGAATGAGTTCCCTTTCTTCCTGGGAACTGGCTGGTTTGTGCTATTCCAGGGTGTTGGATAATCTGGACAAAGAAAGAAAAGTACATATTTTCTCTCCACATTATTGCTCCCCAATAGTCCCTTGGTGGGGGCTTTAAACTCTCACCAAGTGTTTTTCTTGGGGAGAGAGAATGAACAGGAAGCTAGCTATCTTAAATATCCATGAGAAAAAGAGATTAATCTACCCAGAGCTTTTGTTCTTTGTATGCCTGCTGAGGATCTGTTTGGCTCCTAGTCCTTCATCTAGACAGCCAACATTTTGGCTATAATCTCTAACTCCTAAAGGTAATTGGGTAGAAAAAGCTATACAAGAGAAAATATTTTCATGTGTCTTTGTGTTACAAGCATCAATGAGTACTTAATATGTGACTGATTAAACATTTCTGTAAAATAAATAGTAATGGTTGACAATGACTGTGTACTTACCATGTGTCCTGTGAGGTATATTTGAGAACACTGAAGTGCTGAGGGGAGCCAGAAAGGGAATGAAAAGGCAGGCAGTCTGGCTCTGGAGCTTATGAATGTAAGCACACTCAGTGTTTGGTTTTCTAGAGAACAGGAAAGAGCTGTACATGGTTGTACCATGGCTCTGTGCTCAACAGTGGATATGTACAAGGACTGTTGTAATTAAACAGTATCTAGAGACCTCGGCAAAGGGACCACCGATTTATGAGTTATGAATGGTGGTCTTGACATTAAATACATTTCAGCTCTCAATTCTTCACTAGGTGTAATGCAATCCTGAAATTCCTTCAGTTCTATTTTGGAATGTGTCTAATGGCACACCCAGAAAGTAAGGTAAAATCTCTCCCACGCAAAATTAGAAATTCCCTTGCTAGTTTTCGAGAACAAATATTGGAGCTTAGTAACCACCTCAGTACGGGTTCAGATTTTCGTCCTCACCTATGAAAGCTTGTGACTTTCATAAGAAAATGTGGCTTCACTCTCTGGACCATATTTCCATGTGTAAGAGTTGTCCTTACTTTATTGCCTAGTTAAATTTTTTTCAGTTCTCTGAGAAGTTTTGTTTGACTTGGCTGAAGACTTTTAATAAGGATATGTCTAAACTGTTTAATCCCCACTTTGTTGTAGTTCTGAACAAAACAACCACAAGACCTAGTAAAACCAAACCCAAAGTGATACCCCATGGAAACGGAGTGGGAACAGGTAATAATCACTATTGTATCTCTGTTTGGTTGCACCAAAATTAAATGCTGTCTGTGGTGGTTTGAAAGGAAATGGCCCCCAAAGGGAGTGGCACTATTAGGAGGTGTGGCCTTTTGGAGTAGGTGTGGTCTTATTGGAGGAGGTGTTTCACTGTGGAAGCAGGTTTTGAAGTCTCATATATGCTCAAGCCACGCCCAGTAAGACAGAGTACTTTGCCATGGTCATGGTGTCTCTTTGCAGCAATAGAAACCCTAACTAAGACATTGTACATCTCATATAATCTTGTTGGATTCACACATCAACTTCTTTTGCATAACTTTTGGAAAATGTTTGTAAAATTAAAATTTTAAAGTTTCAACTCTTTTTAAGTCAATGTCAAATATCCCTAAAGATGTTGGAAAAGAATTTTCCAACTTTTCTAAACATGGTCTACTAAATTAGCTCCTATATATAGTTTTGTTTTGCAAAAATAATTTCAATTAAATGTTAGCTACAGGATGAAAATAGAAAAAGAAATAGTTGCTTTCCCTTATTTCAAACAACTTCCTATGTACAGGTCAGTCTGTGTAATGACTTGGTTTTCCCTTTTATACTCTCCCATAGGGGCCATCACGGTTTTCTGAAAGGCCTTTAACTGCTAGCAGTCTGCAATATGGAATTTAAATAAGAAGAAAGAGACTTAATTCAAAATAATTAGCAACTGGTAGCTGTGGCTATAGTCTTACTAAAGCTTATAAACCATTCTGATCAAAGGACACAGCCCTAACTTCCTTAGAGCTATGGGAATGTGTCTAATAAAAATCAAGAAACCCAATTTATTTATTCCATGGGCAAATGGGACTGCATTATTCATTTGAGATATTTTTATAATATAAATTATGTATTTACATATGCAAAATGCATACAAATTATAATGTATTTAATGCATATGTGTTGTATTTAATCAGTTCCTGGTGAGAAAGAGATATAATACTCGAGGTTAGCCTAAAGCTCATTTAGATTCATTTAGAATGTACTTATTGTACTTGAGTATTGTGGTATCTAAAATTCTGGAAATTTCATTATTTTCAGATCAAATGAAAGAGGTCAGTCTATGGATTGCTGAGACATTGCAGTAGCTATTTGTGCTGAGCTAGTCATTCATTCTCCTTACCTGGAGTTTTAGCAGTGCTAAATTTCTCAGATTGGCATAGACTGGCTTTCAAGACCTATCTTTTCTTAGATCCTCTTTGGAGGAATTTAAGTCCACATGTTTAATGTTCAAATGATTCCTTGGAGGTTGCACAAGTAAAAATAGAAATTTGGTATAAACAGGGAAAATAAGCAATGACAAAAAATTGATTGGCCCTGTTGGAGAGCTATTGGCCTCTAGTATAAAAAAAACATGATTTTTTTTTTTTCTAGAGCAAGGAGAATCATCGAGAGAGGGCAAATAACATTATTATACTTTAACTTAGCAACACTATGAATTTTTTCAAGACCCACTTTTGAACCAATTTCTGTCATTATTACCTGCCATACATTCATTAGTCATATTTGTAATATCTTGTTCAAAATAATTTGGGGCTGAGTAGTGTTTCTGTAATGTAACTACTGGGAGGAAATGGCTGCTGAATACCTGCATAACAAATGAATTGCCTCTCCCCCATTCTAACCAAAATGTATGTGCTTGCTCAATGTTGCCAATCTATTGAGGCTTTCTGTCAAAGATCATCATTGGTTTATCTCTCAGGTGGTGAGGCCAGCAGACAGCATCCAACCATCCTCACCTTCAGGGTCAGTCTTAGCTGGAGGCCGCCTTGAATATTTATTTCTCAACACCACTGTAGATACTTGCTTTGCATTGTATGGGTTGGTTTTTCTTTAATTTAAGGTTAGAACATAGCTGAGATTTCATTTTATTACATTTATGTGGGGTAGGTAGGGGAGCATGCACAAGTGCATGCCCTTGTACATATATAGAGATCAGAGAATCAGAGGATAACCTGCAAAAATCAGTCCTCTCTTCCTACAGTGTGGTTCCTAGATACAGAACTTTGACATTGTGTGCCTTTATCCATTGAGCCATGTTGCTAGCCTAAGGCTCATAATTTGCATGGGTCATTTTTTTTCACTATTGTGCTTTTTTGTGGTTTTCGCATATAGATGCTACAGTTTAGGTAAGGTGTTCCACACATTAGAAATTTCTAAGTTGAGAAGTGTAAAAAAAAAAGGGGGGGCTGTTTATTGACTGTCTCTTTAGAGACTTGTCAACCTTAGTCCAGGGAGTCTGACAAATACTGGGCTGGCTAGACATTGAAGCATCACTTTTTGGGGTTCTTTACATGCCAGGCAAAATAGAATTTTGAAGCTCTCTTAGAGTGTGTGATCTGTCAGACTTTGTCACGCAGTTGAGTCCCAGACTCTTCTCTCTCTGTCCCCACATGGAGACTGCCTCACAAGGAAAACCCAGGCTCCTCAGGGTGAAGTATGTGGGTTTTCTAGGCTGTGGCTAAATCTTGCAGGCAACTGGCTCATTGCTCATGAAATGTTAGCTAGGTGCTACAATTTGGAGTTCAAAGCACAGAGGAAAAAAAAATCATACATAAATATCACCCTTTGTAATCATTGGAGATAGAGCCACTGATTCATTGCGAATTGATTTCCTCTGATACAATTGGAAATCAACATGTTTGTTTGCAAAGTTTTTGTTACTATGGTTAGAAATATCCTGAATCATTATTTCATCTTGGACAAGAAATCACTAAGTGATGAATTACGTCAAGCTGTAGACTTCTGGAAAACTCCCATACGGCAGTGGTGGATCATACTGAGGTTCCAGTCTTGGTGCCTTCAGAGCCAACTGCCCTTTAAGCATATGTGTCAATTAATCCTATTTGAGAGAAAAGAATTCAGCTCATAGCCTGGGCTAGACTCCCTGGTTGGATGCCAGTTCCATGCAATCCATTCTCTACAGTGTCTCTCGTAATTGGTTTCATTTTTAACTTTTCTCCTCATCCTGATTCTGTGCTGCCTTTAGCCTTTAATTGCTCCCATTCACTGGTTTACCAGAGCCTGGGGCAGCACTGCTTGTCTCCAACTCTCTCCAGTGAGCCCCAAAGTTACTGTTTGCAGGGCTTCCAGATAGAACTCTAGTCTCTTTTTTTCAAGGGCTGATGTGCTATTGATTTGATGATTTATATCTAGAAATCCAAATGCTGTGGTGCCTATCTCCATCTGCATAGAAAGCAATGGGGAAATTTCTGATTTCGTCTAATTTATTCTTTGTCCCCTTTCCCTCCCCTCTTCTCACCTTCTCCTTGCTGACCCCTGTCCCTCCCTCCCCTTTGTCCTTAATCTCCACCTCATTTCTGCCTTCAGGCACTTCTTTGTACCCATCCTGGGGTTAGTGGGTCTGCATTTGCCTATAGAAACCACTGAAATCCTGCAACAATTTTTTATGAGTGCCACATGATGGTGGCACAGTTACAGGACAGATGGTTGCCAGCCAACATCAATAACTCTCGTATAGGGAGACATTTGAGCCCTCTCGGGAGATGAAGCATATAGGGATATAGTCACTTTAGTCATTGAGTGCCATTGTGAGAAAGAAGGAGCCAGCGGGAAGACTTAGTGCTTGAGAAGACACTTGGGTGTTGAGAGCATGTAGTACCAGTTTCCTACTGTGAGACCTTGAGCAGTTTGTATAATCTGGCCTTGGATCTCCTCATTTGTGGGTCCTAGATGTGATATCCCACACAGAAACTTCAAAACTTCAAAAAGCTCAAGTCAAGTAATAAATATGCAGAGTGCTTAGACTATATGAGAAATAATCCTTTGTATTTGAAGGACTAATAAGGGCTAATAAGATCTACTCAGAGAACACCCAGCCTATTGGCATTCTATGGAATGTGCTCTCTCTCTCTCTCTCTCTCTCTCTCTCTCTCTCTCTCTCTCTCTCTCTCTCTCTCTCTCTCTCTCTCATGTGTGTCTGTTACCTTTGAAAAATTATAGTAAATCAAAGTCTGTCACCAAACCAAGTCATCTCAGTGACACAGTGGAAGTATTTTCCCATGCCTGACTGTCATTTATAGAATGATCAGTCACATGATCTGTTTCCCTCAACCCAGGGTATCAAGAATACCAGAGCACAGGACCAGCTTGTTTTAGATGAAATTTTCAGTCTTCCACAATCCTCCAAAAATAAACAGGTTCTTTACAGCAACAACTCTACTCCATGGTACTAACTTCTGTATTTATTTTGTTTCCTGTGCTAAAACACCATGACCAAAAGCAAACTAAGAAGATATCTGCTTGATTTCTGTTCCTGCTTTAAGAGTGTGTTATATGTATTAGACATATGAAGCTCATAAACCAGTCTCTTTGCTTTTTTTCTTTTTATTTATTTTATATAACCAAGTCCATTTAAATGAAAACAAACATTTATAGACAATATTTGGGAATTTGGGCATTGTTCTTTCCAAACTACTTCCTGCTGGTAAGGGGCGCTGTCATGGGGGATTCTAAGAAGATGCAGAAATCCTGGCTGTAGTCTGTAAGTTTGCTTTTTTCCAGCTGTTTTGAATGTAGGATCACCTGGTACTCTGTTTCAGGCGGACTGGCGTGATCAAACCACATTAGTTTGGATGGAATCCACAGCTTTTCATTTTCTGTGGAAACAAAAATAGAAATCCTTTTCCCCAGTAACTTGTCCTTGAACTTAAATTTTGGAGTCAAAGCGTTTTTTTATTTAATTTATTATTTTACATGTCTATCCCAGTTTCCTCTCCCTCCCTCCCTCCCTTTTACCCTCTCTGCCCTCTCACATGCACTCTAACCACCCTCCCCTCCCATCCCCCACCACCCCAATTCCATATGTAGGGGAATGCCATCCAGTTGGGGTCATGTAGATCTGACAAGTCATGTGAAGTAGGGACTAGGGCTTCTCTCCTGTCTCTAGGTTAAGGCAGTTATCTCTCCACGGGGGATGTGTTAGCAAGGTCCTTTTGTGCACCAGGAATACATCCTGGCTCCATTGTCTGAGGTCTCTTAGACTGCTCAGTCCTTCTGGCTGAGACCCATATTCAGGGGGGCCTGAGTCAGTCCCATGCTGGCTTCCCAGCTATCAGTCTGGGGGCCCGTTAGCTCCTCCTTGTTCAGGTAAGCTGTCTCTATGTGTTTCTGCCGCATGGTCTTGTCCTCTCCATCTGCATCTGGGTTCTAGTTCGACTCAGTGTTTATGTATGGGTGTTTGCTCCTGTTTCCAGCAGTATTAGATGAGGGCTCCATGGATAAGTTAGTTGTTGATCTCACTATCCGGGAAGGGCATTTATGGTAGCCTTTCCACGGAAGCTCAAATTGTTAGTTGGCAGCAGTCTTGTAGTTCTCTAGACCTTTCTTTGTGTTCAATTTTATCTTCAAACCAGTATTGGCTCTCTCTCTCTCTCTCTCTCTCTCTCTCTCTCTCTCCTGTCTTCTATTCTAACCGGGCTCAATCTTCCTGGTCGCATGTGTTTTCCTTTCCTCCCCCTCGTTTTCTCCTACTTCTCTCTCCATTCACTGCCCCCCCCACTTCCCCTCTGCTCTGGGGTTTTTTTACAGGGTGCCATGAGAGCATTTCTCATGCATTAGTGTTTCTATTCTCATCCTCACCCAAGCAAGCACATGGGCAGACTCTCCTCCCCATCGCCTATCTTTCTCTGCCTCTTTTTCCTCTTTGAAGGATGTCTGCTGTGATGTTGCATCTTTGCATCTCCTAGAAATAGCAGGGAAGCTATACCCATGAAGTCTCACCAACATGGCTGCCTAAACAAGTCCTAAACAAGCACAACACCAGCAGACATGTCAACCTGGAAGGGGGAATCTCACAGGACCCCAACCCTAAACAAAGAACTACAAGCAATTGAGAAATATTGAAAATGAGAGACATAGTCTTCCTGGGGGAAGAACTGCCCCATAATTGGTTATCTAATACCAAATAGTCAGCCCTGTCTGAAATCACATACATACAAGTAATGTAAGACTGGGCAGGTTGTATCTATATATTTAGGAATGTATCTATATATCCCTGCATATATACACATACACATATATATAGGGATATATATATATAGAAACCATGAATTTGAGAGAGATCAAGGATAGGGGTAGAATACATGGGGGGGAGTTGGAGGAAGAAAATAGAAAGTGATATATTTTATTTCCAAGCAAAGAAAATTGTGTAAAGAGTGCAAACATGATTAAAAAAAAAAAAAAAAAAAAAAAAACAAGACTAGTATCACAAAACTGAGATACTGATTATCTGCATCATAATGAAGTTTTCCAAAACTTACTCCAGTGACTTGGGCGAATGGCCAGGCAACCACCATGTATGAGGGAGACAGAAGAGAAAAACATGAGACAAAGCAATGTTGAATTGGTTCCTTCCAAACAACTTTGGGTTCTAGGCCAATCCAGGACTATCTTTTAAACCCCAGAGGTAAAAATCCAGTTTGTAGCTTCAACATTCTAATAAGCTAGGCTGGCACAGGAGTATTTTTTAAGTCAGTTCAATAAGCATAAACTCAACCACATTGGGTTCTGAGGTTTCTTTATGAGCATTGGTGAGTTGGAGGAAAATTATCCTTTTAACTATGGAATGTACCCATGAAGACTGGCAGAAGGTGATAATTCACTCTTGGTAAAATCTGTCTGGTGAAGCAATACCTCCCAGGCAGCCAGTGCAGGATGAATGCCATGGAAAATTATGACAAAATCCAAAGCCACAGCCCAGCGCCAGCTTTAGAGAGAAAAATAAAACCAACAAATGTAGGATTTTTAGTATTTCATGTCTGGATGGTGGAAGACAATTCAAATGGGCATAAGAGCACTGGCGTTTAAGTAAGAGGTGCACATTTCCCTGGCAACTCCAGCTAATTAACCATGACTAAGAATGCTTAGCAGATTTTGCTATACAGTTATTCCTGTTGATTGTCTCTGCTTCTAGGAACCAAGCAAGCACCTAAGCCATCAAGTACTGGGAGAAATATGTCAGTGGACTCACGTGCCACAAAAAACCCGGGTAAGGAGTAAGATGTGCCCCTCTGGCACCTTAACACTGAAATTTGAACAGTAACAGCAATGGTAGATGACAACTAACACCTGCATGGCCCCTGTGTATGGGAACCCAATTAGCAGTAGATGCAAGCTGCCAGAGAAATAGTCCAAAAGACCACCTTTGAGGAAGGAAAGTGCAAATTAAGTTCTTTTAACACCATTGGGGGATAATAATCTAATGGTTGCTTACTAAATATCCTGAGGAGTCACCATCGACAAGTAGTACAAAGCCACACTGGGGTTTAGATTTTTTCCTTTTTTTCCCATTTTGCTCTTATGTGATTTATTATAATTTGGCTTGAAATGATTTAAGAGTCTGCTTTAAGAGTCTGTTATATGTATTAGACATATGAAGCTCATAATCCAGTCTTTGTTTTTTGAAAGGGTGCCATGAGAGCATTTCTCATGCATTAGTGTTTCTGTTGTCATCCTCACCCAAGCAAGCACATGGGCAGGCTCTCCTCCCCATCGCCTTTCTTTCCCTGCCTCTCCCCCTAGTAGCCTTGAAGTGGTAAGGTATTTTTCTGGGTGATGTCTTGGTCATTTTCAAATCAATGTAAACAACACAAAGAAAGAAATAACATTTTTCAACTGTAAAGGTTAAAGTTTGAGCTAAAGTGAGTTGCTCTAGACACGTTTAGCTTTTCCAGCCATCCGGCAAAGGTAGACTTTATTACACAAAGTATAAAAGTGTGCTACTTTCCTTTGCTCATTAGGCAGATATGGCTTGAAAGTGTAGTTTCTTGGGCTGGGAGAGCAAAGAGTGGGAAAATTGGCTCCTAGCTCGGAACCCTTGTGCAGTATGTCACACTCTAGTCGCCAGATGCCTGTTCCTGCCTGCCACAAGTGCTACTTTGATATAATTATTTGAAAAGTTCCAATGTTGTTCTCTTATAATTATATATTAGAGTTAGAGGATAGCAGGAACCATCCAGAAAAGGGGAAATTATATAAATGCTCAACAATGCAAAGTGAAAATGGTAGACAGAATTGTAGGCTCACGGCCAAAGGTGATTGGAAATCAGTACTTCTGGCATGTCTCTAGGGGAAAGATTCTCTATATATGAGAATATATGTGATCAATTATCTATGTGTGACCTTCTAAAACATCTGTGCCTACATATTTTATAAAATTACAGATGATTTACATATGTAAGTTTAGAGGATTCCCACTATGTATTACTCATAGGCACTTTTCTATAAATTATAAAAAAATCTCTTGCCATCCTACTGCTACTCTACTGTTTATAAAGTTTACTTATTTCAAACTGATTGTTTTTTTGTAGTAAATACTGATTTTATAATATCTTTTAGCCACAATCCCAGGGACTCGTCGCATATCCATTCCACCTCGACCTATGCCCCCTAGACCTATGCCTCCACAGAGAAAACCTTTACCACCAAATAACGTCACCGGGAAGCCAGGAAGTGCAGGTAGGTCCATCACTCACCTCTCCTCTCTCTCCATGACTCCATTCTACTGGCAATTCCAACCCTTCTCCGTATGCTGGTTTAGGCAAGCCACTGGCATGTGACAGACACATGCTGTTAACTTCAACTTGGAGGATTGAAATACTGACTCTGAGTAGATAGAGTGAAAGAAACCATCCCTCCCTGCCTAGGCCAGTTTCTTTCTGAGATACCTGCATGCTTGAAGCCTACAGAGGAGCCAACTTGGCTTTCAACAGCAGATGACTTCAGAGTAGAAGCGGGAGATGCTGTACCCTGCCAACCCCTCAGAGAGAGTGGAAATAATGTCCTGTCACTGACTTTCCCTTCTTGTCATTTCGAGAGTTCGAATGCTTGGGGTAGGAATCTGAGCAGTCAAGCTGTTTTTTACCTCCATGTCTAGGGTCATGCTTTCATAGAATGGTCCCACCAGAGCAGGATATACACACACTCCACCCCTCTTCAGCTTCAAAAGGAAGTCCTAGCATTGCCATTGTGTGGTCCTCAGTTACATCTCTGGTACAACAAACAACACAGGGCTTTGTACTATTTGTTTGTATCCTTATCTTCCTCTCATAGCTGCAATAACTGTCCTTAGTGTATTCTCTCTGAAACTCCAAAGCCTCATTGAGTTATTAGAATATGGAGGAAATTTGATAGTAATAACCAAATGAATACATAAATGAAATGAACCAGTGAAAATTGATCCAGCTTCCAAAACAAAGATTGACCTCACTTCCCTTTAGGGACTCTGCTAGCAAACTGTGAATTCCTTATCATTCCTCCCTTTCTACCTCTTAACATCCCAAATATTTGGTAGGTGGAAACTGGATAAAAGTATTAAAGACAGCTGTAAAAGATGAAGGTGTAGGGCTGGAGAGATGGCTCAGAGGTTAAGGGCATTGACTGTCCTTCCAAAGGATCAGAGTTCAATTCCCAGCAACCACATGGTGGCTCACAGCCATCTGTAAGGAAATCTGATGCCCTCTTCTTACATGCAGACAGAACACTGTGTACATAATAAATAAACACATCTAAAAAAAAAATAATGAAGGTGTAGAAAGTTCATGTGAAGGGAGCTGGTGTCATTCCTTTTTGCAAGACAAAAGACAGACATGATAATGGCTTTTATGTTTCTTGATTCTGGGTCCCTTTGGGGGGGGAGGTGTCAAATGAACCTTCACAGAGATCACATAGCAGATATCCTGTATATTAGACATTTACATTATAGTTCAAAACAGTAGCAAAATTACAGTTATGAAGTAGCAATGAAAATTACGTTATGTTTGGGGGTCACTATGACATGAGGGACTATATTAAAGGGTCACAGCATTGGGAAGGTTGAGAACCACTGCTCTGGTTTGTTTTTCCCCAGTGTCTAGGGGAGGATTCAGCCTCTAGCTTGTGCTTTGTGCCTTTCTGGGTCAAGGCCCATTGAAGGCCTCGTGAGGAGACCAGGTTGTTTTCATTAACTCTAATATGAAGCAGCTGTGGCATGAGTGCCACTTGCCTTCAGGACTCACTGATGAGTCACTGTGGTGCCAGAGCGTGCCATGAGAACCCAGGGGACCGACCACCCCTGCAAGTGTTCCCCGGATGTCATCAGCTACAGTTCACTGGTCTTGGGTTTTGGCTTGTGATCCTGTTCTCTGTCAGAAACTGTAGTGTTGGTACAGCCTCTCTACCCCTGAGCCCTAAAGGAGCCAAAGGCACATCCCGTGCCTTGGATTAGCTCAGGTCACTGCTGGCCATGCCCCACCTCTAGCTGAGAGAAAATGGTTCCCACTTCAAAGCCTAGCAACTAGCACTTACAGTGGTCCAGTTCTGGTAATTCAGCAATCCACTGGAGGTCTGGGCCCAATCTGAGGGTCTCTCACGAGTACTTGTGAAAAAATCTTGGCTTCCACTTGATAGCTACCAAATTTTTGCCTATTTCTACATCTACAGAGGCCTCCGAGTCTCACTTTTCTTACCAAGGTGAGAATGTGGCCACCATTTCCTGCTGACCCTGCCAGTTCTGGAAAGCACAACTCTTCTTGGTTTTGCTTGCTGTTTTATTGTGGTGCATTCCCTCTAGGACCAAGAGCCTGAGTCTGTGAAGAAAAGCAGAGCTCTGTTTCCTGACTCAGCTATGACTGAATACTGAACCAGCTAGTATCCCTTGACTAGTAGCCTAAACACTTTTCCTAGGAGGAATATAAACCCACCCTATGCTCCACTTACTGTACTAAAAACACTTGGTCTTGCTTGGACCTTGGGATGAATCTAGTTTTAGAGACTGGATCCGTAAGTTTATCATAATGGAGTTGAACACAGAAACTCAGAGGAGCACTGTTCTGGCCCCTGGGTCAGAATCATAAATTTCTCCTGGGGTCGTTGTCCTCCTGGTCTGGTCATTTTCCATGTCTGCCTGTTCATTTCTAAGCAAGGCCATTGCATCTCTTTCTTTCACGGCTGACCAAATGGCTAGGGTGAAAGTCTCAACATCGTTTGTATCACTTCCCTGTGGGAAATCTTCTCATGGTCTTTTTAACCTTAAAATAGCATCCACAGCAACGATGCTCAAGTTCTTCTATGGTCTGTCGTTCCTTGGCCCTCCACACTTAGCTGGGACAGGGTCTTCTCTTTCCTCAGCTGTCATGTTTTCCTGATATGATTCACAGACTGAAGCTCTTGCATTTCGTGAAGACACACTTCCCTACTGATACCCACTTTCCCCATAGACAGCCACTCCCTCCCTTTGTCCCCTCTGTGACCTTTGGTAGTTCTTTCCCAATATCTGTGATGTTTCAGTACCCTTGGCTCAGGCAGCAATCTGTATCAGGAATCAGGTCTTGCTTTCTCCAAGCCTTGCTGATAGTGCCAAGCCATGTGGTGAGTGCTCAATAGACGTTTACTGAAGAGATAAATGGGAAACTTGGCCCTGCTCCTACTTCTGTGGTTTTTGCATTACAGGAATCATTTCCTCGAGCAGAGCAACTTCCCCACCCCTAAAGGCAACACTCAAGCCTACTGGAACAGCTGCAGAGAGACCAGAGGCAGAAAAAAAGTATCCAACCACTCCTTCTTCTGAAGAAGAAATTGGTTAGTGTGTTGGTTCTCACTAGACTCTGTGCTGCAAGATGCTCAAAGATTTCAAGTTAAGGCAGACAAAAAGCTTGGGGCCTTCTATTTTCATCAACTTTAGGAATATTTATCTTCTCGATTTCAGAGTAATATTAATAACATTGAGTTATAGAATTTCCTTGGCAGACATGGGAATGCCAAGTTTCTATGTGTGTGTGTGTTTTCTTAATATATAAAATGTAGAATATCCAATTACCGATTAAAAAAAATTCGACTACTAAATTACCCACTACTATGAACTACAGATATTCTAACATTATTGGTTATAATTTTTAATCTACTATTGTTACACTCTAGAATACCTTGCTGCAGGACACAATTAAAGATGTTTTTATTTTGGATGAAATTGTATAAGAATAGTAAAGGAAATCAAACTACTAGCAATTTATCTAGGAGGAATAATGATTATCTTTCATCTGTACTGCTTTTATCAATCTATTAATTTACCTTTCACTGAATTTTTCATGATTTTTTTCATTCTCAGGTACTATGACTGATTTTAGTTCAAGCCCAACAAGAGAGACTGATCATCTCGGGAAGCCCAGATTTGTAGGTATGTGGCTTGGCACTTCAACTTTAGGTAGATCAGTCGGGTAGTTACTGTGTAAATATTGTAGGAGCTTACTACAATCTGAATTTTTCATATTCATGCAAGTCACCTGGGCAGCAGGTACAACAGGCTAGGATAGGCTAGCCTCAGGTCCACCCTGCGTGTGCGCATTTTGCTGCCCAGGACAAAGAGTAGCAGTGACCCAGGAGAAGCCATTCTCACCATAATACAAAGGAGAGGTGATCCAAATAGCCATATTTTGAGGTACTTTTTATGTTATAGCTGCATAAGCCCAGAACAGAAAACGAGAGAGCACAACTCTTTCCATGGATGCAGAGATTGTTTTAAGATACCTTAAAACTGTTTTCTAAAGCCAGATGTATTGTCTGACATTTCTGACAGTATCTATGAGTGCTTGGGATTCTTTACCTCCTCACCAGAGCTGGGTGCAGTCAGTTTAAAATGCTTTTGCCATCTTAACAGGTGCAAAGTCGTATATAACTATGGTTTTAATTGACTCTTCTGGTCTACCCTAACAAAATTCCACAGAAATTTCCATGGGCTGAGCATTATTCTAAATAATCTAAATCAATGAAAACCAGAAGTCAGCTATTAGGGGAAGGCCTGGAAGATCAGATAACTGGGAGCAGACACCAGTTTCTTCCTTCCCCTCTGGTTTCTCAGTCCTCAGTCGAAAAGGGCAGGGGACCTGCCTCTGCTCCTCCATATCCCTAGTGCTGGAATTACAGGCATGAACCTACCAAGTGCTGGGATTAGCGGTGTGAGCCCCCCGCCCCAGTTAACTAGTGGCTAGCTTCGCCCTCTGATCTCCTCCAAGTCCCTCTGCCTCCTAAGAACCCTGGGCTGACTGGGATAAGGCTTCACAGCTTTCAACCTCATTTATCTCCACATTCTTATTCACAGCCTTATTTTTATATCTGTTGAGGGTACAGGCTTAAGTTATTTATGACTATAAAAAAAATTACTGATTGACTGAGCCTTGCATTCATTATGCAGGGTGTTTTCTACTTCTGATGGACATCTGTGTTCTGATATCTAATTTGCTGATATTTATATATCTGGCCATGCTCTCTCTGAACTGCATCATTTCCCCACCTTTTATTTGTAACCATAATTTAATCTCTTTATATTTACACTGTGTGTGTGTTTTTTTTTTTTTTTTAAGACATCGCAGCATCAGGTCTTTCTTTTCTTAGACACTCCCAACAATTTTTTTGCAGTCTATAGGACCTCTCAAATTATTGGTGATACCATTGGAGTAAATGTTTATCTTATTTGTTTTCTATTTGCTTGTTTTTGTTTGTTTGTCTTTTGTTCTCCTTTTTGGCCTTCCTTCCCTTAGTTTTATAATCCCACTTTGTGTGTCTTGTTTCTTGTTTCAGTTGTTCAGTGGGGAGTGACAATGTGAATCCTTAACTTACCACCGTCTACCATCTAGCAGTAGTGAAGAGCCCCACAACGTTCTGTAGCTTCTTCTTTTCCTCCTGACTTTTGAGCTATTTTTGTCAATATCTATTACACGAATTTGTTTTCATTTCTTAAAAGTCAACCAACTTTTAGACTGGAACTAAAATATTGTGTATAGGCACGCACTGTTGCTACCATCTTTCATCGTTTTGTGGTGGGGCCAGGGGTGGGGGTGGGGCACACACTTTCAGCCAGTGAAACTTTTGCTTCAGTTATTGCCTTACACTGTGGATTTGCTGAAGTATTTTGTTGTTTCTTTTAAAAGTATTTTTCACTGTTATTGATTCTTCACTGAAGATGTCACCCATTGTCTTTGATTTGCATTCTTCTTGATGAGAGATCTACTAAAGCCCTCACTTTTACATGTTGCTTTCTATACATGTTCTCTCTCTCTCTCCTTTAAATATTGTCTGTTTTTCACTGGTTTTTGGGAACTTAATTATGATTGATATAGTTCTCTTAATATTTCTTGTTATTAAAGGCTTTTGATATTTAGCTTTTTAACTTGTGATTTAGACGTTTGGGACATTTGAGGACATTTCTGAAAATATTTCTGTGCTCATTCTACCCCTCCTCTACCTTGGACATTTGAATTATGTCCATATGAGAACTCTTCAGTTTCCCAAAGCTCACAATGTCCATTATTCCCTCCCACACCTTTAGTCATGTGCTGTCTGTCCGTAAGTCTTCCTGTTTGTGAGTATCTCATGTATTAGTTCTGCCTCATGTTGTTATATCTTACATATGGTTTCATCTCTAGAAATTTGATTAGAGTCAGTTTTATCTTATTTCATGGGTCAATTTTACACCTACCTCTTCCTTGTATAATAATCCTAGCCTCTGTGCCAATTCTAAGCTGGTTTCAAAGGACTGAGTTTCCTCACTATGAACAATACTTATGAATTTGACCTTGATGGGTACTGCACTCTTCTTTCCTAAGACATTCTTGAGTTTTGTTCTGAATCGATGATTCAGAGCTGCTTGGTCCTTGTGAGTCTGGCTTTCTTCAGAATGTTGTTTGGTATGACAATCGTGCCTACTGCGCGAGACTCACTACCTACACATTATGAGGTAGGAACTAACTACAGAGATCAAGCAGTATCCAAAGAGATTAAGACTAGGTGTATCTACAAATGCAGGATCTCCATCATATACCCAGAGGTAGGAGTGTAGAGTTTTAAGGCTAAGCCGCCATCAGCACTATTTTCAAATGTCCGCTTAGAATGTGACACTAAAGTCCTCAAGTAGACTATCAAATTGACTAGTTCGCCTCCTCATCTTCTTCACAAGTGTGCTAACTGTCAGAGTCATCTCTCCTTCCCACTCTTAGGCCCTCATGTGCGATATATCCCGAAGCCTGATAACAGGCCCTGTTCCATCACTGACTCAGTCAGACGGTTCCCGACAGAGGAAGCTGCAGAGGGGAATGCCACCAGCCCACCACAGAACCCACCCACCAACCTCACTGTGGTCACCGTGGAAGGCTGCCCCTCATTTGTCATCTTGAACTGGGAAAAGCCACCAAATGATACTGTCACTGGTAAGATTGTGGCACTAGGATTTGATGCTGTGGTGGGCAGCCTTGGTCAAACTGTAACACACAAATCACATCTAAGGAGAACAAAGTTCTGTTCTCCAATGTGTCATAGCTGGGAAAAAGGTGTTGGTTTTTGTTATAGCCTCCTAGTTAACTGAGACCTTCAGAGCTGTGTTCCTTCCATCCCTCTTCTTTCCACAGCTTGGAAATAGTCTTATGATTTTACCAAGAAAATCACAAAGTATGTGAAGACTTGACACCTCTGATAATATCTAAAATAGCTTTCTTTTCACCAACCTAGTTTCTAAACTGGCTGAAAACTTCCAAACAGGCTAAAAATTATTTCAACTAACTTTGAAGAATAAACAAAAACTCCCTCACTCCCAGGCAATTTGCTACTTCACTGAGAAAATTCTGATTGTGCTACACTGACCTAATTCCTCTATAAATGGTCATGCAAAATAAGAACCTAGAGTCATTTTTTTTTTAATTTGTTGCAATTTGTTTGGCACACTTTGATTCTACATATAGAAAAGGAGGGCCAAACAAGAAATGAGAAACAGACTGACATCCGGAATTGCTAGTAAGTGGGAGTCCATGGGACTCCCTGTTTTGGGAACAGGGGACAGAAGCATAGACTAAGCAGCTGTCTGAAATAGACAATGGAAGGTAAGGCTGTGGGTGAGGAGACTCAGAATCTTCTTGAAAATATTTTCTGCTGTGGTAAAGGAGAACAAAGCAATTGTCTCTCCTTCAAAACCATGTGATTGGAGCAACTTCCCATATAAACATTACATTTGCTGAACTGTCATATTTCTTGCATTTCCTTTCCCATGGAAAGGCAGCCTTTGTCCTGAGAAACAGTCTCCTGTCACCACCAATGTTCTTAGGAATCTGCCATGTCCTGTTTATTCATATAGGTTGAGCCAGTAGACGCTTCTATCTTAATTCCTAAAAGTCAATCAACTTTCAGTATTGATTATCCACATCATGTATGTATTCAAACATCCAAAACTCTTGATTACCCACTGTGCTAATAAGAGTTCTATTTTCCTGAAACCAAATTTTGTTTGCCTAAAGATGCTGGGCTATCAAGTTGGAATTATTTAAGTCTGATCTACCTAATTTCTGCTACATCTCCATTTGGATGATATGGTTTTTCAAGACAGGGTTTCTCTGTGTAGCCCTGGCTGTCCTGAAACTCACTCTATAGATCTTGAAGTCAGAGATCCACCTGCCTTCCAAGTGCATGGATTAAAGGCATGTGCTAAGTAATATAACCCAGCTAAGTTATATAAATTTCAATTGTAACAAGTCACAAGTAGAGTAGACTTTACATACCTAATTAATAATTAATAAATAAATATTTTCATAATGCTAATGAGCTGCTCAGAGTCCTTCACAATTAAAGTTCTCATGGCCAAGGGTCACATTTAGCTCTTACCTACAATTCCACATTTAGCCATTATTCTCTTAGTCTATCTTTAAATATCAGACCATCTCTCCTAATGATCTCCATAGAGTCTATTTTTTAATTTTAGTGTTACATGAAATACCACTTGATTTCAGATAGAACTTCCAGCTAGCAGCTCAGATAACACAGACAGTAATTCTTCTAATTCCCAAATTAACTGAAACATAACACAAGTGTCTACTGTTTTTTTTTCCATTTTCAGAATACGAAGTCATATCCAGAGAAAATGGGTCATTCAGTGGGAAGAACAAGTCCATTCAAATTACAAATCAAACCTTTTCTACAGTAGAAAATCTGAAACCAGATACAAGGTAAGGCCCAGTGCTCTTCCAGGTCAATTCTGAGAGTTGCAGAAACTATAGCCACAAAAAGGACAGAACAATACCTTCTCTGCCTTAAAGGAGGATCTTGTTTTAATTCTGGATTCCTTTAATGCGGTTCTGAATACCTTGCATCACATTTCCAAAATATTCTTGTTATTAGGATAAAAGAGCTAATAGGATGGCCTTATAAGTTAACAATATAAATGGTAACATAAAAATATAGTCCATTAATAACAAATATTGCTTTTTTTTTTTTTTTTTTTTTTTTTTTTGTTTTTTGAGATAGACTTTCTCTGTGCAACAGTCCTGGCTGTCTTGGGACTCAATTTGTAGTCCAGGCTGGCCTTGAACTCACTGAGCTCCTTCTGCCTCTTTCTCCCAAGTGCTGGGATTAAAGGCGTGTGTCACCACTGCCTGGCTATGCAAATATTGACTTTTAAATAACAAAATATAGAAAAGGCTGTGAACTAGAGATAAATGGAGTGTCCATGGCATAAACTAGACTTGAGCCTCAACTCTGATGGGGAAAGAAGGAATACAAACTATTTGATAAAATACAGACAAAGATTATATTTAAAATACTACTATGGGCCCCACGTTGTATTAGTTACTGTTCTATTTCAGTGATGAGATACCATGACCAAGGCAACTTCTAAAGGAAGGCATTTAATTGAGGGCTTGCTTACAGTTTCAAAGGCTAAGTCCATGATCATCATGGTGGGATGCATGGAAACAGGCAGGCATAGGACTGGAGCAGTAGCTGAGAGCTGACTTACATCTTAAGATGGATGTAGAAAGAGCAAAAGACTGTCTGACTTCTCACATAAGCTTTTGAAACCTCAAAGCCCACCCCCCCCCAGTTGCATATCTCTTCCCACAAGGCCACACCTCTCCCCCAAGGCCACATGCCCTAATCCTTTCCAAGTAGGTCCACTAACTGTAGTCCAAACATGAGCAATGGAGGCCATTCTCTTTCAAACCCCCACACAAGTGCAGCAGCCCTTTGCTTTGGGGACTTTTTACACTGAAAAGGAGAATAGAATTTTGGTGATCAGTTGCATATTTTACTGTTCATACATTAACACAAGGTCATTAATATTTCAGTATAGTTTTATGATTTCCTTTCAGTCTAGAACATCTTATCAATTCATTTTATTACTGAAAGAAAAAAAAAGCCCTCAGACATTTCTTATTAGCTGTAGAGAAGTTCCTAGAGGAGGTTTCATTTCTTTCCTAAGTTCCCTTTTCTATACCCCTCTCCATCATCTAATGATTGGGTTGAGTAGGGTATTGATGTAATATGAGAAGGAGTTTGTTTTAACTCTGGCAGTGGTAGAGACATCCTTCCAATCATTTTAGAGGAAAAGAGCCTAATTAATTGAGGTTAAGTTAACTGTGTATAAACTTCAGTCCTTTACTGCAGAAAGCATGCATTTCTTCCAAAAACATGATTTTTAAAGTGCCCTGTTTTGACATGTAACATGGGAAATGTTTCAATGTTTTAATTTTCATGACAGCTTTAAGTTAGCCAAAAATAAGCATGTCTGTCAGTTAAAACCCAGTTGATCTTGATCGTTTCCTCGGCAAGATTGAAAGAACACCAAAAATTTTATTATAATAGATTATAAGGAAGAATTAAAAATAAAACATAATTTCATTGGACCTTTCTAATACGTAGATTTATGCTTGCAAAACTTACATTTTCTCTTGAGTTGCCTGCTTTTAATCCCACTTAATAGCATGAGCGGGACTGTACACAATATTCATGGAAAGACATTGGCTTTGTAAGTAGTGTACACTGTGTCCCTTGTCTGAATCAAGCTGTCCCCACAGATTCTCATAGTGAACCATTAGTTTGTGATCCACCTTTTCCAGGCACATTCGAAGTCAAATTTGTCTGCTGAAGCTACTCATTTTCATTTAACTACTATTTATTCAGTGCTGCTAGAGCTATAAATGGCAACCTGTGTGGTGCCGCCTTTGAGCTCAAGTCTAGCAGGAAGCTTAATTAGTAAGCATGGCAAGAGTTCTAGAAGTGGCCTGCGGGAGTGCTGGAGGAGGTTGGGGAACAGCCCTCCACCCAGCCTGGGAGATGGAAAAGGTGAAAGTTGGGCTGGGGGGTTGAAGGATAAATAGAAAAGCATTACATGGTATTGGTGGCAGGGAAGTAGGTGTCGCAGAGAATATAGCACAGTATGTCAGTGCAGAGAAGCCAGCTGGATTATAATTTAGAATTCCCTCCTGGGGGGGGTCCGTATTTGAATAACTCAAAGAAAGTGGCTTTGGGATGACTTATTATAGCTCTGTTACACCACAAGGAGGCATGTGTAAATACTGTATTTTGGTGACTTTTCTATTATTTGACCTGATTTTTAAGATATGAAAAGCATGACTATCTAGCAGCTACTCTGCACACATCCCATGGGTAGAGTCAAGGTAAGATTTGAACCAGAGAGAAGGGAGTGTGAAAGCAGAGATTTAAGATTTACACACTGGCTGGGGTTGGCATTCTAGTCTAGAAGCTAAGTGACATTGGACCACCCATTCCTTTCACAGCCAGCTCCCCTGCTGCTTATTCTTAATTACGTTGCCATGCGTCAATCTATCATGCAGAGGCTCAATTCTTATTTGCATTAAGAGACTACCCAGCAGCTGTTTGCTGATGTGAGGGCTCATTTCCATACCTGGTGTCAGATGTTCCTGTCTCTGGGTTGGTGTCTCATGGGCCACAACCTCCTGCTGCAAGGTACAGGAAGCCATTGTTTCAAGTAAGAGAGGCAAAAGAAGTCTAGAGACTGAAGACAAATGTTCTCTCTTCCTTTGCAGAGATCCTATCTCACTACCTCTAAAACAAAAAGAATTGTGGGAATGTTGCTATCAGTCGAATCAGTGACTTGGTAATTTTCTGTTGTGGTGAAGAGATGTAAATGATCAAGGCATCTTAAAGAACTTTATTGGTGGCTCACTTAGTTTTAGAGGGCTGCAGTTCATGACATGGCAAGGGACATGGTAGCAGGCAAGCAAGCATGGTGCTGAAGCAGTAACTAAGCTGGCATCTTCATCCACAAGTAGGAGGTATAGAGCGCTAACTGGGTACCAGGAGTCTTTTGAAACCTCAAAGCCCAATGCCAGTGACACACTTCCTCCAACGAGTCCACACTCCCTAATCCTCCTCAAACAGTTCATTAGCTAAAAACAGAGGATTCAAATATATATAAGCCTATAGTGGCTATTTTCATTCAACCACCCCAATCAGTACTCCAGCCCACTCTCCCACCAAATCTTCTTTTCCTGCAATTGGCCAGGAACAACAGAGTCCTTTCTCTTCTAGGCAGCATGTAGCTCTTGCTGAACTTGGGAGTAAAAGTGTAGAAGGAAGCTCTCTTACCTGAGATCATGCCACAATGTCTCTTAAGACCACCAACTATACTTAATTCTACCAATTGGGGAGCTGATATAGAATATGTCAAATCATCAATATGGCACCAGTACTGATAGGGTCAGGCAGTGTGGCTTAGCTGATCCTTAGGGTGTTCCGGCACATAGTCTTGGGATAGGCAAAGCCATGCAGTCAGTGAGAATAAACTAAGACCCAGATGAGCACATAGTGAATGGTCTCAGTCAGCAGCTTGGCTGTAAATTTGCCTTGAGATGAACTGCTAAGTGCTTGGCTTGGTAACATATTGATGGTATGGGCTCTTTCTCATGAACTAGTTGGCAATGCAGATAGACACAATGTGATCACTCAGACTGAAAAGGATCTTTAATGGCTCACGTCTGTTCCAGAAAGCCTATTTCTCTCCGTATTCCACTGAAAAACTAAAAAATCTGTTGTGTATGCCAGAATCCATGTGGTCCACCACTTTCCTATGGAAAATGGACTCTGATAATTAAGATAAATCAAATTTACTTCATCTGTTCAAGTATTTTTACTGACATCTGTGGGCTCAGGAGGATTCTGGGAGACAATTATTCTCTAAGACTAAAACCTACTGAAGTCTGGGATTCCTGTTTACACTGAGTTGACCAAACATTGGCACTGATGGTTAGCTGCAACACAATTCTTATAAACTGTGAATCTGGCTCAAAGAAATGTGTGGAATAGTCATTATGCCTGGACCACAAGGTTTATGTGAAATTCAGTTCTCTGCAAATTCTTTACTTTTCAACACCATGTATGGATTTGGTATAAAGTAAGATAAGGTGTCAAAGCATCGGGCATTTTATTTAGTTCTATTGTAGGTGTGGGCAACAGACAAGTAATTCCTTCCTTGTGGGGGAAAAAAAAAAGAAGCAGATGCTCAGCTAGCAACTTTGCACCAGGCAAGAGCACAGCTCTCCAAGAATGGTTCTCTACTTGTCTGTAGAACTGTTCTGTGCTCATCACTGTATACCTTGGTATTATAGTTCCTTTGAATTCCTTGTATCTAGAAAGGTGGGGGAAGCCACAGCAGCACCAGAATTAGAAGTGAAGCCCAACTCTGGAATGTCTAGTTTCTCAGCCCTGCCCCCTAGAAATGGAAGACACAAGAAACTTCTCTTGGGGCATAATGGGCAGCCAGGTTATAATCCTCCATGGTTTCTGTTTTCCCTTCTTTCCCTTCTGTTCCTTCTTTTCCCCACCCTCCTCTTCCCCCCTCCACTTCTTTCTTCCCATTTTTTTCCTTTTGCAACACACTGGTAGGTACGCTGCCCAGAGTGGCCTCAAATTTGTGTTTCTGCTTTAGTTTCATACATCACGGATACATCCTGGTTCCACGGGCAGACTGCCCGGCCCTCCTGAGACCCACCTTCAGGGAGTCCGGGTCACTACTAGGCTGATTTCCCAGCTATCAGTCTGGGATCCATGAGCGCCCCCTTGTTCAGTTCAGGTCAGCTATCTCTGTGGGTTTCTCCAGCCTGGTCTCGTCTCCTTTGCTCATCACTCCTCTCTCTGCCAACTGGATTCCAGGGGTTCAGCTCAGTGTTCAGCTGTGGGTGTCTGCTTTTGCTTCCATTAGCTACTGAATGAAGGCTCTAGAATGTCATATAAGGTAGTCATCAATCTCATTATCTGGGAAGGGCTTTTAAGGTAGCCTCGGCACCATTGCTTAGATTGTTAGTTGGGGTCATCCTTGTTAGGTCTCTGGACATTTCCCTATGCCAGAATTCTCTTCAAACCTATAATGGCTCCCTTTATTATGGTTATCTCTTTTTGTATTCTTATTCCACTTTTTCTGATTCCCTTCCTCTGACAGAAGACCTCATCTGAACAGGTCTCCAGCATGGGTAAAATGAGCTAATAGCCATACATTCTAAACCAACAGCCACTTAGTGTTTTTTGTATAAAAAAACAAGTTTTGTAAGAAGCAGTTGGAGGTTTGAGAATTTTGTAAACCTACCTTTTCTAACCAGTAGGGAATTATGTAACTAAAAGTACATTTCAGCAATAAAAAGCTATAACTCAGTTCTAAGTTTATGCCAAAACTGAAGGCTACAGAGAACGGGTGAGGGGGTGATGGCGGTATCCATTCCACTGGGGCCTGCCGCTTTATTCTATACCCACACTGTAGAAGGTAGCTCCTAGATGTGGACATTCTGCTTTTGACAGATTAGCTCAGCAACTACAGACCATACTCTCTGGAACCATTTTTTCACTTTGTTCCAGTAATTGATAAATTTTTACTTTGCAGGTCAATTTTTACAGCTGTTCTCAAACCATTGGTCTCAAAATTTACTCTTCATTATGCTTTCCCTTTAGGGTGATAGGTTTTTGTTAAGTCTTTCAGTTTATTAAACTCTTGCCACCATCCATCACTTTGTGGCCTCCTAAGAATCAAATATTGGAAAAACAGTGTCTTTACATATATTTCTCAAGTGTCTTCTGATTCTTTTGTTCAGCTGAATGTGGATTGTAAGATAAGATGATGATAAAATGAAGAACTTCCAAGTGTTGACTTTCCCTTAACTTCAGTTCTGCTGTGAGTTAAAACACCATTCTAAGTGTGGTCCCTTGAATAGGCCCCATTATTTTACTCTCAGGTTGGGGGCTTTTTGTCATGATCCCTTGGTACTCTGAAAATTTGCAATTTGTATGCTTTACACCCTTTCTCCTCCTCTTGGGAATGGAGTAGGTAGGTCTTTTGAATCTTGAAAACTTACACCTTTAAGTTCAGGGAGATTTCTCACACAACGTCTAGGATTGAAATCCTGTTTTATAGTTTCTGCCAGTTGGGTGCTCAACAATAATCCAATCTTACTTTGTAACTTTGATTTTACGTCTATTTATCTGTAGACTGTCAACTTTATCTTCTAAACTTCTGTTTAATTTCTGTTTTTTCAAATAATGGCTAAAATTCTGAGGGAGCACCCTTTACGTACACCATGATTCTTTGAGACTTAACTCTTACAGGCATATGGTGTCACTCATGTGACAAAATGTGCTTTCTGGGAAATATTTTGCCACCAGAAATATTTTTTCTTTATATAGGGTTTAATCAGCCAAAACATGTCCTCATGTTGTTAAACATAGTTTTATTGTTATTTCTTCCAAACTTGTATCATAAAAGGTTGTAAAAAACCTTCAGAAAAAGTAAGTTATGAAAACCTGTGGCTATGCTAGAAGTAGAGATCATGTGTAAGTAGCCAAAACAGAAAGACATGGAAAGGAGTCCAGTGGTCAGATCTGGCCAAGGCACGGGTTGGCTGGTGATGGCCTACAATAAATGTGACATGTACTCCCATTCAAACCAAGCTGCAGATGCCTATGAATTCTTCCCCATAGTGCCTTCCATATTCAGTTCACCAGTCTTAAGAGATTTTATGTTACCACCGGGACTGTTTGAGGTCACTAGCTGTAGGAAGAATATAACCTTGGGAATATCCCATGTATGTGATTTAAGTAAATAGCATAGGCGCTTTCAGATCAGCATTGTTTGTATGTCTGGATGATTATATGTGTGCAAGGGCAGTCCCATGTGTGCATGCCAGGATGCACTTGGAGGACAGAGGACAGCTATGAGCCTTAGGCCTTGCTTTTGTTGTTGTTGTTTTTGTAGTAACCAGACTGTTTATTTAAAGCCACATGGAGACACAATTTCTCCACTCATTCTTTTTCTTATCTGACATATCGATCCCAGTTCCCTCTCCCTCCGTCTCTCCCCCCTTCCCCACACTCCACAGGTAGGGTGATTACACTTTTTATACTATGAGGTCTCTTTTGTTGTTTCTTGCTAAGTGCCTATGCAAGCTGGCCTGTGAGTTTCTGGAGATTGTTTTTACTTCCCATCATGCTACAGGACACTGAATTTGGGATTACAGATTGGATGTGCTGTCCTCCATCCCCAGTCCTGCTTGCTATATGTGCTGGGACACTTCACACGGAGTCATCTCCCAAGTCTGGCATTTTCTTATGGTAAATGGCAGAAAACCTTGAGAGGTGTTTTCTCAAGAGGACTTGAAGTTAATACAGCTTGTGAAAAAGATATGTCAATTATGCACAATTTTATGACTCATTCTTAAGGATGGAGCAAAAGCAATTCCACTTTTTTTTTTTTTAAAAGGGCCTTAGCAGTGTGAGCCTGACAAAGTCTCAGCTTTGTGTTTGTGCTCTTAGCATGCCAGCAGCCTATTTTGTGGACACCCTGGCTTCCAGTAATCTGTATCAGTCTTGAGGTCCAGGAGAGACAACCAGCACTGCAAAGAAACATTCTCCTTATGTGTATCCATTATTGTAACCCAGTATCTCTCAAAACCAGTGGCCACAGAACATATGCCAGAACTCATTCAGTCTTTATTCTCAGTAGCAGAGGTGGGACAAATCTGCATTTAAAGAAACTTTCCCCATTGTCACCCTCTGCTGTGATTCAGACACCACAGCGAGCAATACTGGCATGACAGAAAGAAGACAGAACTCTCCAGGTGACATCTGGAATTAGAGTGGGTCACCACTATCTTTCCTATGTATCCATTGTAAACCTGACTGGTTATTTCTACCAATTTGTTGGTTTTAAGATAGCTAACTTTTCGTTAGTCTTTTTCTCGTATGAAATATTAGACAAGATGTTGGGAAAGAAGCAGGAGTTAGTATATCAAGAAAATGTTGTTCCTTAAACCCCTCAACAAGATGTTACTGTTTTTATTTCTCCTTACACAGCTATGAATTCCAGGTGAAACCCAAAAATCCACTTGGTGAAGGCCCTGCCAGCAACACGGTGGCATTCAGTACTGAATCAGGTAACCATGTCAGCAGTAATTATTATACATGGATGTGAAGGGACATCATCACAAGTGTTGCATAGGAGCTTATTTGAAACCCAGAGTGTCTTGAATTCTAAAAATATTCCTGAGAAGCAGCTAATAGATGAAGGTACTTACAGTTTATTCACTTAGGTTTATGTCAGGGAAGGAAAGTCATGAATTCTATGAAACTATCTGCACATTCCAAAGCTCCAATTTCTCAATAAAAATCTATACGCAGACAAATTTGCATAATTCTTAACGACATATCTTGGTAACTTTAAGTGAGGAAGCTTTTGAAAAGGGTAGGATAACAACCTATTCTCAGATCTACTCAAATCATGTGTAAAAGATGCAGCTGAGTATCTGAAGAATGATCAACAATTTCTAAAACAAAAACTTTCAGATTTGGTCTTCAGCAAGGTTGTGCATTATGCCAACAAGACCTAAGTGTACACAGTACCTGTAATAGCAGGACCTTATCTAAAAGGCTCTTTTGTGTGTGTTCCTCCTCCTCAGCGGACCCAAGAGTGAGCGAACCGATTTCTGGTGAGTACCAGTCTCAATGGGGACTACATATATTTCTAAATTAGGTAAGCACAGCAGAATTTGAGCTGAGCATCTTTCCATCTAGAAACATAGAAGAGGTGTCACTCTTAAACACATCAACATTTAGAATCCATTGGGGGAGGCATTGATATTTGCTTTCCTTCCTATACTTTGTCACTCAAAGTTTGTTTAATTTGCTTACATTAAATTTTATACTCTCTTGCAAAAAAGAGCCCTAAATGTGTCTATACTCCCAGGACTGCAGGAGACTGACTAGTCCAATACCTAAGATACTGCTCTGAGATTTATTTCACTAGTATTGGGGTTTGTTAAACTCTTTCAAATATTTTCAGCCCCCCCCCCCAATAAAGAAATGAGGTATCAGCAAATTGGCAATAACTCCGCAGGCTGCTTTTGCTGTAAAGCTTTTAGTTCTTCAGGGTTAAATACTAAACCCAAATCGCATTTTCCTCCTGCAGCGGGAAGAGATGCCATCTGGACCGAAAGACCCTTTAATTCAGACTCTTACTCAGAATGTAAAGGCAAACAATATGTTAAAAGAACATGGTATAAGAAATTTGTCGGCGTACAGCTATGTAATTCTCTCAGATACAAGATTTATTTAAGTGACTCCCTCACAGGTATGTTCCAATACCCTAGTCTTTCTGTGGAGTTTCAAAACTCAGAATGTTTCTTTCAGAAAAAGATGTTACAGAAATTGTTAAAACAGTCTTGGAAATGAGGACATAAAGATCTGCAGCTTGGAGATAGATAATGAAAATGCAACACACAACAGTGACAGGATGATCAACTTACATGCACAGGCAGGCAAAGCTCAGTACTGTCACAACCACCCAGGAATTAAAATCATGAAAGGGCTCATTCATGCCCCTCGCAGTATGTTCATTTGTCTTTTTCTATATTCATATGGTGAAAAGACTTTGGTCCACTCATTAATCAGGTACGATTATTCTTGGTTTGGTGGTTAACAAAGCACCAAATGCCATATTCCTGCTTTCATATAGTAACTTTCCTTCCTCTCTATAGAGACAAAATAAACAAGTAAATTAAACAGTAATCTCTCACATAGTGTTAGACAGACTAACTCAGCAGAAATGGAAGCTCCTTTAGTTGAACAGTTTTAGGGAAAGGTCTGTCTGCAAAGGTATCATGTCTGCTTAGAATAAATCAACTACGAAAAGTCTAGCAATAAAGGATCTCTGGAGAAGTGCAGGAAAGAGAGAGTGCAAGGCATACTGGTCAGTCCTACTAGTTTACACTTAAGATTTAGTAAAGGAGACATTGTATTCTGAGTAAAATAGGCCACTGCTGGAGAGACTATGGAGGGAGTAATAACGTTACTTGCATTTTTAAAAGTCACTGTAATCTGAAGAGGGGAAGGAGAACATTAGAAGGTAAGAATACAAGTAAGCACATCAGCTAGGAAACTTTGCTAGTGGCCTTTAACCTGGGAAGGAAGGGAAAAGAAAAGCAAAATTATCCTTTGAAATATTTGATTATGGGACTGCCACACACTAAAGAAAACACTGTCTCACTTCTTCAGGCAAGTTTTACAACATAGGAGATCAGAGAGGCCACGGAGAAGATCACTGCCAGTTTGTGGACTCATTCTTAGATGGCCGCACAGGACAGCAACTCGCCTCCGACCAGTTACCTACCAAAGAAGGTATGCTTTCTGACCATCCAAAGTAGAGGGTTTGGCAGATTAGCACAGAGAGCAATCAGCTGATAGGAAAGGCTACAGATCTGCTACTCTTATCTCTAGGAAAAGAAGAAATTTAATTAGATATGAAAAACAAAATCTTTTCTATGTTTGTATCACTCATATTGTCCCAATCACAGATGTCCCTCACAGCTTTAGTCATATGGAATGTACCTGATTGCTCCTTTAAAAATTGTTGTATAGAGCAATTAAAATTAATCTGGGAAGTGAATAATATACTCAGCAGTTTGCTAAATACATACTAATAGCAGGCTGTATAGTGAGGATTGAAAACTTAATCCTTGCCTAAAAGGAGCAGAAAGGCAAAAAATTGTCCATCGCTAATTATTTGAGGTTTCCAGTAACACATTTTGTCCCTGAACACAAAAATACCAAGTCTCTTAAAAGTCTCTTAAAGACACCTCTACAAGATACTTGGACATAAAAGGCCACTGAAACCACTCTTATTATAGTAAGACAAATGTCAAGACTTCAAGTCCCAAGGCCCTGGTGTTTCTGGATAAACATCAGATCCTCTATAATCACTAGTTTTCTAAATGACTTTGCTTCATTCAGAATAATCTTCAGCTACCAAACTGCCTTTTATCTATGAATGGTGAGGGCAAAGATATGAAAGCTCTATTAAACTAAACTCTTTTTCTTCTTAGGCTATTTCAGAGCTGTTCGCCAAGAACCTGTCCAATTTGGAGAAATAGGTGGTCATACCCAAATCAATTATGTCCAGTGGTATGAATGTGGGACCACAATACCTGGAAAATGGTAGATACAGGAATATTATTTCTATACTTCTGGTTCATTATCGCAAAAAAGAAAGAACTCGTTGGAAATACTATGGTATTTGTCACACCTATTCAAAGCTATTTTGTTTACTGTGTATAAAAGTTTGCAGTCTGATAGCAATACTAAGATGTTTATTATTAGGAAAGATTACTGAGAATATTTATCAGGTTTTACAAAGTCATTTTAAGAAAGCAAGATATTAACATTAATAGAATAACATTTTTAGGGAAGCTGGCTCCCTATTCATGATATTTTAAGAGATCATTTGTATATTATTTATCACACTGTTGTAATGTTTTCAGATACTATTAATGTCGGAAATCTTTAATATGCTTTATAAAAAGTACTTACTTTATTGATATGTACGTGTGTTGTTGGTGAATTAATTCCATAAATCTTTACTTGGTTTAACTTATTGGATCAAATAGTCTTCAGTATATACATGTGAGACAAAGTGTTCTAGTATTTACATTTATGTAAGCTTTTAGCATCAGAATAACAGATTTTGAGTTTAAATAGTATTCATGCTAACTTTTCCATAAGCTACCAGCAAATTACTGAAAAGAAAAATCTATTGAATAATTTTATTTCAGCTAGAAACAGCTGATATGTCAAATGGTAAATGATAAAATTGGGTTTTTTTCCCCCCTGAACCCACAATACTATGTCTAAAAATACTTTCTCAAACTCTTCCTTTAAGCAATTCTTTTAAATGGCTATGGTTCTGTTCAAGCTGTATGTAGAAACTGAGTGTGAAGTCTGCATGGGAAGATGCTATCGTTTATAGGATATATGTGCATGGGAAGATGCTATCTTTTTTAGGATATATGGATACATTAAGGCCATGAATGAATGTATTACAGGTTGTTTTTGTGACTATTTTACTCAAGCTGTAACAAAGGTGACTCATTTTCATGGAAAAAGAGAAAGCACTGCTGCTCTCCTTCATCTGGAGGAAGGAGCCAAGAATATTACTGCCTACCCTGAAAAGACATTCGTTCCCTGTGTATATATCTTTCAGTATGCTTCAGCTTCATCAATACATTTTGTATTTAAGCAATAAAAAGATGTAGGTTTCTAAAAAATGTTTCTCTTAAGTATATCTAAGTATATCTTTATTTCCATAAGGAAAATCAGGAAATTAAGAACTTCCATATATATTTTTCCTCAAATGAAAACAATTTCATAAATTTTACTTGAAAACCATATGCCAATTAGATATGACCATTTTCCTTATGTCTGAAATAAATTACAAGACTACTAATTGGATTCAATCGCCTTTATTAGCCTATCAATGTTACATTTTATACATAATATCTAGTCATCTTGTCAAAGGGCTCTATTTTTAGTATATCATGTTAATAGCAAATAGGCTGAACCTTAGCCTAGCTTTTTAATATACTCTGGGAAGTAGAAAGCCAATCATTTTATATGAAAGAGTAGTGTTCCAAAATAACTAGGAAGCTGCTACATACAGTTTTAAGCAGGGGAGAAAATGTTCATTTTGATCTTGCTGTGTATATGTATTCTAGCAAATTATACTTTAATTAACAGTAACAATGATATCATAAAAATTGCTCTTGCTTTTTAAATTTTTGAACTTCAATACAGTACAAATTGAAACAAAATAGTATTGTAGTCTTTTGGGAGGCTGTTAGCCATTATTAGTGTAGCTGAACCTCCTTATCGATAACCAGGTCCAGGTTGGGTATAGCCCTGGCCAAAAGGAGGACGGTTACGTGAATAAGGGTTAGGCCCACTGGAAGGAGGGGTCATGGTACCTGCAGGAGATGGCGTAAAACCTGGTCTTGGTTGGTAAGCACCAGGTTGACTTGGAGCCATTCCAGGCTGAGTGCCAGGGGGCACGGTATAATTAGCAGGTTGAGATGTCTGGGTAGTGTAAGTTTGTGGAGGATAAGTGCTCGCCTGGTACTGCTGTGGTGGTTGAGTAGGCAGTTGTTGTGGCTGACCGGAAAAGGCAGGAGCGGGTGCCTGGGAAGTTGGTTGTTGGCCATATCCCTGGAACTGCTGAGGTTGTTGGGGTCCAGTCTGCTGGCTGTAACTAGCTGAAAAGGCAAAATAAAGAACATATATGTATGTCTTGGTTCTTTTGGTGTTGAAAGTTTTCCAGAGAACTAGTCTTACTGGTATGGACCAAAAAATGATTAAAAATTTAATGTATTCACAAGCATTTACGTAGAAAGTCCAGCATAAAATCTCAAGGCCAAGTATTTATAAAAATTTTCCAATTTTTAAAATCTGTAGTCTAAAATTCACATCTTTTCATTACAACTGCTTTAAAACTAAACCTTTGAGCAAATTCCCATCTGCATATTCCTAGAATAGATGCTCAAATAATAAGTAAAAGAATTATGCTTTCTAAGAAGATGAAACGTAGGCACTAATCAGGTTTGGAGAAAGGTCCTATTTAACAGTACCACATGAAAACACATAGACAAGTGCTTTAGAAAGTTTAAAACACTTCATTTACATGAAGAGTATTTTTAAGTTTATTCACTATAAGTGAATAACAAGAATCATTGCTGCTGAGCACCATTTTTACATTTCTTAAAATCTTTTATAATTGGTATACTTTGCCTTCACAGTTCAAATTTTGACTTAGTATGGCATATCAAACAAACCAAAAAAAAAAAAAAAAGCACATTGCCCCACAAAATCATTATCTAGTATCTAGTCGTTATTTATTAGGATATAATTAAAAATAAAATCTGCTTCACTAAAAACTTTTATCTCTACCATGAAACACACCTGCAGCTACTTGCAATGAAACCTCTCCATTGACTGGAATCCTGTCAGCATTAAATACCAGATACATAAGACAATTATTAAAATATGTACAACCCTGCATTTAGGAAAAAAAAAAAAAAAAGGATTGAATGAATTTGAGTATATTCTGAACTCACCTTGAACCTGGGTTCAAAATTTACTTATGAAAGAAACCTTTATGACAAAGTCCATGAACAAAACTGGAAAGTCAGAGGGAAAACTGGCAAACCAAAGGTGTCAGATTGGTCAATGTCACTACCACCAGCACCACTACTAAGTCTCCAGGCAGAGAAATTAGTTGACTATTTCCATAGTTCTCAAAGTCAAGAAAATAGTTCTCAAAGTCAAGAAAATAGGAAATTTGAAAAGCACTAAATTTTACTCAGTGAAGAAAGACCCTGACTAAAATTTCTAAGAGAAAGTGTAGATACCAACTATTCATGGTAGCACCTGAATACTGAACTAAAATAATTTATGCTAAGATCTTAAATGTCATGTAATTTCTCCTTTCTTCTATGCAAAGCTTAAAATTGTGTGTGCGTGTATACACCCTTCCACCCAAGCCAGAAGAGGGGCATAGGACTTGCTGGAATTTCTGGTGGTTGTAAGATGCTCTCAACCTCGAGCTCGAGCCAATCACCAGCCCCTACAAAAACTATGAAGAGAAACTTTTTACTCTAAGTTTTTGTGGAACACCTTTACATTGAAAATAACTATCTTACTTGAAGGAGGAACAATAAAAACAAACGTCTTTTCACTTTGCAACTGGAATCTAGACTTCTTTAAATTTAATCAGGAAGTACCTGGAGTCTTAATTACTGCTCAGGCGAGGAAACAGCAGTAAGTGCTAACAGTGCCATTTCAGTCTACTGGACTATCAATCACAATGTAGCAATCTCCCTCCACTTCATCTACTTGTCTTCATTGTTGCACCCTAAAAGCTTCCAAAATGAATTTTATGTAAAGACATCACAAATTGCAAGAATTAGGTATTTTTTTAAATCAATAGATAGCTACAACTAAGCCTAAAATATTGACCATTCTGCTCTAAATTGGAGAATATAAAATGGTGTTAAGAGAACAAGGTTGGGTTCCAGCTCCAGCACTGAATTATCTGCATGTCTTGGGTGAGAAGGACAAGACAGTGACCTCCAAGCAAACCGAAGTCAAAAGGGATAGGGCCTGGGTTAAGAAGCTGCTCAGGAGGTCCTGAAGTACAATGAGGGTTGAGAGTATCTCCTAGGTCAGATGACAACTCTCTCTGGAAGCCTATTGTTTCTATACATTATATAATTTGTACCATACACACTTTTTAAAACACTAAAAAAAAAAAAAAAATCCTTTAAATTCATTCCATCTATAATTTAATACTAGATCTAGCAACTATAATGTAAAAAGTCACTCTACAGCAAATACAATCCAAACAAAATTACTGTATGTGTAAAAATACACCAAATTTAATTGCTGACAAAATTTTGTAGTCTAGGTTAGCAATCAGCAACTGTCTGCACCAATTAGAGATGAAGGCTCAGCCTCTTTTCCTATAAAAGGGCCAGATAATAAATACTTTAGGCTTTGTGGGCTGCATTGCTTCTCTTACTGCTGTAACAACTCACTCTATGGTCAGTAGAGTGCCAAAGTACATCAGCAAAGGCAAAAAGGACCAGTAGAAAAAAAGGAGGATGGAGTGTCCTAATAAAAGCTTCCTTGACAAAATCAGGCAGTAGCAGATTTACACCATAGCTATATCTGCTATATCTCTATCTACAGTTACATATCTATACTTGTCAATAACACAAAACCTTGAAAATAGAATTTTATAATTTATAGAAGCTATTTTAATCTTTCATTACATAAAAAAGTGGATATAAAAAAGTACCTGAATTATAACAAAAGCTACACCAAAGAAATTTATCGTATCATATCTTCAGCGAACAAATTGTAAAATTAAAACGAAACACTCAAGTCTATGGGAATGTGACCCAGCTAAAAATAATGTCTTCAGATGATTTGGACATGCCATGTATTTGAAACCTCTGGGTCAGATAGCAACTGCCGTCACCTCATCTGACGGCATGGTTCAAACATCTAAATACTTTTACTTCCTTGAATTCCACTGTTTTATATACTAGTATATTTTCACAAACTAAAATTCTAAGTAATTTAATTTAGTTTTTATTAAGTTCACCTCTGCATATGTGAGGAAATTGTTGACATATCTATAAATACTAATAATACCCTAGAGTTATGAGTAGTACAGGTAAAGAAAATCTTAACTTCAAATTGAGGGAAAAAATTATCAAGAGTTTTAGATTGTTAATGTTAGAAAAACATTTTTATACTACATAATCATCTCTCTAATTACATAACTGCTCATTGAAAAAATGAAATGCTGACTTGATAAAACATGACAATTTAAATGTAAGTAAGTACTGCTTCCCCAATAAGGTATTATGACAATGTACTTAGGAGGAAGAACATAAAATTTAATGACTATAGAAACAGATCAAAACCTGCAAATTAACTCCCTTTTAACACCTGCTCACCTGAATACTGAATACCATACTGCTGAGGAGGAGCCTGAGGCTGCTGTGCCCCGTAGCCAGCCTGCTGCTGGTATTGTTGGTACATCTGACCTATAAAAGAAAACACAGACAGAAAGGGAAGGTTTAACTTGGCAGAAAAATATTTTTAGAACACCTTTATATTACCCCCCAATGTAATACATAAGCATGTTGAATAATATTTTAAATGTCTATGAAGACAAGAATAAATAAGGGTGACTGTTCTGCTATAAATAAGCTGCTAAAAATGTCAGCAGGAAGCAATTATGTATATGATGTTACTCTAGTAGTTACCACTTCATAAACTCCAGAAAACACATTTTTAAAACTATATGCCACCAGGTAAGTATTCAGAGAAAGAGGATAAGTACACTGCCATATCTTTGTATGTTAGCAATACCTCTCTGATAATTCACAGCACTTTTCTCACTAAAGTCATTTCATTTTCAGCATCTATCAAATTACAGAGGAAGAAGGGCACTGACTTTGGAATAACAATATCCTTTTATTTTCTTTAATCATTTTCAACTTGGTCATTCACTGTGTAACACACTATACTACATCACTTAGTGATGTTGGAGCCACCTTTGTTTATATAAACATGCTCTATGGCAGTGTTTCTCAACCTATGGGTTGTGACCCCCAAAGATCATAGGGAAACATGGATATTTACAATACATAACAGTAGCAAAATTAGTTATGAAGTAGCAACAAAAAAATAATATCACTGGGGGTCACTACACCATGAGGAACTATACTAAAGGGTAGCAGCATTAGGAAGGTTGAGAACCACTGCTCTATGGTGTTTACACAAGGCCAAAGTTATCTAACGGCCCATTTCTCGGACAGTTCTCCATCATTAACTGACATAGAACTATGTTTTTTTAAGGCAAGAGTCTCACTAAGTAGCCCTGGCTGGCCTGAAACTAATTATATAGGCCAGAGCAGGTTCAACTCAAAGACTGGTTTGCCTCTACATTTTCACTTTTCAACTTAAACCTAGAACCTCACATAAGCAAGGTATATGTTTGGCCACTGAACTATACTTAAGCTTGAGCCTTCCAACTGAAGAAGATATTAAAATTACAATCAATAGTAAAAAAAGCCTTTTGGAGAATATATGGTATTTACAGTATTCAATTAATAATCCGTAATTCTTAAATTTTATTTCATATCAACTTCATAAGAGATCATGTTAACCAATTAAGTCATACTTTCTGTTGATAATTCTGCTCAAAATATAATTGGAAGTTGATCTAAATAATTGGCAATGTCTAAAATGCATACATTATATATCAAAAAGTATTCACTAAAGCAGCTCACTTATTTTTAGCTATACATTATATCCAACACAACAGCCTGTCACAAGATGTGGCACCTACACTACTGAAACCGTAGCCAGTCTGAAATGGGACACACTATATGCTATTTAAAATGCTCCATACCTCTGTCACTTCTAATATACCAAAAACTACTAACATCTTCCTAAATCGATGCTTTCATAGTGATTTAGTAGACTAACTTGGTTAAATAAAATATATTTAAAATTGGTGGTACCTTTAAGAAAATGTTCTAAGGCATCTAATAACAAACTTTAAATTATATATGACTTCTAGTATAATTTATATAACTCTGATCTAGGACTAGTTTAGTTATTAATTTTTTTCCCTTATGACTATACTACATCCTTAAATGTAAGATAAGCAGTAGCTATAGCAAGCCATAGAATTAGTACCATATCAGTGGTATTAACCTGATGCTTCTGGAGGAGGGTATGTGGTTGCTAGCGAACACAGGTGGAAGGTCATTTTCATTATAATATTGCTATTCTTAAAACTTTACTGATTTGAACTTTTGGCAATAAAAAAAATCCTCAAAAGACAATGTGAAATTGTGCTGAGCGGGTATTACATCTCACTCCTGCTCACTGACCTTACTTTGTACGATTCCTCTCAGTAATAACCTACAGCAGTGCTTCAGCAGCTTTTAGTTCACTTAACACAGCTGTTACAGTCTGTCTATCCACACTCTGCGTCCTGCTCTACCTCCCACTTGAACCCTTACTAGACTTTAGGTCTAGTTCTGACTGTTGTATTTTGGATGCAGAATAGGACTAACTAAAGGTGGGGGAGAAAAGCCTTAACATAAGAATTAAACCACTGATTAAACCACTCTTCAGCAAGATCCCTCCTGTTAGTCCCCAGGGACTCATATTGATTCAGGGACAAGCATGAAAAATGCCATAGGACAAAAGGATTCTAGTCACAGCTCACCTTAGGCTATATAATGTAAATGGTAACTTCAATCACTTGCTTTAGGTATGAAGAACTTATAATGTAAATGGTAACTTCAATCACTTGCTTTAGGTATGAAAAACTTATTATTATTACACATCATTATCACCAACTGACCCTTTGGTAAAAAATTTTAAAGCTCTACCTGGTGTTTACTGCTTTAAAGTAAAATGTGTACTGAGGACACTAAATTTGTAGAGAAAAATATCGAGTTAAAATGCACTGTTAACCAAATAAGCAATCTACTAAAATCATGCACCATTGTGTCTATTTAAAACCTTTTTAAGTGACAGAAAATGTACAGTTTTTGGAGGGGAGAATATAAAGTCATTTCCCCCAATCTTGTGTTTATATTAACATTTTTCATCCCTTTTTTTCTAATTTTCAATAATCAGAAACATACCCCATATATTATTTGGTTCCATGACAATAAATAAAACTATTTTACGTTAAATGTGTTGCCATTACCAATAATGCTTCCATAAATATCGCACACGTGCCTTCGACACATGGGCTCTGAGTGCTATCTCACCTTCAATCTGACCTGCTTGTGTCTGAGCTGCTGTATACGGAGGCTGCTGTGGCTGACCCGCTGGTGGGTGTGCTGCTGAGGAGGAAGAAGCAATACTGTCAGGAGTCCCTGAGCGGTCTTCTGCAGGAGCACTGGGAGGCCCTGGATGGTCATGAAAAGTCAGTTAATTACCCTGTTCACCCTTTCCCTAACATGCACAATTAGAAGTACAGGCAATAAAATAAATCACTATGCAGTAACCACATCACCAAGGATACACCAGGCTTCTGTGCTCTGTATTTTCACATCTCCAGTCTTTAGGATCCAAAGTAAAAATTGGAAGTCATTTCCTGCAATGTGTGAAAAGCTAAATTCCTGAGTTCTAACCTTCCATGTCAAAATTAAAACTCCTATCTACAGTCTACCAAAACCAGTGCTGCTTTCGTAAGCAGGCCTCTACTGCCAGCACATTCAATTTCATCATCCTGGTTGATATTCAGGGATCCAAACATTTCTCACTTGTCTTCTCACATGTTCCCCTTTCAGTTAAAATGCCCCACTCCATAGTCTCATAGGATATCTACTCATTTCTGGCCTCTACCATTCTTCCACTCTCTATGATGAATTACAACAGTCACATACTTACACGACATTCTTTAAACCTAGTTACAATTCTAGTAAGCCTTTTGACTTAAACTTTATTCCCAAGTGAATTTCTCTATGGCTTACTTTTATTACGAGCTACACTGAGCTCTACTTTGTATATCTACACAGGCCCAGGTCTCCTTAAGACGTAAAGAACTTTGGTCATGCTCTGGTTCTTTTCTGCTTCCATAATGCCTAGGACTCTACTGATACCTGCGGTCAATCAAACTCTGCCAGGATAAGTAAGGAATGCCAGGATAAGGAACACAGGAGTACAGAAAATCAAATCTAGATTCTCTGTACAGCTCTACTATGTGACAGTAAGTATAATATTTGAAGATAACTACAGAAGGTTTACTCCTTTAAGTTACTTTAGTAATACAGAGGAGTGGTGTAAAGAGATTTTGGAGTTCAGTTTAGTTAGGCGGCACACTGACAGAGCTAACAGTGACTGCTGACTTCGGGTAGGTTACTGAATCTCTCTAATTATGTAAGAAGCACACGAGTTCTGACTTCAAGGTTACTCGAGAAGGATTTTGAATTAAAGAGATCTTACAGCTTAATCTTCTAAAAGCAATTACCACTCTAAAGCTTGACTTAAATACTTGTTCACAGGCTTTCTCTGAAAGCAGTCTCTAACTTCTCTAGTGCTGTCCTCAGAATTTATCATGTTCAAATCTAAAATATCACCAAGGACCAAGTACTAGTAAGGCTAATGAACGTTTGAGAAGCATCTGAAACAAAAGTGCTTGGAACTCATAATTGGATTATCTCACTGATGGTGGGGTAGGCTACTAGAAGGTAAAAAGGAGTGGATTCTTGAGAGCAAGTACTTTAAGAATCCATCTTGTCTCTAAGCCCCTTTTACTTGTTCATTTGCTTCCTGACCACCACAAAATAAACAGCCTTCTCTTATACACACTCAGCCCCTATGGTGCTTTGCCTTGTTTCAGGGCTAAGCCAATGAAGCCAATGGACCATGAACTGAGATTTCTGGGACAACAAACCAAAAATGCATTCCTTTCCCCCTAAGCCAGTGGTTTTCAACCTTCCTAATACCACAGCCCTTTACAGTTCCTCATGTTGTGGTGACACCTGTGATAAAATTATTTCATTGCTACTTCATAAATGTAATTTTGCTGTTATGAATTACAATGTAAATACATATTCAGGGCATCTGATACGCAATCCCCAAAGGGGTCATAACCCACAGATTGAGAACCACTGCCAACCTATTTTCTCAGGCATTTTGTCACTGCAAGACAAAGCTGATAGACTACCATTTTAGGTATATGGTTTGCCCCTTTAATAGTCATGTACTAATGAGACTCTACACTGGGTTATACTAATGGGAAAGCTGACAGCCCAGTTAAAATGTAAGGCTGACTGGTTTACCACCACTTTACTTGTGTACACACACATGCACTTTCCCTAGAAGGTACTATACTATTAATCCTAAAAATACTCAGTGCTTGGCTCTTCTTTTATGTCTTGTATGAATCTTAAGACGGTTGCTCATACTGTTTTTCTAATACTTCATTTATTATCACTTCTACATTACTGTGGTAGCTATTTCTTCCCCTAACCATATCACGTATGAGAATTTAGAAAGTTCTCTGGTTGCTGTCAATATGAAGACAACTAAGTGTATGACCAACTAAGTGCACAAATCCACATGAAAACGGTCTTCATATAATAAAGATCACAATCAAAATACTCTGGTCTGACATATGACATTCAATTACAGTTTCAAGGCTGGCTTTCATACAGCATTTCCACCCATTTGAAGTGGCTGAAAAAGTAGTTCATACTCTTTTTCAGATGCACCACTTGGTTATCTTTTGTTAACAAGTAATATATTCAACTGCCGCCTCAAAATCTAACACCATTCTCTTCAGTGAATGATCCCACAAAAGTTTCCAAGAAAATTAAAATGAAGAGACCAAATAAATTCTCTATGTCCAACTGCTGAAAATGGCAAAGTAAATGGTTCCAGTTAACCCTTCCCCAGGTAGCAAAAAACTTGAACAAAGCAGAAGAAAACAATTATTTAAAATAACTACTGTCAATCAAATGTCACAGAAACCAGAAAAGAGTTTACCCAGGAGAAACACAGTGAATTAAGAATTTCAAGACTTGATCTCTGTAGCTTCAATGGCAGAAAACCATCATGTTAACAACTTCACGGTTGGGCAAGGAGCTGGAAATGAAGGTGAAACTCCCTGTCATTGAAGGGCTAATTACTTGGACTAAAATAATTATAAACTATGCCCAAATCTTTAGCCACTCATCTGTTTTGGGAATGGGGTAACTCTAAGTGGGCTCAGAAAGAAAAAAAAGGAAAGAAAGCAGAATCCACTGCTGAAAACCAGAGATCAAGCTACTGTCCCCCAGTAGTTTAAGTCTGGAAGGGCAACAGCAATGCTATTAGAAAAAAAAAAAAAAACAATAAAAACATCAAAAACAAAAGTCAAAAAGATACACTAATGAAAACGCCCACTTTATAATGAAAAACTGCATGACAGAAACAAGAAAATCTGACACATATTATAAAACAGGAAAGCAGCCAATAAAAAACATGAAGGGTTCAGCAATGAATGTGTAATAAGGATCCCCAAAGAAAAACAGGAATAATAATGAAATGATAACCAAAAACTAAGAGGAAAGAGTAAATCACAATAATCACAATACACGTTACTACTTTAAAGCTGAAAATCTGAATAAAATATATTAACCAGAAATCTGTTTAATATCCTAAGATCAGAAGATATAGCAAAACCTATCAAATACAATTTCCATCCTACAAAATATTTGGAAGATTTTGTAGATTCTGAAAATATTGCTTTTAACGAAATTTAGCTGAAACAAACTGTAGTTATTCTTTAAGGTGGAAAGAGAGTGCTATGGACTGGAAAGGCCAAAATAAATCTCTTTGGGAGTGCTGAAATCATGCATTTTCTTGTTTTATAAGAACTTACATATGTAAAAAGGTAACTGCCTAAACCCTTAAGATGTAGTATTTTACCATATTCAGGAAAGAAGAGAAGAGAAAGGAATTGACCTACCTGAAACCTGGTCATCTGTTAATCCAAATGCTGACATGACATTTTTGTTGATTTCATCTTGGTTTTTCAGAGGATCAAAAGCTGACATACTTGCTGCCATAACCTGAGTAGACTGTTTTCCAGAAGAATCGGAAGCAGCAGGCTTCTCCTCCCTGCCATCCACAGTATCTGTAACAATAAAGGAGTAAACAAGTTTATATCATCTATACTCAAAAAGGCATAAAAAATATAAGACAAGAAAATATTCATGTGTATAAATATTTTCAGGACTCTTCGAGTAAGAATTTGTGAATATAGAACTATAGGCTGCTTTACTTTCTTTAAGTCTGTTTATGCTTCAGGAAAAATGGGTAAAAGGGAATACAAGATAAGGAGCAGTTTTTCAAAAAGAATTATTGTTTCTTATCACTCCCATTTTTAGATTTACTAGATTAAGCTGAGCACAGCGAATGGTGCCTGCCTGTAACACTGACACTCAGGAGGCTAAGACAGGAGGATCAAGAGTTCTAGGCCAGCCTAAGCTACATAGCAAGTCTGTCTCAAAAGCAAAAAAGAACTGAGAAAAGGAGAAAGTAAATTGTTGTTATTATTTTAAAGTTCCTTGACAAACACAATCATTTTACATTTTACTTTTTTTGGAGTCTGAGCAGGCTAGTTTTTATGTCAACTTGACAAACAAGCTATAGACATCTGAGAAGGAACCTCAGTTGAGAAATTGCCTCCCTAAGACTGGTCTGCACACAAGACCAAGAGGCATTTTCTTTAATTAATGATTAGTGTGGGAGGGTCCAGCCTATTGTGGATGAGGCCACCCCTGGGCTGATGGTCCTGGGTTCTATAAAATAGTAGGTTGAACAAGCCATAAGCAGTAAGTCAGTAAGCAGCCCTCCTCCATGACCTGCTTCCAGCTCCTGCTTCCCTATTCCTGCCTCAGTTCCCATCAGTGGACTATGATTCAGGATATGTAAGCCAAATAAACCTTTTCCTCCTCAAGCTGCTTTTGGTTATGGTGTTTCATCACAGCAATAACACTAACTTGTGTGTGTGTGGGTGGGTGGGTGTTCACACGAGTGCACGTTTAGGCCAGAAGACAATCTCCAGAGAGCTGTTTAGTTTGCTTTTTCATATAGGGTCTTTCAATGACCTCGAATTCCCCAAGTAGATTATAGCCCAAGAACATTCCACACTAATTTTGCAACTGAATCCCCTCCATGCTACAACTGCCTCTACTAATCTAGACCTCTAAAATAAACCAAGCCCACCATGAAACACTATATAACAGAGTTCTATTCCTTAGAGAAGAATATGGGCCACTTGGGCAACTGCTGCATGGTAATAGCTATGCTGGTTGAATTTTGGTCTGTCCTTCAAAATCTTTGACATGGTTATGTAAATGCTGTTCTCCCACAGCTCTATGATTCAATCCAAGAAGCAGTATGCTACTTCACAGTAATCCTGACAAACAGCTGTTGTCGGATGCTAATACATACAGAAGCAGGAACAAGAATAAAGAAAGATGTGAAGGATGTCATCCTACTCCTACCAAATAATCATCACACTCACACCCCTCTCTCTCCCCACAAACATGGCAGGAGGACTCATCAGAATGGAATATAACAAGCTCAGTTTACCGTTCTCGGGAATACTGGTAGAAGACCCTGGTTCTCCAGGTGGCTCCAAGCAATCCAATAAACGATTCACTTTATTCCGAAGTTCTATCAGTTCTCGACGAAGATATTTCACCTGACTTGATTCAAGGGGTCTTGGTTGGCCATTAACTAAAATGGAATCATTAGTTTGTTTAGATTTAGGAAATAAAATTAGAATAATTATGCCATTAAAATAACACACACTAAAGAAAAGTAAGCAGAAGAAATAAGATGTCACTTTACTTTTCATTTTAGTTTATTTGTGTATGTGCAGTATGAAAGCTGGTTGAGTGCTCCCATGGAGGCCAGAGGTTGATGCTGGCTGTTTTCCTTTATGGCTTTTAACCTTACTAGTGGAGACAGGTTTGTCACTAAACTAGCTGGCTAGACTGGCTGCCCAGCAAGACCCAGGGATCTGCCTATCTCTTTCTAGCCTAGTGATTCATTGAGGGTTTGTGGACTAGAACTCAGAACTCAGGGTTGTACAGCAAGAACCTTACCCACTGAGCCATCTCTCTAGCCCCTAAAAGTACTTTTAGAATGTTAAAATTTTAAAGTATTAAAATATATACCTTTAAAAAGCAACAAAAAACAAGACATGCAGTTGATGTCATTTAAATATCAGACCCCACCCCTTTTGTTTTTGAGACAGTGTCTTACTATGAAGTCATAGCTAACCTAGAACTTTGTTATGTTGACCAGACTCTCCTCATACTCAGATCTGTCTGCCTCTGCCTCTCAGGTACTGGGATAAAAACCCTGTATCATCACACCAGGCCTTTGGGTAACTTTTTTTTCTTTTTTCTTTTCTTTTTTTTTTTTGTAGGAAAAGACAATAAGTACTTTCTAGAAGCAGAAACACCATCAGTCTTAATATTGCACAAATGTTTACTATAAGAACTATAATTAAATATACTGATACTGCAGGAAGCTCTAGTTTCATGAAAATTACCAAACTGAAGTTTTTTAAACAGAAATTATTTAACTTCCAAATTATATTTTGTACCATATAATATTCATGAATTAATACAAAAACATATTACTCTATAGATGAAGTATTGAGACAAAAAATGAGTAACAAATGTTTTCCAGCCTGCCTATATTTGACTTAACACAAACAGGCCAGGTCTTTGATCACAGCACTCAGGAGGCAGAGACAGGGGGATCTCTGTGAGTTCAAGTGCAAAGTGAGTTCCAGGACAGCCAGGGCTGTTTCACAGAGAAACCCTGTCTCAAAAACAGTTGTTCCCAAAGTAATCTATCAAGCCAGGGGTGGTGATGCATTTGTTTAATGCCAGCACTCAGAGGTAGAGACAGGTGGAATCTCAGAGTTCAAGACCATCATGGTTTACAAAGGAATCTCAAACCAGGCAGGCCTACATATTGAGACCTTGTCTCAATAACAAAAGCAATCCATTAACAAGTTGTGCGGAGCTTGTAACTCAACACTGTCCTTCAAATTCACTGCTTCTACAGGTACTAGGTAAAGCCAGTAGATTACTTATTACCAGGGATTTTTTTTTTTAAAGAAGGCAACATTATCTCATTTAATTACCCATTCTCTCAAAATTGTCACAACTTGGAAAACACAAATGAAATTGTATTGATTCCTCATTTCTACATGTTCAAGATCCAGCCTCTTACCAGATATTTCAATTTTGTCTACAACCAAATTTGATCCTATCTGAACTATCAGTTTCTGAGAAAATAAGAGTTCTCCCATGACTATGATATCTGTAGCCTGGTATCCCTGTGGCTCATGGGTGATCCATCCTCTTGCCACAAACTCCTAAATCGTAGGGTTATATGACTGTTAATCAAGTTCTATATAGTATATTCTTTTAAGAACTGACTTTGTGTTTTGTCTAGTTTGCATAAGCACGGGTGCGCATTGTACACACTCGCACACATATATACACACTTTTTAACTTTCAAACGTCATATAATCTTTTAATATACCTTTTAAGACAGACATTTAATCAGATTTTTAATTTTTTTTTTTTTAATTTCAGCTCCAATAAGAAACTGCTTTTGTGTATGCGTGCATGGAGACCAGAAGTTGACTATGCTGTCTTTAACCACTTGCTCTTAAACTTTATTTTTGGAACAGGGTCTCTTACTGAAATTGGGGTTCACCCTTTGGGCTAGACTTGCTGGCTACAGAGTCCCTGAGATCTGCCTCTCTCTACCCACTTAGTGCTATGGTTACAGGAATATACCATTACCTCTGGCTTTTATGTGGGTGCTGGGGATCCAAATTGGGGTCTTCGTGTTTATATGGAACACACTTTAACCACTGAGCCATCTCTGCAGACCTTGACACTGCTTCTAACAGGTGTATATATGTCAATTTATACGTGTTTTGTATTATTTACTTCTCTGTACCCCTCTTTCTCCTATTCACCTTCTAAGCATGCCAAATAGGTACATCTTATTTCCTTTTGTCCCATCTAAGCATTTCCAAACTTTCAACAGTCATTCTTAAAATTTATACACACTTAAGTAAAAAATTCTAAACAACAAATTTCTTTCCAAACCAGCCCTTAAATTTTTTATTCTCATCCTAGTTACTTTATATACAATTACTACTCATTATTTCTCTCCCACTTATTTTTCTATTCCTGATCTATTTTTTAAGAACAATGTTGATTTCAAATACAAGATTATGTGCATGTATCACCCTCTTGCTGAAGACCAACATTAAAGATTCTAACAATGATTCACTGATTATGTAATCTCTTCAAAAAATGTTTTCACTTCTACTTTTTACTGGAGTTCAATAGACTCTTAAGATTTTTCTTTTAATCATATGAACCATTATGTGATTTCTATCTACCAGCTTTTATTACTAAATAAAAAGTATATACAAACTGTCTAATTGCTTCACCAATGATCAAATCTTATCTGTTCTGGCCACCTTTATTAAGATAATGACTTTGTCTTATGTACTTTCCAGTTTTATAATACATCTAGTTAGGATTTTTATTTTTTCTTCTTCAAGACTTTTCTTGTCTTCTGAATCTAAAGCTTCATTTATTTTATATAATCCTGAAAATTTCTTTAGCTATGTTTCAATATATTTACACTTCATTTTACCCTTAAAATTCTTAATATAAAGTATGTCACTCACCAAATAATGTCAGTTTCAGTATTCTACTACACTGAATTGCAAAGGAAAGGTCAGAACTATCAAAAATTGTTATAAGATCTCCATCTGAAATTCAAAAAAAAAAAAAAAAGAAATTAGATTTGCAACAATAGTAAACTAGGTCATACAAAACTAGGTCATTTAAAAACAAAACTATAAAGTACAGAGCACATCAGAATCACCATAAGAATCAAGTACCATCTAGCAAAGGATTTTTTAAAACTAATAAATCAACTTTGCTTACTAATCCTATAACTATTTATCATATACTCATGAGAAATGTAGCCAAGGTTAAGCAGATTGTGGTAGTGCATACCTTTAACCCCAGCACTAGGAACTAGGAAGGCAAAGGCAGGTAAAAATCTTTTAGTTGAAGATAGCTTGGTCTACAGAGAAAAATACTGTCTGGAAAATGAATCATACACCTTAACTTTCAGCCTTAAGAGATATAACAATAACACAAATTACTAGGTTAGACTGAAAACCCTTTCCAAAAAACCTTACTTTAATAAAATGCACTACCACCAATCAAGGCAGAGTTATAATAACACAGAGCTGTACAAAGGGTTTCCAGGACCACTTCAGCATACCAGAGTGAAATCTTATATAAAAAATAACACCTGCTGACCATGAGCTCCCCTGGGATCCTAACAATAAAAACACTGTATCAAGTGAATGTTTCCAAAGCACTCTGAGGGGTGGTGCTGGGGGAGGGGGGAGAGCCACAAGATTATGACAAGACTGTCTTCAAAAAACTGGGTAATTTTGTTCTGGGGCACTCTACTAAACCACTTTTAGAACTTGTTAGACATACTTATTCTGGTCAAATATGTCAGAAACCAGGAATAAACTAGGTCATTTGTAACAGATTTTAGATCTTTATAAGCAGGCCCATATACAGATACATACACTGTTCAATTCTCAGGGACTCTGTGCATAAACACGTATTAAGGAAAATGACATACAGATGCAATAAGCAAGAAACTTTCAGCGCTCAGTCTTAGTCATTTTCCTCTTGAACCCCGTAACAGAAATACAATGAGTATCTTTGTCAGACACTCCCTTCTAATAATAAATTAGATTTTTAATGAACAAAGGAATTGTATAAACTATACAAACAGTAAATAAAAGTGGCCATGCAAAGTTGGGGGGACAGGGAGATAGTCCATTTAAAAAAATGGGCAAAAGAATACCTATAATACTTAGACCTTAAAAATCTACCCTTAAAAATGTTCTTACCTTCATCCTTATACTTTATTGTAACTTCATCATTACTCAGAAGCTTTCCTCTGAACACGCGCTGCATCATTAGTACTAACTCATCGTAAGTAATATCTTCATTATGAATGGGAATTCGGCGGATGTCTTCCCCAAGTTGAGCTTTGATAATAAGCTTCCCACTTAGGTCCAACTGTCCATTCATGGTGGACTCCAGGATGGTGGCTCTATATATACAACTCTAGGAAAAAAACTGATAAAATAGTTTTGATGATTAGACAATCAAACAAGTTGAAAGTAGAAAGCAATAGAAGTTAACCTTCAAGAAAGTACCTAACGGCTGGGGGGGGGGGTGGTACAGGTGGGAGGGCCAGCTGGATAACCAGGGCTGTTACACAGAGAAACCCTGTTTCTGGGTGGGGAGGGGTGGAAGAGTGAACCCGGTATTAAGTGCCTGTCTTCTTAACATATATTCTAAATGGTCTGGGAGCATTTTATTACTAATGTAATTTCTATTATTGTGTACAGTATTATTTTACTTATATACTCAACTACTTAACTAACAATACCATCTAAAAATAAATTCCTGATTTTCTACCCCAAAGTTGCCTCTCCTAAGTTTTCGCGTATGTTAAAAGCAACTCTTTTCTTCTAGTAACACAAGACAAAAAAGGCCTTGCTGCTTCCTTCTTTCACACCTAACATCTAAAGTGGCAGCAAACCCGATTGCTACCACCTTCTACATGTTTTGGGAATCCAACTAATTCAGTATTCACTTTCATCAACTTCATCCAAGTCAACATTTTTGACTGATTTATTTTAAAATGCCTCAAATGGTCTGCTTATTTACCTCCATTCATATTCATCACATTCACTGTATTTTCAACAAATCAGAAGTTTGTTCTTATAAAACCTAATCCCCATTTCCTACTTCTTTCCTTACTCACATCTGCTACACCAATGTCCAAGATTCCCCTCCCAACTCCAGGGTGAGTTTACTACCTTTGCCTTGACCTCTTTCATACCCCTCACCAGACTGCTAATTAACAATTCGCAATTTAACAATGTAATTTAAAATGCCTCATCACTATCTTCTCACCTGCTTTTTCAAGCAACTACACACTATGAGACATTATTTTTTTTACTGTCCTCTTCATTATACAGAAGTTCCTAGAGTATAGAAGAGACCTTGTACACACCAGTTGTTCAAACATTCAATGGCTACGAAATTGTCAACTTGTAACTCTAATGTTAACCTGGGAGTGGAAATCAGAACCTCCTATTTTTCCTAAATAAGATGTCAAGAGTACTTTTTCTAATTTTCTATTTTAGAAACTCAAAGAGACAGGACAAATGAGTAATATTCTCCTGAGCTTTCTAACAAAACTATCCACAATCAAGCTACACAACTGCAATAACCTACCAACCCACATAACCTCCAACCAGTGGTGTATAGAATTAGACAGTAGTCCTTCTGTATTTTTTTTAAGACTTATTTTTAATTGTGTACAGGTGCCCCAGAAGGCCAGAGTGTTGGATCACCAGGAGCTGAAACTGAGCTCAGGTCCTCTGCAATAGTGCATGCTCCTAACAGTTGAGCCATCCCCCAGCCATGCATTCTTTACTTTAAAAAGAAAGAACTAAGTGTAGATCAGGAGCTCAAGGCCACCTCAACTACAAAGCAAGTTCAAGATCAGTCCAGGCTACTGGTGATTCTCTCAGAAGAAAAAGTGATAAGGATAGCATGGTAAAGTGCTTGCTTAGCATGCATAAGGCTCTGGGTTCAATAAATACTTAGTATCACATAAAATAAAAAAACTCTTAAAAAGTAGCTACTTAATACTACTTTGCTACAGTATTTCCCTTCTTGGGTTTTTTTCCTTTTACTACTTTATTTCAGGTTATTCAGTATGTCTTTATAATCTTAAATTCTAAACAGTAAGATCTTTACCAATTCAAATTACTACTGTAAAGTGCATATTTAGGATCAAATAATGGGTTAATACCTTCTTCTGAGGGTCAGGTAATTCTTGAACACGCTTATCTACCGGCACAGAACGTTCCTCCCATCAACACTTTCGTCTGTCCGGAGTAAATGACCACTGAGTACCATTTAAGCTGTCCTAAACCTCCTGCTGGTTATTTTGCTTTCAATCTTGAACTTTCAGTGCTGGCAGCTTTCTGTTTCCTTCTCTAAAACGTACTGAATCTCCATCATCATACTCCTCTTGCAATCATTCTGCCATGCTCCTTAAATGTGGAAAAGCCCTCACCTACCAAATCACCAAACTATTCAACTTGGGAAGCTTTTAATCAATCCTACCTTGTGTCATGATTATTAACTATAAATCTCCTAATTCTCCTCACATAAATGCTTCAGTTTTCCCTCAAACTGTCCCTTAGATGAATATACCCCTTCACCATCCTGTGAATCACATTTTCACTAGTAACTCTTTAATGAATGGGGCAGTAAACCAAACAAAACACTACAAAGTCAAGGTAGAACAAAGTGAACTATGTTCCATAGTTTGGATGCCAGGCTTATCTTAATTCAAAGAGCACACGGTTTTTATCAGTCTCACAGTGAACTTCTCATAAGGACTGTGATGACCTGAAACCTCTATGGAACCAACTCGTCATTTGATCAAGTTTATCCTCTGCCTTTAAGAAAAGTTACAGAACACCCACGATAGCCCAGATTCTAAAGTCTAGTAAATTTAACAGGATGGTAAATACCCCATGCTTTAGCTGACAGCTCTACAGAAAAGATATCTTTCAATAAACCTGTATGTACTGCCTTCTGTGTCTATAGGCCATACAAACCAGCAATGAGGACCAGTGCTTAGTTTTTTAAAATACTATTATATATTCCCTGAAGCACCTAACACGGGTACCTGACATACAAAATCTACTTGAGAAGCTTTGAGTCCTGCACAAAAGGGCTAATGAACAAAAGCACTTGAAGAAAGATAGAACATAAGACAATTCCAGATGGTTTGGCCACCTTCTTTATGTGGCTAAGGGGGGGGGGGCACCTCATATCAAGACATACTCCTAGGTAAGCCCAAATTCCAGCACAAATACACTTGGAAATAGGCCCTCTGATGAGAGCGGGAAGCACTGAACGCCAATGAACCTAAAAACTAACATTACATATCCTTAACACCTGCTGTGCTGAGTGGCCCCAACTCACTTCTGGTGTTTCCTATTAACTGTAAATTCCCTGCAGCCTCTGCAAAAAGCTGTGCCCCCCCCCACTGGTGCAGTGATCTCAGGTAAATATACAAGCTTCACAGTTATTTCCTGTCCCAGAAGAAAACCTTATCCACACAGGTGTCAAGTCCAATCCAGCTTTTCTTCAACTAGGCAGACACTAACATGAATTAGTTCCTAGAACTGCCAGTGAGATCCCTATGACACTTTTTTGGACCTATCTTGTTGCTGTCTTACAATTTCTGACGTCCAGAGTGACTCAACCACTAACGTGCCCTCCATCCAGTAAATTTTCTGATGACTGGGATAAATTGATGTGCCCGAGGACATAAAGCCTGCCCCCCCAACACTAGGAAGTATGTTCAACAGTCAAACCTCAGACTCCTCTTGCTAAATAACCCTGAGGGTAAGGCCCTCATAAAATTCAGACACTTGTATCACACACATACACTCCGAACAGTTTCCTTAAAATTAAAGAGAAACGTGATTATTCAACTGCCAAGAGGCCTCAAAATCTGTGTGGCATGCCTGTATCAAGAATGGTAACCATTTTCACCGGTAGCTCTGTGAGCTCAAGTTCTTCAAGGTGTACTTTCTTTACGCGAAAAAGCAGAGTAAAGGGCTCAATCTGTATACCTTGAGATCAGGTGTCTACAATTCTCCCTACAGTGCCCCGAGACAGAACTTAACAAAAGTCCCGAAATGTCATCAGTAAAACTGGGCAAGGCCTCAAGGGGACACTAAGCATGACTCCTTTTTTTGTGACCTCGATCTATTCATTCCCTTGGGGTCCACGCCCCGCCATCCAAACCACTCTAGGGGTCAGGGTCCAAACGCCCCGGACCTCCTCAATCCCCTTTCTCTAATCGGCGAATTCAACCCTTTGGGGGCCCGAGGGGCCAGGAACCGGGTGCGAGCGGGCCCAGTCGCCCACCGGACCAAGCCAGGCCAGGCGCCCTCCCCTCGCTTCCCCTCCCCTCCCTTCCCGTCCCCCGCGCCGGGCCGCTCGCCGGCCTCCCCCGGCCCTCACCCCCGGCCCCTTCCCACGGTCCCCGGCCCCACCCGCCCGGCGCTGGGAGGTTCTAGAAGCCCTCCGGCCTTCCCGGGTCCCCCGGCCTCCTCGGAGAGCGGCCGCACGCGGGGCTCCGGCGGCCGTACCCGCTGTGTCCGCCGACCCGGGCGCTGCGTGGGCCGCCGCGGGCTCCGCAGTGTCGCAGGGAGGCTTCGGCCACCGCTCGCTCGCCCGCCCGCCCTCCGCCGAGCCTCGCCGAGCCGTAAGCTGCGCAGGCCTGGCCAATCGCACACACCCAACCAGCCTAGCGAGAGCCGCGGCCCCCTACGTGGCAGGTGGGACGAGCAGGGGCGGGAGCAAAGCAGGGAGAAAATAAAAACTCCCCGGCCCGGCGCCCCGCCTCTTAGCCAGCGGGCCGGCCCAGGGCGCATGCGCGGCGGGGTGGGGTGAGGCGCCGGCCCCGCAAAGCCCGGGCTGCGCGTCGGTGGAGCCTGGCTTCCACACTGGGTGACCCGGTGTAGGAAGTGCGAGCCGAGGCGGGCACGCATGCGCGGGGCGCAGCCGCAGCACTTCCGGCTTTTCTGACAGCCAGCATTTCCTCCCTCCCCCCCCGTGGGCGGGGCGTAGTCGTCGGGCGTCTCTGTCCAAGACGGTTTGGTTCTTGTGGATGGTTTGTGGCTGCCGCCGCCTTAGTCAGCGAGTCTGTCAGGTCTCGAGAAAACGAACCCCTTTCCCGCCTTCTTTCTACAAATCCATCCATCCATTCATTCATTCATTCACCAGTGGGCGCCTGCGCTTTGCCAGGAGAACGCGAGGAGTGTGATGAGTCAGTTCTCCAGCTGAGAGGCACCCAAACGTTTAGGGAGGCCACGGGAATGGAAATCAAAGATTCAAGGGGGTTTGGGGAGGGGATAAAGACGTGAACTATACCCTACGATCACTTAGGCTTATTTTTTACCTAAGGGGTTTGCTTTGGATGGGCCAGCCTCAAACTGATCCCCGGAGTTTGTAGAGTGTGCTTAAAAGTGTGTTGCCACAATAAATGTTTCTCACTATTCCATATAACGCCCTTTCAACAGTTGCTGTCAGTGATTAGGAAGCAGGAGGCTGCTGATGAGATAAAAGATTTCCCTTTTTCCCTAGGAACTATTACTCAATGCTTCCCATTTAAAACTGGATAGTACAGATTCCGAGAAATTTGCTGCTGTCAGGTAATAGTACTCTGCTGCCTTTCTGATGGCTTGACGTTATTAAGGCCACATTTCTATGCATAGAGGTAAAACTGCCACTCTTCCTAAATATAAATCAGACCCTAGGTCAAAGGGGTTGTAGAAGAGAAACGTTGAACTGCACACCCATTAATGTTTTATTTTTAAGAAAAAAAAACCGTAAAAACTGAAAAGAAACATACATATATCAAACATCAAAAACATTTTGAGTGCACAGGAAAAAAATTCCAAAAGTTATTTTGGCATACAGAAAAGAGCACAGTGGCAAAAGATCTCAGGCTTTAGAAAGGACTGCTTACAAGATGGGCCCCAGCTAGTGGCTGAGTAATTAGAATCCAAGAACACTTCCACTACTCTTTATTTAGAGCAGTGTTCACATGAAGGTGTTTCATGCTGAACACATCTGTTTGCATTCAGTACATGGCAACCAGTGGATGCCCACTGTCATCCCAATAATCTTTTTAAACAACAAGAAAAACTAAAGCAAAGTGGAGGGGTGCAACCTAACTCTGCTATCTCTTCTCACAAGATACTTCCAGCAGACTATTTTTCACAGGGTTTGGGGATTTGTTGCTGAAGAATAAGTGTGCCCAGAAAGAAAACTTAGATGTGTGCCCTGTTTTCATTCCTACTTCTCCCTATATGATTTGCTCCTTTGCTACTTTTCCTTCTTATCCTATCTATAATGTCATATCTATGGACCCTCAAAGTGGTCCTGGAGAAAGGGACAGTTCCACATGACTATAAGAATGTAATTTGAGTATACTTTTTTTAGATGAAACACAAAGATCTCATTACCACAATAAACTGGAGAGAAGTGGGCTGAAACTTAATAGCTGGTTTGTAAAAGGCTCTTAGCTCTCTGCTTTTTAGCACTGCTATTTTTATGTTTTAAGGACAATATACTCATACATTATTTAACTTTAACTAGGGGCAATATTTTGTTAAGGATAACTGAGATTCGTAGTCTTCTCTGTTGCTGCCTAGTGAGTACTTGTGTGTAGGAGGATCATCTTTGTTTATCATCACCAAAGTGTAGAAAGTCTCAATGACTATGCTACAGTTTCATGGTACCTCATATCAACGTCCAACAAATTGTAAAGATTCTACTTCCACCTGTAGCAAAGCTCCACTGGAGGAACAATGCAGATTGGAACTGTACAATAGGTCTCTGAGATCTAACACACACACACACACACACACACACACACACACACACACACACACACCATATCTCCATCTAAGAGCTGGTATGCAGAAACATGTTCAATGGGCTAAAAAATGAATGTAACTATTTCTACTTTCTGAAATAATTAACAAATCAGAACCTTAAAAGTTAATGCTAAATTTCTTCATTGGTGTTGGCTTTGTAAAATGGATCAGCCATCTTAGAAAACAATTCAACTGTTGTTGCTTGTTTTAATAAAGTGTTTTTAAATAAAGTGTTATATATAGTGACTCTATGATCCTTCAGTGCCATGCAATATTTTAAAAGAAAATAAAATGTTAGCCCAAAGACTTGACCAAAAATGATGTAAAAGTTTGATTCATAACAGTCAAAACTAGATAAAATGTCATTTTACATGAAGGAACAAACACAAAAGTTCCTAAGTAGATGAGAACTTCAGTTGGTTAAGTTGATAGTAAAGACAGGTTTGGATGGGAACAAAACTGACAAGCAGGGCTGCTGTGTGTCTGCTGTGAGTCCAAGTGGCATCGTTTTCCAGATGTTCGCTGCAAGCTTACTTGACAGTGCAGCAGTGTTTGTGAGGAGGTGGCTGTCAGGACTCTGAAGAGGCAAGGCCTCTGGGAGGTCCTTGGGTTCTGAGGGAAGCTGCTCTCAGAAGGGATTAAAGTCCTCTACTGGAGGTCTCTGAACTCTGCAAAGAATGGGTTGTTTAAGAGCAACCCCATGCCCAGAATTGCTAAAGACATATTATTACCTGAGAATTTATCTTAAGGAAATCATTTAAATGAAGGAAAAATTGTATCTGTACCCATTTTTTCACAGCTTTTCCTACAGTGTTAAATATTTAAATCAACTAGATAGACAATAGGGGAACAATTTAGTGGTATGCAATTATTATGAGGACTATATTAGTATATAATGGTAAGTGAAATCATAATACAATTTCATTTGCAGTTAAAGTTATGACAAGGACTGTCGAGAAAATGGAAAAGTAGACCATAGTTTAAAATTAAGACATTATAGATTTTGCTTTTATAAAAATATTTGTGAAGATGATTATTCAATAGCTTTAATAAAATGTGAAATACAAATTACACATCTAAAGTATACAATCTAATATTGACATAGACATACAACTACCACAATCATGCGAACTTATCCATCTTCTCACAGCCATGTGTGTGCAAAGCCAAGCGCATGAACATTTTGGGAAACTGTGGTGTACCTCAGCATTGTCATGAATACAGTACATGACTATTAGCTATAGTGACCCTGTTGCAGTAATATAGAGTTCTAGAACTTACCCAGTCTTAGCTGGAAGTTTGCAGTAAACAACCCACCTTTCACTCTACCACCCAAACCCTGGTAGTGGTATTCTACTCTCATCCTGGGTGTGACTGTATTTTAGACCTGAAATTATATAGCTATTTCTGCAGCTGGGTTCTTTGGACTACTTCCATGCTGTGACAAACATCAATGCCCCTTCTCCCTTTCCGAAGGCTATATAATATCACACTGTACAAACAATATGTGAAATTTCAATTCATCCTTTCATTCAACTTAAAGTTTCTGTACAACAGAAATTTGAATCTAGTAGAAATGACACTTCACATTTGAAATCTGCTCTTTTCCTGGGTAAGTGATATGTGGTAAGGCAAGTTCAAAATGTTGAGCTTCAGCTGTCAAGCCACAGCTCTCAGCCAGACACACACAGTCGTGACAGTAAACAAATGATACTGTCCAGTATATATATCCCATAGTATTCAACAAACTACACATTATTATAAAATCATCTCTGTGCGAGATGATTTTGTCTAAATGTCAGTGAATGTAAGTAATCTGGACATTTTCCCGTGGCCTAAGCTATAGTACCTACTACATTAGGCATATTAAATTCATTTTATTATGGTATTTTAATTTACTTGGATTAAACTCGTAAGGTAAAGATCATCCATATATGTTGCAAGTACTTTATCCAATTACCAAACAAAAAGATCATTAAGTGATTTCATTAGCTTTACTTCATGAATAACACTACATAAACATGGAAATAGACATATCTATAGGTTCCGATTATTTCCTTATGTTATACACCAAAGAGAGGGGCTGCTAGATTTTATGGCATTTCTATTTTTAATTTTTGAGGGATATTCTTGATATTTTCAATCATGGCTGAACAAATTTACATTCCCACCAACAGTGTATGTAGATTTTCTGTCCACATCATTACCAACACTAGTTATCTCTAAGAACCCTTTTTAGAATGGCCAGTTTAACAGATGTGTTATATTCCACTGTGGTTTGGTTCCCATATGTTATTATTTTCACATGTTAACTCTTATGACATCTCTGGAGAAAGGTCTATCTATCTAGGTCCTTTGCTCATTTGTTAATCAATTTGTCTGGGGTGTTTTGGGTATTTACAATTCATGTGTTTGTGAATGCTGTTATTCCTTCATCATGTTAGAACTCATCTTTGGAGACAGAAATGGAAAGATGTCTGATCACTGCATTAGTGAGGTTCCACAGCCATCCCCAGTACTTGACAAGCTGATGTCTCAGCTGCTACTTTTGATACCAACTTCTCAAGTGTTTACAAAGTTTGCCTAGTTCTTCTAAAAAAGCAATGAGCTCGAGTAGGATTACCATGTTACTGACAACACACACACACACACACACACACACACACACACACACACACACACACACAAGATAAACTTAAGGATGGAAGAGGTAAGAAAAAAGCAAGCCAGACTGGCAACTGAACAGTGAACTTTCAACTGTTAGTTAAGATGCAGGCAAGAAAACCCAAAGGTCGGTTGACACTGAAGGGGGGGAAAAAGGGAACTGTTATCACACAAAGATAACCAGAAAACGTGGAAAGTAGGGACTGCTTAGATACAACAGTAACAACATGGAAACCAATTCTGAGTTGTCCTTTAAATTCACACTTCATGTTTCCCTA